TCGAAGCCCTTGCGTGTGGCGCTTTAGTTTCTTACCATAGCTGCGGAGCAGCCTCATCGCGGTGGGCTGGTGGTTCTTGTTGGCTGAAGATAGGAGAACGCCGAAGAGGCTCGCTGTCCCTCTCTCTCTTTCGGGATCGTGTTGCAGCTTACGCGACGCGGCTGGTCATCGCTCGCCCAGGGTCCGCCGCGCGCTTGGATGGGTTCGCTCGGCTTTGGTGTTAGTTTCCTTATCTTCGGACTCCCGCTTGGTCTTATCCTTAATTAAATGCATAGTCTAAGATCGTGCGCCGCTCGGGCCAGCCATCTAGTTTCCATCATGCATTATCTTGCTGCGTTCTGACTGTCGCGTCGTCGTATGTTCCGCCACTTGGCTATAGTCGATCTCTTATCTGTATCGTGATAGTTGCAGCCACAGTTGGCCACTTGTATTGATAAAGCAAAAACAGTTGAAGAAGCCACAGAAACTTACGGGCATTACTACACCAGATAAAGACTCGCTGTCTTCTCTATAATGTGCAGCCATGATTACCTCTCCATACAGGTTGGAAACTTTATCGGTCCGGCTATGAAGGAACGGCAACGCGACTAAGCACTCCATTTAGAGTCGATACCTATAATGGGCAGGCGCTCTGTCATTTGGCTTTTTTGATAGCGGTGGGCATACTACGTCGACGCGACCCGACTATGCTGTCGCTACCGTGCGGAATCTCATTTAAGAGAGCCGATGTCTACCTTCTCGCGTAGTATTTAGCAGAAAGTAAAACTATCTATTAATATGAGAAGTAGACGCGTGTCGTCAATATTAATATGCTCTCGACAGCAAAGCCCGATGGAATGAAGCGGGCGACTAAGCAAATTGGTAATCGTTAAGTTTAGCAGTAGTTTGAGCTGTGCAAATACAAGAGTCAGCACCTGCATGCTTTCATCCTTTCTAACTCGTGTGATGATGTGTCGAAATGTAGCACGTTTGTCGTGGGCAGGATAAAGCTGGCTTTGCCGCCGCGCGCGGCGGCTTGGGTTACCGAAGTGATAGAAGCCACGAAGGAAGCTGCCGCAAATCTAGATGGAAAACGAAGCAGAGAGTTAGCAGCGCGACAGCTTCTTGCGAATCCCTTGTTCGACACACGACAGCAAAATCGTGCAGCTATTATCTCTCTGGGCCTTGAAGATGTAGCTCAAGGAAGCGAGATCAAGCTGAGCACATCGTCTTCAACGATCGGGCAGCAAGATCAAGGCGCTAATGCGACAGCAGCTCCTGCTCTGGCGTCAGCACAGTCTTGCGCTTCGTCACAGTTGAACGGTCCAGAGGCTAAGACTGTGCGTGATCCCGGGAAAGCTACTGCTAGCACATTCGGTGCTTCTTCCACTTTTCCTCTCGGAAAAGTCTCTAGCACTACTACATCTACATCAATCAACTTTCGGTTTGCAGATGATTTTGCAGCCCATGGTGCGCAATCTTCGCAGCGATTGCAAAATGATAAGAGGTACAAGCCAAGGATCGCTGGTAATCGACATCGCGAAGGTATAACCATGCCTAGCAGGCTTCTCAGTCAAAACAACATAACCACTGGCGTTGACGCTGATCCTCGATTGAAAGCAAGGGCAGAGGCAGACTTATCCCGGGTCCGCAACGTTACCACGTCTCGCAGTATCGCAGAGGTTGAAGTCGCTGCGCAAAACCATTCGAGCCAGCAGCATATGCAGCCTTCGTCTTCTTTTGGCGGTGCAGCTAGTCTCGCGGGCGCAACAGCTGATCGGATGCACTCCCTTTTACCGCCCACCGGTTTGGCCCAGGACTCATCTAAGCGTCGCCGACGACGTTCCGCTTCGTTTGACGGGATCGATGAATCTAGACGAACACCTAAATCGACACTACCCACGATCTTCAGCAACCCTGTCGCTGGCGAGTCTGCAACTGAGGGCTTCTCTAGAACGAGTCTCACGGAGATTGGTTTACCTTCGACTTTTAGGAGTGTCAAGTTCATACAGTGCGCCCTTCCCTACTGGAAAAAGCGTCCACATGGGTACAACGATTTTAATGACGCACTGAAGCAAATGGCGAATAGATCTATACCTGCCGGCGAATACAAAGAAAAAGGTGGCGGAGCTTTTTACGTGCAACAAGAATACACTTTCATACACAGCATACTAGTTCCCGTTTCTTGAAGCGTTATTGATTAGCTATACTACCATGACAGATGATTGCAAACGTTTTGCGTCTCTCTACTGTGTTGTACTGAACTACTAAGGCGGTGCGCATATTACTACTCACTGACTGCTTATAGACTGAGTATGTCTGGCCATTTGCTTGCTATATAGATGCTTTTGCTAGTGATTCGCTTTCTATGCCATATCTTTCTGAAGGGCCAGGAGCTCGGTCCTCTAATGGTTCTGAATAGCAAAGGGGTCGTTGATGCAAAAAAGTGAAAGAATAGCGCTACTAGTATTGTCTTGATTCTCAGGTAAAGTATGCGCAGTTGCAATCACTAGTAAGAAGGGCCTTATCTATACAGCACGCTTATAAAGTCAACTCAGGGCAGAGCCATACGCTCGATCATACTTTTGCTGATTTGTAGTTGTATTGTCACCAGCGGCAAGAGCGTGCCACCCTCAAAATGTCTCAACACTTGGGTGAACCATTAAATTATCCATCATTTCTAATGTTCATACGTCTCCGCTTTGTGGAACTCATGCTTGTTTCCGGTCTTGCTTGGCAGCATTCTGCCAGAGCTACAAGTGACTTGCGACGCTTCCGCCGAGCAGTTGAAATGGTTCTGGCAGCTCATGTACGGCGACCAATTCATTATGCCACTCTTTCGGATTGGGCAAGCAGCTCCTGCTGTTAGTGGGCCACCAGCCTCTTCCGCATCTTCGTCGACGATCTCGTCTAGCAAAATGCTTCCACATGAAGCCGGCACATCATCCATCAGTGATGGAGTTGGAGATACCCGTAAGTTGCAGCTCTCAGAAAAATCTGATTTGTTTGACGATTCATCTTGCGATGCTGCGCCTGATGTTGGTGTCTCCACATCGTCCATGCATGCTGCGAGTCGTCTGCTCCATAGAGATGCTAATCATCAGCCAACTTCTAGTGGAACTGGTAGCGCCACCCATACAGCACACTCAAAGAACGCTTTACAGCGAGAAAGTGCCTCTGGGAAGGCTACGCCATTGCTTCAAGTACCCAAGCAAAGCGGACAGAGCACGGCCGCATCCTTATCGTCGAGCAGCTTGAACATCGGCAACACCTCATCGAGAATGGAAACTGATGTAGCGAAAAGCGTTCCTGTTCCGTCGCAAGCTCGGTATTTTAATTTGATCCTTCTTCAGTCTCAGCGATACTTATAGATGTTGGATTCCTTTGTTAGCCTTTCTTCATGGAATCAATCTCGTAGTTGATCAGAATCGACATACTGTCTACTCTAGGACTTGGATGATCATTATGTCCTCTATTCATGTTTTTGACAAGGCGATAGATCTCACGTTTCTACTCTTATAAAGCATAGCCATAATTGTAGACATACTTACACAGTGATGCATCCTGTTACGGACGGCCGCATAACGTGCGTTCTCCACTCCTCGCGTGCCTAATTTGGCTGCAGTTTTTCCTAGATTATAGTCCTTGTTGCCTTATTTTGACTGTCTTTCATTTTTCTGCATAGTAGCAGTACGCAATTAGCTTGTTCTGATCGACCTCAGCCAGAATATTTATTATATCTACTCTGTGACGACTAGGGAACAAGCGATTACGAGATGTAGTAGAGGAGGTAGCCCTGCTTCCACATCTTCCTCCAGATTCACAAAAGAAGTTGTAGCTTCTTTCTCTCTATGTATTGCCAGTCCATCTTTTACGTTTTACTTTAATGCGTAGAAAACAGTCGATCTATTTCTATTATTTCCACGTGAAGAATTCTCCGACATACCATGACGCGTTCTTCAAGTTCTTTGTTCATCTATTGTAGCTGCGTCCGAAGGAAGTCCTAGAATTAATTGAGGATAATCTTAGAAAGTATTGCTTCGGCATGTCATATTCCAAATGCCGCGAATCTCGCAGAGTTTGAGTAGTATAGTCTTGCCGTGCTCCAAGCAAATGATGGCTGATTCTTTGAAGTTTGTCCTCATCGAATTCCACACGTTTACTCAAAGAGAGCGTGCGCCTTGATTTATCAGATTGGCACTTCTTTTGACTAGATCTTATTAGGCACAGAAGTGATTTTGTCTCTTCTCAATGTCCTGCTTTCTATAACATTTCAGGCCACAAGCCAGTCCGTGCGCGACCATTCCCATTAGCCGACGTGTTGCCCTGTATCCGCGAGTAAATACGAATTTAGATATTCCTCACAGGGAAAATACGGAATTCAAAAAACGCAGCGCAAGAGTCAAAGGCGTGCGCCAATTGAAGCACGTCTCTGCCTTTTTGCGAGCTAATGGGAAGAAAAACACTCAAAGACTAATCTCGCTGCAGAACCTCGTCCACACAACGCTACGACTTCAAGATGTTGAGATACTAAACAACCCTGCAGCCAAACTTATGCTCAGTGGGAACACGCCTCACCCTACCCATGTCTTTCTATATAGAAACTGAAATGGATATCATAACTGCAAAACGTCTTTGCTTTATTCTTCATTATGATGCTCGGTGTAACTTAGAAGAGGCTGGCTTGAGCTGTCCAGCCCCTGTGTGCTCAATAGTCCTTGACTCAGAGTCTTTTAATAGTAACATATTGAAGCGTGAGCTTCGACTTTATCGTTACAAGTATGAAATATCAAACAAATACTATCTAGCTTTTTCTTGCAACGCTTTGGATACTCATGACGTAGTAGGCGGAAATTCCTGACGCATCATGTAGGTCTAGATGTATTCCGCTTCTATTTCTTAACCCGCTACAGCTTCCTTTCTGATTTTATTCTTCTGGAATCCAAAAAGCAGCTGCTCGAAGCAGCTTTTCACTCTGTGTATCACTTGATGTCTCTTCTAATGCGCGGTATTTGACACGGATGCGGCAAAAGCAGCAGTTGGAGGTTGGCGCGTTGGTCAATCCTGATCTAGTCCTGACAATCGTGGCTATGTGGCAGGAGTGGATCATAGACGAAAGAGAAGATCAGCAGTCAATCAACAGACCGCGCACCGCTCTTCAGCTGGTAGCGGATGCAGTTGAAGAATCCATGACATATTACTACCGATTTGGTCGCGTTCGCTGGAATCTTTGTGGAGCAATGTCTGAACATATCAAAACCCGATGGGGCTGCCTCGGGCTTCTCTCAACAATACTATTTCACATCGAAAATCGACCTACGACAAGAGCAGCCTACGAGCGCAGCTGTAAGCAAGATTACGAAGGTCTCGAGCACCAGCAGATCCAGGCGACAGGAGGCAACGCGCTCGTGCCAGTATTTGTTTTTGAAGATATGCCACAGGCTGTAGAACAAGCGTCGAAGAATGAAAAGAACAGAAAATCTGGTAAAGATAAAGCGCATGGGCGATGTCGTGCTCGATACGAAGATAGAAAGCACCAACGCAATGCAAGCGAGGACATTGATGACGAAAGCAGCGGATCGAATAATTCTGATTTTAGTAGTGAGGATGAAAACCGTAAAAACGAGATACATTTTCTTCAAACCGATTCACCCGATGGAGAGCTGGTGTCTGCCTTCGATCGCCAAGATTCCAACAGCTTTGATAGTCAGCATACAGCTGCAGAAAACGGCGCTAGGCCTGCTATGGATTCACGAGGACCGGTAGGAGCAACCGCTACAGCAGCCAAGAGTACAAGTAGTTCCAGTAAAACAGCTTCTGCACCTCACAGAACGCCATTTGTCACTACTTCATCGAGCTCAACTCACGCGCCCGGCCGTACTCTGCTTGAGGATTGCGGACGAGAAGATGGCTCAGTTTCTGACTCTCACGCCATGGAGGTAGACGGGAGCGAGCAACCTTCTCTATTACAAGACACCTTGACAAGTCGAGGTAGGCGCAATTCTTCGGGCCCGGCAAGACAGGTTTCTTCGAAGAGCACTCGCGCAGATCAAAAACAAAGTGCTTCGCCGTTGGATGCCGTCAAAAGTTCAGGCGCAGCTCCTAAACGGAAGAGAGGAAGACCAAAAACAACCAATGAGCAAAAGCAGAAGCGCGCATCAAGTGCTACCGCTACCTGTTTACCTGTTGTTGAGAAGGACCCGGAAGAACCAGCTCCAGATACTAACGATGTCCGTGGTCTGAGCGAATTCCTTGCGACAACCAAAGAAGATAAAAATGCTTCGCGAAACATGACTCACGTTATCGTTCGAGCGAAGAATAGGTGCAGTGTATTTTTTTACACATCCGTCATGAATCCAGCGAGCCTGATGCATGGCTTAGGCGTTGGCGTTCGTGACAAACATGACAGTGATCAGGTGTACTCCGTCGGCGATTTCGCAATTGAGGACCTCTATTTGATTAGCAGGCTGCGAAACGTCTCCCCAGTTTGTCAATGGGTCGCTTGGACAAAAACACTATGGGAACCACTATCCAACGTTGATCTCCGGGCAATGACAGCGACCGACACGCATTTGCGATATTATTACACTTAAGGTTTTGGCTTTCTGGTTCTACTTCATCATCATCTACCGCAGGCAGTATAATTTTTAAGGTGAGCTCGTGTCCGTTCTCAGTCACTCGAGGCGAGCTTAGTTTCGATTTTCATCAAAGGAGCCAGAAGAAGTTCTTTTTTAGCAAAATGCTCACTGAAATGGGCAAGCGTGCTTTCTAATTTGCGTCCCACAAAAAAGCAACTCGCATGGCTGCTCATGATCCAGACCTAGAGAATGACACGAAGCTTCTTCCTGGAGGTCGCTGTGCTCCACGCGTGTACCTACTATCGCGTATATTGATTGAATGGACATCGTCATGGACTCGAGCAGCGTGGGCTGAAGAACAGTTTCATTGTAAGCAGATGCGTTGGGTCGATCTGCTCCTTCCATCAGGCATGGCCGCACGGTCTAAGTTACGAGACTCATACCGGCTTACCCTGGTAGACGTATGCCGAACCAGTCAAGCAGATGCGAAGCATTACTCTTGGGTTATTAATTCTTTCAAGGATGGGATTCGAGAATTCCTCCGGCATGGCAGAGTTGCGCAAGGAGTTCCGGATGATTTCTACGAGGACCTGGACTGTATTAATAACAACAACGACAACAGCATCAACACAACTGTCTTTGGTGCTGCAGCCAGGTGTCAGCGATCACGAATATCTCGGGGAGTAGGAGCTCTACTTCTATCAGATGTACAAGAACGGCGCCGCAGTGGGAAGGCGACGCATGCTCTCCTCGTACAGGTTCTGGCACTGGCCAATGTAGACGGTTTTACCCTTCCAGATGAAGACTGCTCGGCCGCAACGGAAGAAGATCAGCAGGGAAGAGAGCACTCTGGTCCAGGTCTAGGTGCAAACCATCAAGCAACATCGTCTACTTCATCGGCTACATCAAAAGGTGACACGCTTGCCCCTGTTTCTGGATTTCAACAGCAGGCGAAGCACAATCCAGACGCACCCTTTGCAAGCAACGGCTCTAAATCATCATCCTCAGCTGATGACTTAAGAAACGCAGCATCGGCCAGTCTCAGTGCTGACAGCAATAGCCGAGCGGCCGCTGATGGCGTGTCCGACGCTCAAGAGCATGATGGCTTTCGAATCTTACAGGACGCCAAGCTCTTAAATACAGCATCTGCAAAACCCGGAACTTTTCCAGGACAGTTCTTGTCTGCTTCTTGTACGAAGAAAGAGTCAGAAGAGGAAGCTCGATTTGATGGCACGTCACTAGATCTTCATAGGCGCCTCGACCTTGTGAATGCTTTATTGGTTCTGTACAAGGAGCTTTGCAGGTGGGCCCGAGTTAATGCGTTTTTCAGGATGTGCTATACTACCAACCGGCTGCACAGAAAGCATGCTCAGCGGCTTCTATCACTATGCTCGAAAGAACACCGAAGTGGATTTGTCACGAATTTTATTGATTTGGTTCGTCACGACATCGAGACTTATCTTCGGGCTCTACGTGAAGCCAATTCCAAAGGGGATTCGATCTCCCGTCGTGGTGTCGTCTTATTGCCAGCTTTTTGGCCTATAGACATGCAATGCCTTCAATCGTCTGCGTTCTCATTGATGGCTGCCCTGACAAGCACCTACAAGAATGAGTGCGAAGGGAGACGAGCAACTTACGCTTCGATGGACAGTAGGAATGCAGGCCTAGTCAGAAGTGATTTCGACCCATGGAGCATATATCGATTGCCTTATCGGACGCTCGTGGGCGGCCTAGGAGAACCTGCTGAGCTCGGCGCGAAAGTCGCTGAGTTCTTTGCCGAAGTCACTGGACAAGACCCAACTACTACGGTCGATTTTTGTTATCCTTTCTGTATACGGATCTCGTTTCTAGTCTAGAAAGCCCTTATTACTGTAACAGAGGCGAAAGGGTAGAAGCGAACAAGACATGAAGAAAGGATAATAATGCAAGTGCCTTCGTCTAAAAGCTGTATTCTGAAAGGCGGCGCCACGAAGAAGTTTCTGAACTTGATCTACGAGCATCACGGCCTCTCGCCTCCCGAGCTGAAAAACTTCGCGGATTTTTCATGCTCTCCGCGTTGGGGTGCTGATATTGCTTATATCTACGACTTGATCGGTCGCTATAACATGTGGACTCTTCTTAAGGCACCCATCTTACTAATGCGATCGTACTTAGTTGGTGTTGATGCGTTCGTCGTTCATGTCTGCGCCATATTTCACCTGGAGTCATCTCTTTTCCACCCACAGGAAGCAAAAACTTTGCTTTTTTGGTAGAATGCAAATGAATATGGCTCTTTTATAATTGAAAGCTATCCTTATCTTTATCAGGTTCATGAGAATAAGGTATCCGAGGGTAGTAGAGGTGCACTTCGACCATCCTTCGACTTAAGCAAATTTTTAGAGAGATGCACTTCATGGGTTTTAGACTTACAGAAATACAGCTTCAGCTAGTTACTTCCCTACTCCTCCAGGCTCAGCACTTTTTAGAACAGCTTCTAGATGCTCCTGTAGTGTTCGCCCAAAGTGCGCAATCAGATGAGACCTTTGGTTCTGATTGTGGCTCGACAAGTCCGAGCTTAGTTCCTCATACTCTGGCACGTTTTGAATGGCTATGCTTAAAATGATGGCATTACTGTGGTTGCAATCTTGTGACTATAAGGTCAACCTTAGCGTTATTAGATGAGATTATGACTTACTTGACGGCCCCACATTTCTTCAACGACCTCTTTCATAGTATTGCTGAACAACGACGACTATGATCGAGCAGTTGCGCGCGTGAAACTGCTGGAATGGTTACTCGCAAAAGACTTGAGTTGGGAGCGCGGTCACCTTATTGTGGTGCAGAGTGGCAGCAGAGACAGAATTCGCTCTGTTGTTAGCACATCGGAGGAAAGTCTTGGGTTCACAACAATCCCGTTGATTTTCGATGATACAGGAGTTTCCACCACAGACGACGATCATCCAGCTTCTGCATCCCTGCGACTATTTGAGCATGGCGCTGCTCCTCTTGGAGCACCAAACAGCGACAAGTCTGTGTTGGGGGAGATGACAAAAAACGGGGACGATGAGACGTCGTGCTCTGACAACGAGACGCTGCCACGTGTGGTTCCTGCGCGTCCGATACTTGCGGAAAAAACTCGAGTCACTTGCTCGGAGAGTTATTTTGCATTTACACCGAACAAAGGCAGCGTGCACACGCATATCACGCTGCCTTCGCCAGAGACGGGCCGCGATCCTTTAGAACGCGTCTCCATGGCAGAAATGTCAGTAAGCGAAGAGACTGGTCGAGTTTCGTACAAACTAGCCACCGAGGAGTGGTTACCACTTGAGGAGTTTTGCCTCGAACATTCGAACTTTTTGGCATTAGCAGGCGAAGAATTGATCTGGCCTATGTACGACCATCTTCTCGAGAAACATCGTGAGCGAGCAGCCCAACTTCTCCGGTTTCCGTTTCTTCTTGCTGCAGAGAATTCTTTCGCAGAAAAATTTCCGCTACGAGCACGCATTCTGCGCAAACGAAGGGAAGACACGGCGAAGTCAAATGGCGCAGCGTCATCGTCTTTGGCTGGTACGATTGCAGCGTCTGCTGAGGAAGTTTATGATGCGCGTGCGTTTTTACCGATGCACACTTTTTGATGAGTAGAAGATAGTACTTGATTCCCATCTCGTACCCGAGAATGCTGCTAAAGCGCCAGGGCTTGTAAAACTGATACCTTGCATCTAGAAGGGAAAGGTCTTCGCATGATTCGCATACTCTAGCATTGGAGTACAAGTGGTCGCGTTCTTTCAAGCATAGCACTGCGCTTCTAATCATCCGGTGGCACGCGACAAGGAGCCGAAAATCTCGCGAAGATATCAGTATCGGGAGTCCCTGTTTCGCAACGTGCTACTTCTCCTGGCGTAAAAGTAGCTACAGAATCCCGCTCTCAACCACCTCGAAAAAAAAAGCTTATTGAGCGTTTACGCGAGCCACGTGCTCGGAAACCAAGATCGGGAAGTAACAAGAAGGTTGGAGAAGAGAATGAGGCAAAAGAAGTTATCGACATCAAGTACGACTCCCGCCAGAATGCGAGCGCGCTGGAAACTAGTGCCAGCGCTTTTCATGCCGTACAAATTTCCAGCAGCCAGCCACCTGCCTCTCCATCACATGACGCAGAAACGCATCTGAGTACGCGAAACGCAACTAAAGCAGCTTTGCCTTCGAATAGTCCGAAAACTGAAATGCAAAGACAAACCTGCCTAAACAAAGTTGTAGATGCTGATCAAGCAGGTACTGTAATATTTTCGTTTGAAGGCGTATGCTACAAAACATTCCACATTCCAAACTAATTCAGCTCTCCAACACAAAGCAGCACAGTACAGTGGTTTTCTGACGTTCGACAAGGATAGCTACACTTCTTTGATTCAGTGATAATGTGTCTTTCTATCTATGTGGTTTGTTCTCGATAAGTAAACTCTATTCCAATTGGATAACAGGTTGCTTGTCAGCTCGGATTGACACCGTGCTAGTCGAAGACAATAGGAGCAACGACTGTGATCAAGTGGCCCCGATGGATGTCGACCTGGACTACCAAAATGAACAAGACAGTGATAGCGCCCGGGAGCGGCCTTTTGAAGAGAATGGAAATAGTGACTACGGACCAAGCGCTGCTCCTGAGCAGAAGCAGAACCCACTATTTGCATCCTTAAGCACAAGTCTATTCGGAGTGCACGTTTTTCAGAAGGGCAACTCCGGAAAAGAAAGTGATGGCCCATCTCACGATGGGAAAGGTGCACGAGGTGAAGCAGTCACTTCGAATGCTTCTTCTAAACTCAGTAGTAGCACTAGAGCTACAATTAAGATTGCCACTCAGAATACAAATGACGAAGGTGCATGTGCTGAACATGGTCCGATCGCAGAAAATTCTCAAAGCGCATCTGCCGCATGCGCATTGGCACAACCAGCAAGCCTTGATGATAACACTTCTAGTCCAATACCGGATGAAGAGCATATCCAACACGAGAGGCCGCCGCAGGAGGAGAGTGCAGCACTGTCTTCACTCACAGGCAGCAACTCGATTTATCGAAACTCTTTAGCCGATCTCTTCAATCCTTCACTGAGAGCTAGCGTGCAGCTCGAAGTTGCATCGAGAGCACTGTCGATTAAACGCGAATCATCTCCACCGCGAGAACCCGACGCATCAAAGTGTGAGCTGAAAGACGGAAGAAAGCCGCCTATTCCTGCTATCGACCCTGATGGAGAGGATCCACCGACTTCGTCTACAGAAGGCTCCAATGTAGTAGATAAGTTGATACTTGTCGGGCACGGGGAAAGTACTAAGAAAACCTTAGATAATCCTTTAGATGGTAGCGCCCTGACGCAGCAGCTTCTTCACCAGAATAAACGTCGCGCAGAGTCGGCGCCACCCAGTGAGGACAAGAAGCGACCTCGCATTGGTCCCTTTCCCTTAACGCCACCTCGTGCGTCAACCCATCAAAACGCAGTCGACGTTCGAATGACGCCGAGCAGCGAACTGGAGCGTCCGACATTGCAGCAGCGACATGATCATAGCAGTAGTAGTGCGCAGCGTGGTCGGAGTGCGGAAGCTCTTCTTCAAAGAACCATGTCGTTGGTGAAATCGGATAGAACATCACACCAGGGCGTTTCTATTTTTAGTCAGCAAGCGGATGCCTCGCTGCAAGACGCGAAAAACCGATCGCACGAGAATGGAACAAGAACTCCACATAATCGCAGCTACAAGCGCGCATCTGCTACATCCGGTAGTTCTGCAGGCTCTGCTGCACGGAGTTCTTCAGCCAATTTACCGCTATCATCCTTCGGAACGGATAAGCAGGCAGGGTCAGCGTCTAATAAAGATCCACGATCACGATCTGTCGGCAGCTCGGCTTCGCGTGCTAGTCAGCTGTATCGTCCTGTTGTCATGACGAAACAAGGAGTTCCCAGAAAACTCAGTGCTCGGCAAAGAGCAGCTGCGCGCCGGCGGTATGAGGCAGCCATGAAAGCGCAGCAAGAAGTAGTAGCTTCTGCCATACAGGAACGCGCGACGGATTCTGCATCTGCTTCTGCGTCGGCGAAGCCACGGAAAGTGCGTGGCGGGCCGACCCGTGATGATCCAAAAGACGAATTGTCGTCAGTATCAGATGCGTCTTCATCGTCTTCTTCTCCTCCTTCGAAGTCCACCTGTATAAGCAATCCACGTAGAAAAAAGTCATCTGGTTCTTCTTCATCATCCAGCTCTTCTTCATCATCCAGCTCTTCTTCGTCATCCAATCTACCTGAAAGTAGCCTGGCTGAAGGTGCCGGAAAGACGGCGACAGCGGCAACTGGTCCAAGACAATTCTCGAACAAGTTGAGTGTTCAAAAAAGTGAGCAGGAGACGGCAAGTGCGTCAAATGATAGTAGCTATGCGCCGACTCCTGACACACATGAAGCTACCACAGCAGCATCCACGGCGCCGTTGACTGTTGACTTCCCAACCGTAACTCCTTCAATCAGCGCGACTGTGGCCGCTATTAATCCGCGAGAGTGCGCAGCTGCCTCACCGTCGATTGTGCCTGGTGCTCCAGACACTTCTGGGATGCCTGCCCCCGGTTGTGCTTTAGATCTTGAAAGCAATTTTCATCGTAGCGTAGAGATTGCAGGCGGCGATAACACAGGCGGCTGGATGCAACTACTGTCGAGAAAAGAGGATGAGTCTGCTATGATGCCGCTTACTGAAGTTGCCTCTCTCTCTGTTGTTCAGAAAATTGCTTCTTCGGGGAAAAACCTGATGAAGTATAAAAAGCGCTTATCTGTCATTCCTGAAGGTGACGAAGGCGAAGAAGAGAGCAACCTGCGCAATGATCAGAAGAAAGCGGATCAGCAGGCTGATGCTGCGTCTACTAGTGCAGAGGATAAAAACAGCGCTGGCGCTGAGCCTACTCGTACTACTTCCAGTTCATCTTCAAAAGACCAGAAGAAGCTCCTGGAGCCTGATCTTCGTGACAGCGCTACGCAGGACACCACCTCAACGCCACTTGGCGCACCTATCGCAACGTTAGCTTCCACTGCGCAGCTGCGAGAAGAGGCGCAGCTTGATGACGACGAGAGTCTGATTTTTGAACTCGAGCCGCCAGCTCAACCTGAAACACCTTGGTCGCCTGTCCGAGAAACCCCAGACTTCGTAGCTGTGTCGCGTGACCGAGAGCGTCGGGAGAGGAAGTTCGAGCTGACCTCTATAGCCAAAAGCGCGCACCCTTCGTCGCCATCTGCAAAAGCTGTTCGTGCACACGGTGGGGCCGTTAACTCTTCTTCACTTACTCCCACTACCTTCGCAAATATTGCTACACATTGTTTTGATGGCGATAAGTCGCTGTCTCATGCAGATACTTTTATAACGCGTCGTCTTGATGATGGTGACGCGTTGTCTCATCATGGTGCTACAGATTCTGCTGATGGAGTGCAACTTTCCGACGACACTGATTCCGAAGCTTTTATTGACGATTTGCAAGCCCAACAAGACGATCAGAAGCCCACGCGCCGTGAAATTATACGTCCAGCAAGGTCGGCGTTTACCTCTATGGAACATCTTTTGGATCACAATGGTGCTCGCCTGCGAGAAAACGACGAAGACTATCTGGGACTAGATGAGCAAGTGACTGCGATACTTTCAAGCGGCGTAGCTTCCAATGCAGAACAAGTCGCGCCACCAGAAGCGACAGCGACGCCCAGCCTCATATCAGCTATGGCATCGAGTGCGCAAATTAATATTGGTGTGTCAGCGCGAGGCAGGAAGTCGAAAAAACAGATTAACCTTTCTGGGGTGGAATTCGATACGAAACCGGACAAGGACAAAACTGCGGCAAGAAAAGTGTCGAATGGCATCAAGCCATCGACAGAAAAAGAACCTCAGAGCACAACTTCTAAGTCTGCACCTGAAGCGCCGCAAAATGATCTCGTAGTAGCGACATCCACAGCATCATCATGGGCACCACCTGAAATTCCATCTGCCAGTAGTCTTATCTCCGCTCTCCGCATGGTAACTGGAAAAATCGTCGGCTGCAACAACTTTGGTCTTTTACTGCGTCTCGTTAGTCTCCTCCACACGTGGTCTTATCGAGGGTCTTTTGAGTTATTGGTGGCCAAAGGTGTGGACTTCATATTCCCGCAGGACAAAGCAGGGAACCCGATCAACGACGTTATGCTTTGTGCAGTAGGCCACGCAAAGTCAGTGCTGAGTACAGTCATTGATGGAGCAGCTGAGCGCAAGCAAATTCGAGATCAAGCGTTACAGCGGCATGCTAAAGTACAAGCGGAGAACGAGAAGCGCAAGGCCGCTGCCACCCTTCTGAAGGAGCGGAGAGAACAGCTCAAGCTCGTTGAAAGCTACAGCAAAGCTTTAGATAAGGAACGGTTTACGTCCATGTGCGTTGAAAATGGCAACGCTTTGCAAGAGCAACAAAGCTCGGCCTCAGCTGCTGCTGCGCTCAGTGCTACGTGTCAAGGCGAAAGCTCCATAGATCTTGGTGGGCGCGAATTCTGGGTAACACAAGAAAAGCTAGGAGCGGAAGAGCTAGCATATTACTCTGGCGACAAGCAAGCGCTTCACCTCTTGATGCTGCGACAACACTTTTGGGACAGAAATGCCAACTTCGTCGAAATAGACAAAATCACTCGAAGACTCGCCTACCCGCTCAGGTGCGAAGGCTGTGGGGAAATTATAGGAATTGCAAAAAAAAGCATTATGGGGCAGAAAGTGCCGCAGCTGATTTACCAAATCTATCATCGGAATCCGCAAACGGGAGCGCAGTATCTCTCGCTCCCAATCCAGAAAAGCACGGGACAAAACTCTTTATGGAAGGTTTGTCTTTATTATAGATATACTGGAATGAACGTGCGACCGTGCGTCGTCTCATCTACGTATCTACTCCTTGACTCCGATCAATAAGCATCTATTACTAGTAGTAGTAATTAAGTCTCTCAGAAGTCAACTCTATCTCGGCACCAACGCAGTCCTCTACTTATTTTCGTAATCGATGGCCAGCTAGTACAAATAACTGCGTCTTTATATTAGAACCAGGCGCATAAGCGTGCTTCCCTTTCCTGCGCTGCGTCTGCTCCTCGAATCCAAGCGGTCGCCTTCTTCTATCAGTATCGACGTAATTGTGCTAAAGGCTGTCTTAGATAAGAACTCCATGCAACTGACATACAGACTCGCGGTGGCAGTTGAAGTCTCAATGAGTAGCAGGGTGTAGCTTGTCTATAGCTGGCTTCGATCATCTACGTAAGAGGACGCTTTTTACTTTCTCTTCTAGCAAATTCTCACTGTTTATTTACCTTTCATTTTTGCACTTTCTTCCGGACGTCCGCAATCCTGCTGTGTGTTTTTGTGGATATTGGTTTCGGCAGGTGTTGTATGCGCGCGAGTGCGAGGACGTTAGTCAGCTTGTTCGACTCGGAGAGCCTGGGTGGTGGAGTTGCGCACTTTTCCAAGCGGTGATCCACTGTCGTATTTGCTCAAATTCTAGCTGCAGATGCGCGAATACGTTTCAAGAACCGGCGATGGACCGCGCGCCCTCGAGATGGGAGACCTCGAAAATGGTGACAAAGGTCTTCGGAGGTTCCACGGCCTAAGCGTGTCACTTCGTAACCGTCTTAGGGAGGTTGCGACAGGTACATGCTTACTCTTACTTTTTGCAAACTAATTCCTCCTCGGCTACCGGCTCGGCCATGCACAACCGAGAAGCGACTGACGACAAGCTTCCCAGCCAGCGGGGCTCCGCTGTGCTTGTTGTATCTTCGCCGAAGTCGCCCCCTACCGGTGGGCCGCTTGGCTTGTCGAGCCGATCCATCGGTCTCATGCTCTGGGCCCTCGTCCGCGTGCTGTGGGAGTCGGATCATGTCGCCCGCGCCTGCCATGCTCGCCACGCTGCGCCATTGCGGGCGTCCTTCGCGGAAGAACGTGACTTACGCCAGGACTCGGCTCGGATGGGTAAGAATAGGGGGAAGACGCCGGGACCGCAGTGGGCACGCAGCTGCTTGGCTTTGGTCTGCGTGTCAAGGGCACCAGGGCGCTGAGGGCTGGACCCTTTCAAAGGACCAGGACGCGGCTGCTGCCGCGTTTGCCTGGCTGGCAGACTCTTGCGGGCTTGTAGGGCTCTACATCATCGGGCAGACCGCAAGGCCGACGGCACTGCCCTGCGTTGCTTGCGACGTGTAATCACGTCACAAGGTCAAAGCTGCGGGAAACGGGCGGAAGCGTGCAGGCAACTGGCAAGAAGGGCGCCCACTCAGCAGCAAAGGACAGAAGAGCAAGCGCAGAAAGTGGCGGAGGTTTTTGCAGGTCGTGAGGCTGGCGGTGGCGGCCCAGCAAGGCCCCGCGCGCTCCTCCGGAGTGCTCATCTTTTCGATGATGTTGCGCGTCAGTAAATGCACAAAACCGAGACACGCTGGCGACCGAGCCCAATGCTGCAGGGCGTGACGGCGAGAGCCTCGAACGGCTGCGGCTTTTTACTCTCGACGCGGCCGCTGGTTGGGATGATGGTCGGAGCGGAGGAGCGTCCCACAGCGGGCCAAATTCGCAGAGCGTCTGGCGCAAGAGAATGAAGCGGCAAAAGATTCAGGACAGCGCGCAGAGAGTCGCTGCGCTATCTCTTCTGGTGTGCAGCCCTACCCTTCGGGAAACGTCCTGAAGGAGTTCGCGCAGAACGCTGAAGAGGCTGCCGCGATCGGGGCGGAGGTGTTCGGCGTGATGCTATTGGGAGAGGTGGCGCGCCTACGTAGTTGGTCAAACTGCACGAGGCTGGTCCGCGTCAATTCGCAGACACTGCGGGAGCGCCTGGCGTTACTAGCTTTCAGGCGTTCCGCTCCCAAACGGTGCAGACATGTGCACTAAAGGCGCCGTCGTGGTGCACTGTTCTCAGACGGTGCCTGCGACGAAGAGGACAGAAGCGGAGCGCAACTGATGAGCAAGGACAGGCCCAGTGTTCGGAGATGAACGCCAAGGCTGAGCGGCTGCAGCCAGAGCGGGCGCGGGTATGCGCGCGGCGTCGGCCCCCGGCTCTCTCGCTCGTGTGGTGCGGCTGTGTGTCTTTAAGAACGCGGCCTGCTGGGCGATGCTGCTGCGTGTGGTTGCGTTTTGTGTATCAGACACACAGTGGACGCGGCTACCGCGTCGCGTAAACGAGACGGCTGGCAGCGTCTGGCGTTTTTTGCTGCTTTGTGGATTGTTTTGGGCTGTGGTGGCATTCAGGTGCAGGGGATGGATGTGTGCCACCGCCACGGTGGCTGTGCAGTGGCACGCCAGGAGTCTGCGTGGCTGGTGTTCATCAGCTTCAGGCTCAGGAGTAGCAGCGCCAGCGGCGGCCGTAGGTTGGTTTCCGCCTTCTTGCTTTTTCTCTGCGGTGGGCCGGCTCCTGGCTTTCGCGTCTTCTTCGATGGTCTGGGCCAGTGATTTCGCTACGGTCTGGCTTTTTTTAGCTTTTTCTCACTCTTCTGCTTGTAGAGGCTTCGTTCGCCAAGGGGGGCCGTCAGGGCTGGGATAGCGGTCTTTACCTGCTTGGCTTGGATATTTCTTTTGTGAGTATTGTTGCGGTTGGTTTTGTGGCTCGTTCTTGCTCTTGGGGTTGAGGTTGGGCAAGGTCATCTTGCTGACGCGCTGTTTCAAATTAGTTTTAGACGCGCTGGCGATCTAGTCGCTCTTTGGGAACATGGGTTTTGGCTATTCTTGTCCAGTCTGTAGCATGATTCGAAGACTTCGAGCGCCAGCGTTGGTGCTCCTGTAGTTCTTCATCTGTATACTCAAATCCAACTCGCCCCTTAATTTTTACCACAGCCAGAAGTAGGAACGTCGATCAACCAGACAAATGCAACTTGTCACGCACACACCCTCCAGGTCATCCGCGGGCGCGAGCTTCAACTTTTCCGATTCTTGGTGCTGTGACCGATATCAATTCGCTGTAGCCTTTTGGAAATCCGCACGCGCCTTGTACGAAGATACAGACTTTTACCATGAGGACTGGCGCCTGGGAGTAACTGCTTGCCCTTTGCGTATCAACTCATATTGTAGCGGATCCGCAAATAGCTTTTGAATATGATCTTCTGTTCTAGGCTACAGCACTACAAAATTGAACTGCTCAGTGCTACGTGGGGGCGCCATCTGATTTTCCTTATTCTTACGCGCAGTTATGTCCAATGTTTGAGTCTGTCTTACATGTTTGGAAGGATATCGTCGCTCACTGGGTCAGCAGCAGTTTCTGCAGCACTTCTTTAGTTCTTCTAAATTTGTCAGTACACAGCAGGCTCATGCCATTTGAAGCACTTGACTGATTCAATCCCACAAGTAGGAAAGTAAGCATCGCTATCGTTATCATTCGTTTCAATGTGGATTCTTGTTCTTTCCCTGATCAAAAAACTCAATTATAAGCAATCTTTTCCCATTTTGTTCTCCTACTTATGTGGATCTGCAACAGAAAACTAGAACTACGGCGGAGCGCATTTTTGCGTGCTTTTTTGAAGCTAGCGAAGAAAGTATCTAGACTCTAGTTTCTCTACAGCTTTACTAGTCTCGAGTCTCTTGGATTCTTATGCCTCTTTATTGAGAGCTGGTTTGTCATTGTTTTGGTTTTCAACTCTGTACTTCACTCGAGATTTATCTTTTATTCACGCTGATCCTCGCCACGCGTCAACTCCAACCTCCACCCGATATTTGATCTATGGCAATCGATTTTGTTACCTGGTAGAGCAAAGAGGCGTCGGGCGTTTTTCTTCTTTCGTATATATGTATTCCGTTGTAGCAGAAGCAGTAGCATGAAATTTCTTCCCTTCCGCGACACATTTCTTCTAACTTCCTACTGTAGACGCATCGAAAGAACTCCCCCGATCCTGAAAAAATATTCACTATCCTATTAGAAACTGACTACAGGAAATGGCTCATATTTTGATGCTTGGAAAAGCATCATATCCATCAGCACAAGGCACGACTTCTACTTGTTTCGAATGATTCGATATTTTTGATGAAGTAGTGGCCTTCGTCACCATGACTTGAAACGATGACGAAGATTTTCCGGGCATCAATATAATACTTTCCTAGACGAGTCACCTCCCATCCACACTCGTGCATGTACGTAGGTTGCGTGTCTGGCTACTATGAAGAAAATGAATATATTCGCCTGCGTGTCTTCGATATCTATCTCAGTGCTCGCGTATTTTCGAAGAATGTGAATACTCTTGACTACGTAACATTCTCACGCAGCCAAAGCTCCTGCTGTGGTTTCAAACTTTTGAGATATGCAAGCGCAACCCCTTGCTTGATGATGCTTGACGCTTCCCACCTGGAATGAGCAGCGCTTTCCCCTTCAATATTATTTCTTATTGTGTAACGATAGTCCAAGATGGCCTCGTCCACAGCTACGCCCTTGATCTTGGATTTACCATTACCCTGACCTGAAAAATGAATTCACTGCTCTGATCGTGTAGCTCATCTTCCCGCTTCAGCTTCAACGAGTGAAATGAATATACTCTCAGGCGCAACTTCTTCTCAGCGTGCTCATGCGTCATACGCTTATAAGATCGGCGCTCTCTGTTGTCAAGAGTTCTACAGCGACTTGCTATGCGCTGTTCTATCCTCGCTTCTGTTTCGAGTAGTGCTGGCGTTCTCTGCCAGTATAGAAGTAACGATGAGAAATGTGACGAGTGAGTGTCGCCATTTTTTGATCGAACGACACGAGGGAGAGCACAACAACAAAGAGCGCGCGTCGAAATGTTACGCAGAGAAATGATCGATAGTTCGAATCTGCAGAGGTGAGGTTACAGTATGCTGGCGCTTGTTGACCAACAAGAGTCGCGAATTAGTTTTCTCGTCTGTTTGAGTACCTGCGTCCGCGCGCCTCTGTCGTCAATAGTTGAGTTCACCATCGACATCGAGATCAAGCAAACTTTTCGAATAATAAGCAGGCCTGTTGTCTTTCTCAAGTAAAAACGGCGCCACCTGAAGATAGCTCTATGTAGAAGCACTGCGTGCCCTACTCGGCAGGGACATGTAGTTCTAGATCCAAGAAAAGCCAGGCTCATGAGCCCCACCTTTTTCCTCTTCCATATCTATATCTATGTGCTTAATTTAGACGAATGCCATCGCTGTTCTTGGTCTTGCTGTGTCTTTTTGATTTTTGATGATGTCGCCAGTCCTGCTTCATATTCACGATCCCTTCTTTCCTTGAATCAAGCCAACTTTTTCATATGGTGGCTTTTATTGATGGAAGTGCATTGAATTGATGATTGATCGACTGAACAAGAGCGTCGTGGTGGAATTGTGCTCACGTTCTTTTACATGGTTGCCACTGACAATCCCTGAATCGAAACGCTAAACACTTCTTAATGATCCCTGCGCTTTTCGATTTCGTGCAACCGCTTGAGTTTGAAGATCTCTACATGGAATTGCGAAAGTGTAGACATAAAGCTGCGCTCTTTTCCTAACTGTAATGAACGAATTCTAGACGGACACACCAAGAATCAGCATTGATCCGCCACTACTAAAATTTATCAAAACAAAATCCACTAAGCTACCACTTATGTGATCTGCGATGTTTCATTTTCAAAAAAGGCCCAGCGTGAGAGTCTGCAAGTGGATGACATAGACATGCTAGTAGCTGAATAATAAATATGGCGCGTGTCGCTGTCTAAGTCTATCCCGAGCTCGATGGACGTGCTTCGACTAGAAAGCAACTCGTTTGTTCTCTCCGAATGCAGTGCTAACTGACAAAGAGAATGGTCCCTGTGTACGAGCACGCGCGGAAGGCGTGACTATTGACGCGTCGCGCGAACGGCATAAGAAAAGCTCCGTCTTGCAGCTAAGTGCAAGAATGAATGCACTTGCGGGCAAATTACTGTACGTGCGAAGCCCGACTCTGGTAAATTGCCTCGCCGCGGCTGGATGCGACAACTTTATGAAAATGCTAAATCTAAGGGTCGCATACTTTTTGTTTGAGGATAACAAAGCAAATTATGGTGAAGTTTCTACTCCAGTATCATCTAAGTTGAAGCATCTAGTCAAATTATCTTGAAGCTTCGCGCCTCTCTATTATCTATCTTCAGTGTTCTAGCTTAAGCAAATCCTGCTCCTAACTAACGCGCCTCCTTGTGGAAGAGGATCGCCGACCACTCTAACGATTATTTCTTGGGCGTAAGACTACGGCGGTTTGCATCTGCATCTCGCTGGTCATCCATGATTTCCGAGGAGGAGACTCGTCGATGCAACTAGAAAAAGCCGGCTGCTGCGGGAGTTCAGCGCGTGGAGCTGCGTTCTGCAGCTGCGTCTCTCACTTATGTTAAGAGTTTTTCCTTTGAACAAAGACCATCGACATGACTACAGTTTTAAAATGTTGGGCCTTACATTTACATCGAGGCTGGTTTGTTCGCTGACTTGCTAGGGCTAAGTAAAGATCCATCCTGGGCTTCTCGGAAGTAATCGATCCTGAACCTGGAGCGTCTCGTCTCCGTATATATATTTGAGACAGTTGAGGACGTTTGAGGAGCTGCCAGCATTACTTGACCGTGATAATTTTCATAATACAACACGCAGTCCAGAACCAATGTTGACATACAGCTGCTACAAAGAGCAGCTTCCTCTGTAACTCCGTGTCTAATCTCTTGCAAGTAATCGACGCACCGACGTGCCGGACCGCTACAGAAGTCTGCCAATTCTGGAAATATAGCTTATGGCATGGCATGTGTGGAGAGAAGAAGTCGGCAATTCATATTCTAGCAGTACATCTCTTGAGATTTCGAGTAGCGCTTATGTACTATTTTGCATTCAAGGGCACGCTGTGTTTACTATACCAGCCTCGCCCACTTTTCACTAACATCTCGATAGGAGCGGCGGCTGCGCCTACGTCGTCACTCCATTACGCGCAAAGAACAAGCTTGGGCTTATTTATTTGCATCTAGTGGCGTGAGGAAAGCAGCTGCACCTGCATCGGAATGAATTGAAAGACTGTCGCCGGCATGAAGCTTCGGTGAGATTCTGAGAGGAGCTTCTCTTTTGGCCTGCGCTTATTCAAATCGAACTTCGCTGGCTACAACAAGGCGCCCGCCTCCAGGAGAGCGCTGCGCACAGTGGGCTTGCCGATCCTGCAATGGTGTTGGCGGGAAAAGCGCCGCCTTCCATGCTTCTGGGAAGTGAAGAATTTGAACGAACTACGCACTGTGATCAACCTAGAATTGCTGGGCTTGAAGGTGATCCAGATGCCGTCTAATCAATCTGGTTCAATATGTTACACGGAACACTTTTCGAAGAGCCTCTACAACAATAGCCCGTGTCGCACCACACGGAGGCGTTGGCGGCTCAGTGTGTTCACCAAGAAGATTCGGCTCCAGAATGTTGCACCATGTGAAAGATCCAAGATCAAAAGGAAACAAAACACAAATAGAAAGGATCGTAGCTTCGGGGTGTTACAATTATAACAGGACGGAATCATAGATGATCTTTATCATTTGCGAAATCGACAGCCCCACTTTGATAGCCCCAGAATGTTGCCTCATTTAGTCAAGAACAAGTTCGATCCTGATGTGCCTCGTCATGTAGCAAATGTACTTATGATGTACTAGCAAATGTAGTAGAGTGAGTGAGTGCAGAAGTCTTTTGTGGGATCTTGTCACATCGATTCATCCCGCCGGTAGATGCAGCAAACCTATTTAGGATGCACAGAATAGAATAGAAGTACTTCTTGAATGTACTAGCAAAGAAGATGTGGATGTGCATAATGGAGGTATACAGTATCGCACTCATAGCCAGACTAATGGAGGTATAGCTCATCTCTGGCTCTAATACCCGAAAGAGTGGTCTATGGTACGGCGCACATGATGGCGCCAGTATTTGGCAAGCTTTCTGATGAAACAAAACACCCATGGGGCAAGAGGAGACCGATGATGGCCTTCGCGCTGATCTTAGTCGTTGGGAGTCATGCAGTCCTGTATGTCGCAAGTGAACGACTTTGGATGTCACTCTACTTGGTTGGCCTTTTCTTTGCCATGATTGCCAAAAATATGGTTATTGCGGTCAATGCGGCGTTCCTCACTGACGTGGTTCCGAAAGAATTGAGTAGTTCCGCTGCGTCTATTACTGCCGCTCATTAAGGCTTCCGGGAATCTCCCATGATTTTGAAAAGCATCTTGCTTGGGGCACCTACAACTTGGCTCTACCTACTAGGGCAAAAACAAAAACAGAGGACCCATCCGCACCCACGATGAATTTCAATCCATTTCCATTTCGGCCGCTTGTGGTCTAAGTTCAGGCCGCTTGTGGTTGCATCATAGGGTTTCTGATACAATATTGGTTTGCGGATGCGCATGTGAAGTACACTTACCTGATCGTGACTTTCTTCTTCCTGCTGACACAAGCAATCTTTTTTGCCGCAGCCAGGGAGCCACCTACATCAAATATCGGGGAAGAGGGAAATGATGTTGATAGTACAACTATTAAGGGTAGGTAGTTAAAGGTGCTTTAGCTTTTCTTACCGCTTTTTATGCCTCTCCTAAGGGAGAAAGGCATAACAAGCGGGGCAAGCGAGCACCAAAAACCTACCTCTAAAACTATAGCAGACGAAATGATGCTTAACTTAAGGCACCACCCACGAGGGCATTCTCAGCGCTGTCCTGTCTCTTTTTCTACGTACTTGAGAAAGAAGCCAAGGAGTCTCTGAGGGCTGCGAATGTGGTAGCTCTAAAAATAGCAGGAGAAAATCTTCATGAAGACGAACATGAAGATGGAACATTTATATCAGCACGAATCAGAAGCGGAAAGCCACATGAGCAAGAGGAGTCTCAGAGTTCTGCGGAGCCTGAAGCAGAAGCTGAAATCCAAGATCTTGAGGAGCAAGCTGCTAAGAAAGGTCAACAAGACAAGAAGAAGAAGAAACGCAAAGCAGTGGATTTAGAAGACCAAGGAGACAATCATAATCATGGTCAAAGAGGTAGGGGACAAAGAGGCACTTCCACCACTAGAGGCGCTGCTGCCACAGCAACTACTACATCAACTGCAGCTAGGCGAAGCATCATCGAATTACTTAAAGAGTCCTGGCGGGAATCCTATAACGCCTTGACGCTATCGCAGGACTACGGGCTCCTTGCAGGGGTTCGTGTTGTTAAGGCTTGAGCAACGAACTCCTTTTTAGTACCAGAAACTTTAAGTATATCAACGTTCCGAATTTGGTAGATGTTGATCTTGATGCATGTCCATCCTGTTCTAGGTACTACTGGCTCACGCGCCAGCACACTTCCTAATTATCGATCCTTGTGCGTTAGATTTTCCTTCTCTAATCTCGTCTTCTACTCCGCTTGCAGTTGCATGTCGATGTTCTTGTTTTATTTGCGGGATGCACTTCACGTTCCCACGAGAGCAGAGGGGATTCGACAACTCTCCGTCGTGGCAATCTTGTCTCAGTGCACAGTGCTGTTGTTTGCGATTCCAGCTTCATTATTGTTGTCTTAAGGCTGACGTTATTGTTATACTTAGATTCCATTACCAGGAGCAGGAGATTTTATATAAATATAAATATACTTAGAGTTAGATATTTATCACCATTCATCGTTGTTGAAGTGGAAGAAATCTAAAAATTCATATTCCCTGTCCCGCAAATTCTTACTCAGTACTTTTCACCAAACCCCTCCTCCTCTTTTTTTTTACCCGCAGTCTTACCATCTGAATTTGTTACGCACTGGCTTTCTCCTTCTAATCCGCAGAACAGCAGTCTTACCATGACGAGACTGGGTTACAGAGAGTGCAGACTCCCCGTACCCAACTGGCGGAAGGTACTAGGTCCGTGGCATTGCAGAAGACGCTCTCCTTTCTCGGAATCCTGGCTCAGATCTTCCTCTTCCTGGCACTTGTTTTATGTCTGGCTGGTTATTCCTATCGTGATAGGACAGAATGAGAATGGATCAGGTTTTTCTTGATGTTAGAGCAGTGATGAAAGTGATCATCAGGGTGCTACTCGACTCAGACACAACTAGAGTCCGGGTAATGATATGAGGCGATTCCTATGGCAACTTGATGGGGCCAAAGATTGAATGGCTCTGGTATTTGGTAACCTGATTTCGATCATGAGGAAAACAAGAAGGGAATCCTTGTGATCGAATTCAGGCTATACCAAAAATACCAGAGCCATACATTATCGTGATAGGACAAAATGAGAATGACTGATGCACACACAAAATAAAACTCTAACACCTATTGTCCCTGGCTTCGCACTAAGCCATGGACCGGACTTCCTCAGCGGTTGTGTCTACGTTGGAGGCATTCTATATGGCCTCAGTACGTGCTTGATGGCCATCGGCGACATGGGGTTGGCACTCAGATTGGTTTTATGATGATTGTCATGGGTCGGTTAGTAGTTACAGTTAGACTTACACTTACTCTTACAGTCGTGTGATAAATAAAGAAAAAACTAGATGATATACTTTTTCACTTCTAGAGCTTCACCCTGTTCTCTGCTGTACTACAAGACCCCATCGCCTGCTGTACTACAAGACCCCATTGCCTGCTGTACTACAAGACCCCATTTATTTTCATCTTCGTCCCCATCTCGTCCGGCACTCACGTTCTAATTCTTCCCCGCTCAAGTCCACTCACTTTCTAACGTACCCCTTCTAGTCCCCACACTTTCTAACTCTCTAGTGGTCCCCACACCTTCTAACTCTTCCCGCAGGCGTTGGTCACGGAGCTGCAATGGCGCTTTTTGGTCCTTCGACGACTTACGGATACGTCTTAGGCAGTGTCGTGATAGGCTTTGGATTGAGCTTCTTCAAGGTTGCGCCTGATGCTGCAGACTTAACATCTCAGCATCCTTTACTAAGCGGCATGCAGAAGGAGAACAACGATGTATGGTTGTAGTTTTTTCTCTCATCAGCTCCTAAATAAGCAAAGAACTAATGCTTGTTCCTCCCTTTAATGATACACCCATGATCTCAACCTTTAATACAGCACCATTCAAAAGTCATCTGGAGGCTTTAGTAAAGAATAATACAGGACGAGGACCATTCAGCTGAATAGTTCCGGTATTTGGTAACCTGAGTTTGATCATAAGGGAAAACAAGAAGAGAACCCTTGTGATCAAATTCAGGTTCTCCCGGAGGGCCATTCAGCATCTCCCGGAGGATATAACTCCTTTCATAGAATGCTGGCAAGCAGGTCCCCGGTATGGGCGCTGCTGGTGGAATCGATGGGGATTGGGTTCCAGCTTACAAAACAGAAGGATACCAGATGATTTCGCTTTGCTGTATCATGCTTATGGCTCCTTTAGGTTCAAGAACATGGAAAATGATAATCCTTGTCAAGGCTATCGCTATTGAGGACTTGATGTTACTAAGTAGTTGCAATTAATATTGCAAAGTTGATATAGTACTTCATAACGTGATTAAGTAGTTGCAAATCTCAACATCGCGAAAGAGATATTAACGATTCCTGCTTCAATAGTAGATGAATAACTTGTTGTTCACTCAGGTATGGCTACAAGTGCAAGGTTTAGTGGTCCTAGAAATACTACTTCGTCCAAATCATGCGGTCGTGGTCGCAATAGCCTACTTTCATACCTTTGCGAATTTGGTCTGTCCTCTTCCCCTCATCAACCCTACTTTCATGCCTTTGTGCATTCTGTCCGCAGTACTGCTTTACCTCGTGGACACGCCACGAGCATTGCGTGCTTCACTCTCGGTGGTGCAAAACTACAAGCAGGATTCGGAAAGAGTAGTGGATGAGGAGAGTCCAGCTACGTCGAATGACGATCATGAGCAACCGGGAACTTCGGAAACCGAGTTTGCGGCAGACGATCATGTTGGCGAATTCCACTCAAGAGTGGGGAGAGCAGGAAATGGGAGGTAGATTGATGTTGAAGAAAGGGGATTTTGAGATACACAATACTATTGCTTCCGGTTAAGTAGATTAGTGGTCGATACTGGGTGTAGAGAAAAAACGAGGTACTAAATCGTACTGCTGCTTGTTGAGGTGGACGAGGAGGATGTAAGTTTAACTGATGCAACTTAGCTATGTTGACATTTGGTTTGTGATTATTTCCTTGTGCATGTGCAAATAGTAGATGTAGAGTGCTGGTGGGGGAGACTTACTATTTAACTGTGACTTCTAAGTACCTGTACCTATTACGTAGACTTACTAGAAGACATTTCCTTTCAACAACGTGTGCAATGAATTGTATTTGCTGTCATCAATAATATCATGATCATTTTCAACATAGTTCTTCACCAGTCTGTCATATGGAAGAGGGCGTGGGCGATGATAGAGACTGATGCTCATGCTGAGCGCAAGAAATAGTATGTGCATGACGTACAGATTGTTATCTGATGGTTCTATTTGCAGAGCTTAGAACTAACATCGTTTCAGCCTCGCCGGCTCTAGTAGAGTTTGTCGGGTTTAGCACGTTCTGAGGGCTGGGGGAGGTGTTCGCCTCTACTGCCGAACGGAGACGAAGCCAGGACGAAAGACGCCTGAGATATTTTCCGTTGCCTAGCCTGGTATGGTCGAGGAGTGAGGTTTAAACAAGTCGGGACCTTATTTCTTCTATTATCCAACTACTTAGCAGTTAGCTCTCCAGAACACCAACACCAGAAGCTAGGACTCTAAATCAGAATTTTCCACAGATCAATTTCATAATCTACGAAAGAGCAACACTGAGACTAGCTTCTTGAACTTCTACAACTTTGCAACGAGTCTGTCTCCCTCCGTGTTTACACCATCACCAAAAAGACGAAGTTACATGCTGTAGACCAACCAACAAGATGAAGTTACATGCGTCAGACGTTCTCCATGCAGCGCCAGCAAGGTCCTTCCCTCTCGAAGTCCGCATCGAGACACATCGAGGTCTCGGGATCCATCCGTTGGAGAAACGGATATTACAAATGCCTTTGTTCAGGCATGCGCCACAGCTGGGGTTTATGATGTTACATGAACTCTAGTATACTGATGTAATGCACGTAGGCCTCTGAAGATGAAGATGTAGACTTCTAATTTCCATTGTGCCGTCCTCCTGTTGCAGCTTGGCGTTTTGCCTTTTGGCTCACTGTATGCCTTAGCACGCGTCTGCCGACCGGTCACTACAGCCAGCATCTTCACCGCCTATATTGTTCTCAGTGGTTGGCTGGAGGTTGCGGACGAGAAAAACAAAGGCGACGCGGTCGATAAATTACACGATTGCGATTTGATGGGGCCTGTAGTTACGATGTTTTTAGGCCTGTGGTCTACTTCGTAGTTCTACTTCTAGTTCTTGTGGTTGAAGAAGAGCTAGAAATAGAACTAGATCCTAAGCAAGAAGAAGAACCAGGAAACTCTCCACTACATCACATGATTGTATGTTCTAGGCTCAGACTGTTTTCTATTTGCGGTAAAAAGAATCACTGTAGCTGTACTTTGGTCTTCCTCGGTCCATCTCAACATATGTTGTATGGTTCTGGTATTTGGTAACCTGAATTTGATCCTAAGGGTTCTCTTCTTGTTTTCCCTTAGGATCAAATTCAGGTTACCAAATACCAGAACCATTCATATGTAAAAGCACCTACTTTAATACTCTGAGGAAGCTGACTGCCATATCTGACGCATTGCTTGGCAAATGGGATTTGACGCTTACCAGAACAACTGCAACTCCAGCAACATCAACTTCTAGTACTTTGAAAGAGCTGATTCACAAGCTGAATCGTGCATTTCCAATTCCGTTTAATCCAGTACGGGCTATCGGCTATTTAACGTTCGGACATCGACGTTTTGGAGGAGCTGCAGCGGAAAAGACAACAACAAGTAGAAGTCACCAGAGTGATTCACAATCAGATTCAGGACCGCTAGGGCACAGATTGGTTTTTACTGCTGATCTTGGCGCATCATGTCGAACTGCCACGTCTCCTGTTGGTGGAGCTACGTCGGCCGATAGAGCCAGTTGTAGCAGTACTAAGGTCAACTATGTCTTCGGCTTACACCCTCATGGCATCCTTTCACTGGTGAACGGAATGGCATTCGCAATGTGTGGGGACCGCGTCCGTGACGTTTTCCCAAATGTAGCCAGCACACGACTCGCTGGCTTGCCAGCAGTGTTTCAGGTGCCTCTGTTGAGGGAGTTTCTCCTCTACATCTACGGCTCCATATCCAGTGGCGCGAGTGCGATTAGATATAATTAAGGCTCAATTTTAATACAAGAATTCAGTTTTTCTACAGCACGTCATTTTGATTTCTCCCTAGTATTATCCTTTCTACAACCTACTAGGATAGGGAGAAACGCAGAGGCGAGAATTGAATACTTACTTTGAGCTCTAATCCCATCTGGAGACCAAGAAAAGATCAGTGTGTTTGGTCCCAGGAGGAGCATTGGAGAGTCTGTTCACGGAGTTTGGCTGCGATGTCTCGGAGGAGGACGCGTCGAAGAGCATGCAACACGAAGAACAAGGCGCTGAAGCAGCAGATCGAAGTAACGGAACTCACTCTGGAGAAGTATCTTTCATCAGTGTTTCGAGACCACTGCGAGATGCTGGCATTGATATAGACAAGGGATATCATGGTACTAAAATGTCAATGTTGGAGGTTAAAAAAAGTGTTATTGTAGAGCAGTTTTTAGGGGTGCCAGATCCGGGATGGGATGGAACGGATGGACTTCCCACCATTTCAAGCAGGACCGGAAGAATCAGGGGGGTCCATCCGATCCATCCAAGTCCATCCTACATCCGTTCTATAAACTGCTCTATTATTGATTTCATTGCTCGTAGTTGTTTCTCTCTTGTTCTTTGCCATGCTTACGATTGCAGTTTGATATCACCAAGAATTGCATGTCAAAGAACAGGAGTCTCCAAATCCAAATCCAAAACCACCAGCTGTGAACCGTCTCCGTCTGATTCTCGCTGACCGTAAGGGCTTTGTACGACTAGCGATCCTGTCACAGACACCGTTAGTGCCAGTCCTGGGATATGGGGAGAATTCTTTGTACCGTCAGGGATTGCTCAACGAATCTTGGCGGATGATGCAGATGTTATGCTTCTGAGAGGCGTAGTTCTACTTTCTTGTGCTAGTTCTAGCAAGGTGAGGAAAGGACTACCAGATCATGTTGAAGGAACGTTCTTGGAGATTTTTCCATTTCCTGCACTCACATCAATCACATGAACTAACAAGGTCTTTCTCTATCTAATCTCAAATCTTCAAAAAACCGCTGGCTTCGGTTGTCCGCTTGCCTATGGTGCAACTAAGTGGCTTCCGCCTATACCAGCTGCTGTTCCGATGATGACTTCGGTTTTTGGAGCTCCAGTGTCGGTTTCGGTCTTGTGGGGAGAAGTAGAGCAAGTTTGTGCCAAACTCGGAATTCAATTTTCACACTTAGTAGAACAAGTCTTGGTAGTCGAAGGCGAAGGTGATGGTGGCCTAGGTCTTGGGTCTGGCAGTAGTGGAAAGATGGATCCCGGTAGGCAAGAGACCCCGCAAGAGGTAGAAGACACAAGCACGACTGCCCGTTTATCACGGAGTAGTATTAGCAAAGGTGAAACCAGATCAAAAGTTCTTCCTACGAGGACTCGCAGATACTGGCGTTTCAAGCGAAATCTGTGGAAACAACCTCGATTTAAGGAGCCGTCTTCATCTTCGTCGACGAAGCCTGTGACTGTGCCTGAGCCACGAACAACAGTTAATCCTTCAGAAGTACCTTCGGAAAAAAACAAGACGCATCATAAGCAAACAAGCGAGAAGAATCTGTCACAATCGCAAAAATCCTTTACCTCTGTTGTTGAACAAGTTGTAGAAACGGTTTTGGCTAACCCTAGAGATAGAGTGGTGGTGGTCCCTCAACTCACTGCTAAGGAGCAGACGCCATGGGAGAGCGATCCTCTGGAGAAGGTCGTGGATGCAGCTTTTTATGAAGAAGAAGAGGGCAGCAGCAGCACTCCTGCATCTGCAGAAATTGCATCTGACGGAAATTCACCCGGAGGTCAAGATGGAGTGTCTGCCACTGGGGAAGAAGTCTCTCCAAGACACAATCCGTTTGCTGGGAAGAGGAAGTATGCCTCTATAATATCTATTGATCATCAGAAAGATGAAGATGTTTCATCTCGTCAAGGACATGATCAAGAAGAAACAGGTAGAAGTACTTCGTCTTCTTCTAGCACATCAAGCACACCGACGTCACCGATGAAGCCATCTTCTATTTCAGAACCTGATCAAGCCAAACGCGTCTTGACAGCTTGGGAGCTGCAGAACTTACCTAAGCAGGTAATCTGCAGCATCACAAACAGAATACATCGTGAATACATCAATGCGGTTCTCGAGCTTCATAGGCTCACCGCAGGTGAATACGGTACACCAGCTGACCAAGTGCTTGAGGTCATATCGACTGCGCAAGCCAGAGATCCAATATACATGAGGAAAATACGGTATGAAAGAGATAAACTCTTGATGGGTGTTGATAAAGGTAATCAAAATCATGTTGAAGGAATCGGAATGGCTAAGCTGTGAGTAACAAGCAATGTTGACATTGCGACTAAAGAAAGCTAGTTTTACTTTTACACGCTGTTCTTGATTTTCTGCGCAAATACAGATGCTTGTATAGGACTTTTAGAAATAACATGCGGGCACCTCATTTGCTTTGTGTTGTCAGTCTTGCACTTTTTCGGTCCATACTGTTGTGTTTCCATGCCACCTACCCATAACCCATTTCAAGCCGCGTGGAGTGTGTTGTTAGCGTCCACAGCGTATGGCGCCCAGAAATGGCTGTAAAGCACAGCCTGAAAGATCATCCCGCCTATTCTTGGACACTGAAATCTCGTGGCGCAGTGAGGCTTTAACATTGCTGGTCATGGATGCAATGTAGTTCTAGTTTTCAAGATCTCTCGGCTCTCGCTTTCCGACCAGTAAGCATTGACAACATCAACTTTCGAAAAGATCTCGCGTATTGTGATTGACGAAGAAAACATCTATCTAATTACGTTTACAGTACTAACTACTTTTGGTTTGCAAAGTAGTAGAGAAGAAGGACTAGGAACATCAAAATAAAGTGTGAATCGGTGTAGTACTATGTATAATTGTTTCCTAGAAGGAGGTTTTTGTTCCTACTTTTACTTACCAATGAATACCATCATAAATACTCTTGGTGAATCAATCAGATTGTTTGCACAAAACAAAGATCAAAAGAAAATGAAGCACCCTGCCTTTCGCGTCATCGCTTGTAGTTGTATCTTCTCGCCAGGAGTGGCCGCACGAAGATTTCTCGCGGCCACATCGCCGACTGGGGCGTCGCAGCCTTGGGGGAATTTTGTGGCGCCTTCTGTTTTACAGAATCGCCGCTACAGGGAAGCTGAGAAGATTGACATCCTCGATCAACAAGAACGAGAGCCACACGCAGCTCATCCGGTGAGCCAACAGGAGGAGGCAGAGCAACTACAAGCTCATGCGGTCGATGACGATGGAGAAGTAGTTGAATCTCCGCTTAAAAGTCTGAAGAGGCAAGACTCTACTACGACGGCAGATGAAGACGCGACACGACCAACAAATAAACAAGATGAACTTAGTACTCCCTCCTCCGTGCACCAGGTCGTTAGTTCGTCTTCATCTTTCTCGAGCACAGGCAACGCAGCAAGCAGAAGCGACTTCAAAAGTAAAATTACTTCATTGGAGGACAGGGAAAGTCCTCTTCTGGATCTGTATGTAGTTAATGCGGAAAAGGACCAAGACGAGGAAGATCTTCATACTATCCCTATATCAGTCACCGCAGCTTTGACTGGTGAAACAGAGGTGTTTCAGATCGACGCGGTCGAAAAAGGAACCGGGAGAGTGTTTAGGAACGACGTTTAGCTTGTGCTTGTTGTTCATGGAGTTCGAGTCACGATTACTTATACCAGAGTAGTTTATAATAGCACGCATGGCGCATGGAATAGCATGGAGTGCATGGAGCGCAGAGCTTTAAGGGGCGCAAGAAGCTCCCCCTTTAGCTCCATGCTACTCCATTTGATCCATGCACTCCATGCCATGCGAGCTGTGAAACCTTATAAGTTGCTCTGTTATGCAATACCTGCGTACTCTCTCTATCTATGAGCATCAGCATGTTGACTATGCAGCATGTTGGCATGATATGGATGCTTGTGTTGCTGATCACAAAGGGAAATTATACTGAAAATCACAAAGGGAAATTACAACTGTTGTGCTCTTGTTGCTGTTCCTGCTATTGTCTCTCCCTTTATGTTTATTCTAATGCTTGTATGATCGGTGCGCAGTTGCGGCAGCTGCAACACAAGATCGAGGACCGCTTTGGCTACCCAGCAATTTCGCAGATACTACTAGACAAGAAGGATTCCTCACAATTGATTGCTTCTTCCCATTTTCCGAGTCGGGAGACAGTGGTAGATTTAAGGCTTGTTGTGATTATACTATTTAGATGAAAAAGATTCTTTCAAGGTCGTTGGCGTTGCAGTATTGATTCTCGACGACATGGATTTGTCCATTATCAATATCATCCTCTGAAAAAATATGATAATATCAAAGTGAGAGCGTCGTGTCCTCGACTGACAGTTCATTCTCACAAGAGCTCTAATCTTGCCAGCGGAATCTGGAGCATTCTCTGAAATTCAGAATGCATATTTTGGTCCCCTCGACACTCCAGAGTGGGCAACAAGCTTGATCCGCCCTGCTTCATCAGACGACCCGACAACTACAAGCGGAGCAAGTCGTATTTCAGTACCGGACGAAGGCGAAGGGAAGAAGGTTCTCTTCCTCGACCGTTTGGATGCCAACATGGAGTTGATAGTACTACGCGATAGCAGTTCGAGTCACAAAGTACAGATTCTTATGGAAAGCTTGTACCTTTCACTGCCTTATTATACCATAGGACTTGAGAAGTACAGTTTTCGGTTCAGCTATGTTGAGATCGATGTCTCGTAGGTCACAAGATTAATCAAGATAAATCAAATTCGAGTGGAAGAGGTACGTAAAGGAAGACCAACATGATACTATCCTTTTGTTTGGATGATTTATTATTTGTGAAGTCGCCTCTTACTCTTAGGTGCTAGTCAGACTAGAAGCCCCTTATGTATTCGAAGCACTCGCGAGATGAGACCTTCCTCATCCTCTGCTTTCATACCACGTGTCGACTGGGAAGGCACGGTTTTCAACCTAAACGTTTGGCCCACCATGACCTTTCAAGAAGCAAGTCAACGCTTAGTTGAGATTCTTGTAGCTCCGAGGGATGGACCACCTGCGGCAGATTTGATGCGTCGTTTTATGGGTTATATATTTGGGTTGCTTGTCTTGTACTTCTTGTCCGTCATGTTTGACATAGCTCTGGATACCATAGACCTAGGTGACCATTGTCAGATATTAGTATTTATAGGGTTAGCGATGGTTTGTGGCTTCCTTAAGGAGAACGGGTTTCCTTAAAGGATTTCTATTACAAAAAGTTACTACAACTTTCCTTAAGAGGAAAAATCTCCCTTAAGGAGGGCCCTTAAGGAAAAGCTGTTATAGGCCTTGGCTAATATTAGCGCCCTCCTTAAGAGATTCCGAAGGGCTCAAAAGGCTCTCTAAAGCACTTGCGTTGCTAGTGCTACGAGTTCAAACGCACCGCGAACGTGTTAACGTGTTCGCGGCTGTTAGTTTGTAGGCTACTCACGTACACCAGCCACATCAATCTGCAGCAGGACACTACGCGCCCACCCCTAGCGAATCGCCCCAACGAACTCCCAACCGCTCCCCTTGTTATATATCGCCCAGCGCCTTTACTTTTTTTCAAAAATCTTCAGGGAGGCCATTCAAATACAGAGAAAACGAAACGACCCTCCTGAAGTTTTTGGGAAAAAGTTAGCTCGCTCCCCTTCCGCGACTACCTTCCGCACACAACAACCGACCACAAGAGCGCGCGGCAGCCCTTGGAGATGGTTAGCCCGTGCGTGCATTTTTATCAGCACAAAAGTGGGAGAATTGTAAGGGAGAGGGTGAGCACTTGAAAGGGCAGAGGCTGGCGAGCGTCATCACATTGACTCACGAGAAAGCCAAAGATATACAGCTCTGTGCTTGAAAATCGAAGCCGTGGAGGATGTCGATGCTTGTGAGAATGATAACCGGAAGCACTTGCATCGCTGAAGGGTGGACCCTGGTGAGCATCATCATACTCATGAGAAGGCCAAAGATATACATCTCTGGGCTTGAAAATCGAAGCCGCTGCGATGGTCGATGTCTGTGAGAATGATAGCCATGAGGATTTGCATGCCTGAAGGGTGGACCCTGATGAGCGTCATCATATCCACGAGAAGGCCAAAGACGTGCGCCTCTGTGTGTGAAAGTCGAAGCCGTTGGGGATGTCGATGACTGTGAGAATGATAGCCGTGAGGCCTTGCATGTCTGAAGGGTGGACCCTGGTGAGCGTCATCACATCCACGAGAAGGCCCAAGGCGTGCGTCTCTGTGTGTGAAAGTCGAAGCCGTGGAGGGATGTCGATGCTTGTGAGAGTGATACGATAGCCGTGAGGCCTTGCATGTCTGAAGGGTGGACCCTGGTGAGCGTCATCATATCCATGAGAAGGCCAAGGATATACATCCCTGCGCGTGAAAGAAAAGTCGAAGCCGTTGGGGATGTCGATGTCTGTGAGAATGAATGATAGCCGTGAGGACTTGCACATCTGAAGGGTGGACCCTGGTGACTGAGCGTCGTCACATCCATGAGAAGGGCAGCGATATACATCGCTGCGCGTGAAAGTCGAAGCCGCTGAGGATGTCGATGACTGTGAGAGTGATAGCCTTGAGGACTTGCATGACTGGAGGTTGGACCTTGATGGGCGTCATTATATCCATGAGAAGGCCAAGGGTATGCATCTGTGTGTGTGCAAGTCAGTCGAAGCCGTTGAGGATGTCGATGTCTGTGAGAATGATAGCCGTGAACACTTGCATGGCTGAAGGGTGGGCCCTGGTGAGCGTCATCATATCCATGAGAAGGCCAAAGAGGTCCATCGATCTCCGTGCTTGAAAATCGAAGCCGTTGAGGATGTCACCTCCCCAGCCTTCCCTTCTTTGACACAGTGGGAGCCAGCTTCCCAGCCTTGGCGAGCAGACTTGGCGACTTTTTTCGTTTGTCTTTCTGTCTCTTAGTAGTCAACCTGTCTAGTTGTTAACCTATGCCCGGCGCAGCGGGCCCTTGATGGGCCCGCTTTCTGGGCATGTATATTATACCATAGACCTGACTACAGGAATGTCAGAAGGAAGACGTTGGTCACTGAGGTTGTTCGCTGAGATCGAAGAGGCGACCCCTTGAGAGAACAGGGGAAAATGAAGGGAGAGGCTTGGGGCCCTTTTCACTGAGAACCAGTGGCCACTGGGAATGATAGCATAGAAATGATAGATATCTACCCCACTTAGTACTAAGTCAAAGGCAATCAACAACACCATCACATACTATGACACATGGGTTCTGTGACACATAACTACCCACTCCCACCTAACCTATCAACCTATCTTCCTTCGGATTTCTTCCTTCATTTAAAAATGATCCTAACCAATGCTTCTATCCTCCTCCACCCTTCATACAGAACCACCTCCGAGTAGGCTTTATGCACGAGCAGGAACGAGGACACGAAAACGAATTGGCTGAAGAAATCCCGTTGGACGCGACGATGGAAGATGCAGGAGTTCTACCTGGATCGACTCTGAGATTAATGCTTTGACTGTAATCACCAACATCCAGTTCCAGATCTTTCATCTTGTTGTTGAGACTAACTATCTTGGAGACTGACTTTTCCATAAGGGGATTCATCTTGAGAAGCATCTTAGGCTCACGCTTCCTCGGTCAACCTTAATGGTCACTTCCGAGATGGATTTTTAGGGTGAGGTCTAATCAAAGCATCGACGACTTTGCCCGCAAAAGCAAGGTGAGGTGTACCACGATCCGCTGGGAATGCAACGGTTCGAAAGGTTGGCGCATGGACATGACTACACTTTCTGGAGGTCTATTGAGAACTACCAGAAAGTATTACTTACTCTATTAATCAAGAAATCTAAAGATGGAGCCGGAAGAAGACCACACTAGAAGTTCTGAGAGAAGTTTATCCATCTGGAGCGTTTCCTGAAGAAGACCACACTAGAAGTTCTGAGAGAAGTTTATCCATCTAGTATCTTGCAGAATAGCAGAGACCACACGTCTTCTCTCATTAGGACATCTTCTCCCATTAGGGGGCATAGATACTAAAGGTTTTTTGTTTGAAGCAACCTCATTTGTGGTTCTTTGGAACTTCTATCCATGACGATGACAAGCATTCGAGATATTAAAGACAAAACTCTCGTCTGCAAGGTTTTCAAAATTAGTCTTCGCGCAGGCATAACAGAACGAGAGCGTATTTGATATCGTCGCGGAAGAACAAGCATGGTGGGAGTAAGGAAAAATTGATGTTATTCGAACGGTAGTCGTACGAGAGAGAGGGAAAGAGAGAGCAGGAGAGAGACAGAGAGAGCGAGAGATCATTTCGATTTTCGTTGTCGAACTCCATCGTCCATCGATTCTCAATCATTTCGAGCATGTGAGTGATCGTGATGGACCTGACATCCTAAAAGCAGAAGTCTCTCCAAAAGCGGTCTTTGAAGTTTCTCCTCACAAGGCTCGTCCCTGACGTATTCGTATAATTATCAGAGTCAACTAGTTGTGACCCGGGGGCCCGGAGGTGAAGGGGAAGCGCTTGGACAGAGAGGGCGAGACTGCTAGTGACGGCCGCGCCGCGGAATGGGTTGGCCCCGGAAGCAGGTGAGCGGGCCTGTTTTGCTGAAGGCGACCAAGGGGGGAGAGCTTCTGGCCGTGCTCCGTTGGTGCGCGGGGCGGCCGTCCCCGCCGTTGCGCCGGATTTGGGTTGCGAATGCGGGAGCCTCTGAAGCATGATATTTGACTCTCGTAATTATACGTTAGGGAACTTATGAAGCCCGTCCCTAACGTGTAACTACCAGAGTCAATTATTACGAGCGCATAGGCGACGAGAGCGAGATTCAATCGTGTACACCATCACACCTATTCTATCGCCGCCAACACTCATCTTTACAGCTTTCTCCTCTACCTTAATATAGTAGATTCGGCAGCTCTAACAAGAAGTAGTAAAACTGTACGTTTCCAAGAACATTTCCATTTGCTCCCTTGTCGTCATCTGAGAAGACCTCACTTGAGAACAAGACCTCTAGTACGTCTACAACCGCTAAGAACATTTTTTACATACATTTCTCTCTGTAGTCTTTGTACAACAACCTTCTCTCTCAGAGGTCATCTTCACTGACTTGTGAAAACAGCCAAGAACCACAAGATGTCGTCTACAATCCGCTCTGTTTTGGTTGCACTATTCGTCAGCCTCGAGCTCATCCGCGAAGTCGCTGGACGCAAGCGCACCCAAGCATCTCAGTATGCGAATGCTTTCTTAGATTATGGCAGAGCAGGGTAGACAATGTCAATGTTGTAATCATTTTACTACCTCATTTAGATGGCGAGGACCACAATCGAGATGATTCATTGAGTTAAGTGTTGTTGAAAATGAAACAGAAACTGCATTCCAGCACATTTCCATTTACAGGTCTTCTTTACGTGTACTTAGTCGAGATTGCTAATAAAAGAAGAGTTGTTTCAACCTTTGATATCGAATTGAGTCTTCTACGACCTCATTTTTTACATGATGTATGTAGCGGGTAGAACTCGTCTGGGAAATATTAGGCAGCTCGCCGAATCGATTCAAACCGTCATGTGTATGAGGAAAAAAATCCGCGACGTGATAGATTGTCGGCGCTAAACTCCTCTTAGATGGCTGAAACACAATTCCGTAATGCGTCTTCATCTTCTAATCCGAGTTGTCTTCCGGCGACTCCGCGCGTATGCATAAGAAGAAGGCAGGAGAGGCCTTGCTCAAGAACGGCGAGACTGGTCCGGTAAAGTGTGAGGTTATGGAGTCACTTCAGGAACAACAGGAACACGTTGTACATGGGCGTCCAAAGTACATGGACGTCCATACTCAAAGATGATGGTAATGTTTAGAGATGTGATAAAGTACATCGACGTTGTTCTCAAGGATGTTTAAAAAAGATCATTCGATTTACTTAACTACTTTTCATTCGTAAAACATAACCTAATCTAACCTAATCGTGATCGTGAAGGATCCACAACCGCACCGAACCTAAAAAACAATCAAGGACTACAACTAACTCAGGGGTTGTTACTTCACAACATCCAGAAGACAATGCCAATGTTTTCTAAGAAAAAAATCCAAAAGACACTGACAGAACGTGGCGAGGGCCTAGCGGATGCAGCATACTGCAATGGTGCGGACAAGGTTCAGGAGAAGTTGGTATCTCCATTTCTTTTCCTATTTTATTTGATATTGATACTTACTTTGGACTTAAAAACTTTTTTATATCGTCAGGAAAATTATTGGCACTTTGCCGAGCAGTAGTAGATTCAAATTATCAACTTCGACTTGATGGAGGACTGAGTGCAAGAACCTCTTCATCAGAATGAATCTAAAGCCATACGACGTAGAAGATCCTGTGCTGTTTCTAAAAATATTCCATTAATAAATAAATACGGCAGGCCGATCACAACGTACCGAGTCTGAAGGAGACAACAGTAGATGCGGAGCTCAAGGAGAATGTAGAGACTGTCAAGAAAAACTGCTGCAAACTTATGGCAGGGGAGTGCCTTTTGAATACGAATACCTAACCTTAAGTAAATTTAGATCCAGTGTTGAAACGATGGATAACGAACCTCAAGTTACTCACTCACTATAGTCAACATCGAGCACCTGGACGTGTTCTGCGTCTTTGAGGACGTGAAACGAAGATGAACTTCAAGTTTATAATCTTAATCATTTACAGTACAATTGTCAATGGTACTAGTAGTACTTCTACAACCTCTTCTATGTCTCTCTGACGAATCCGTTGATTCAAGACTAAAGTAATATCCATGTTGAACATCAGTTGTTGAACATCTCTAAGAACCCGGAGGAACCAGCACCCGCACCAGCAGAAGAGGCGGCAGATACGAAGCCAGCACCGGCCGATGGCTCGTCATCGTCTTGCTGCTGATTTCGAGTTCAGGTCGAATAACCTTCAAGGTCATATGAAGGTCTTGTGAAGTAGATTTAGAAGAATCAGAAATGAATGTAGTTAATGAGAAGTTCAAAGAGCGTGAGGTATGAGGAATATGAAAAATAGAACTCTTGAATAGACTAGTTGTACTAGAAAATTAACAAGGAACAACTCTTGAGGTTGAGCAGACCTCTTCTTCTTCAGATGAACTACTTCTAGTACATCTACTTGTAGTTAGGAACAATTCATCCATTGCCAATGTCAATTAGATATCAGAATTATCTTTCCGTTTCCTGCTAAACTCAACAAATCAAATTTATCTTTCAATTTCTAATACAAAGTCAGACGAGTCAGACATTCAATTTCAAATCCAATCTCCGACTTCATCCTTAAAGGTTGTCACTGTGCACAGTTGTAGTAGTAGCCCTACGCGTACGCCTATCAACTAAATATACAAAACCCCTGTCAACTACAACTTCTAAATTGATATAACGACGGAAATGAAAATGTTGACCACATTGTGTAGACCACAAATAGTCTTCACAGCAGTGAAAGTGATGTTCTTGTACAGTTAGCTGTGTGCTGTTGTCGTTCCCCCCGTTTCGTCGTACTCGTAGTTTCTGTTTTTCTCTCAACAAAAAGAACTCATACCACTTATCGACAAAAAATTTATCTTACATGTTCACGCAAATGCAATACTGCTCTTCTAGGAGGACTCCGACTTTTTCCCATGTGGTGGATTGATGGAACCATCAACCCTATTTCACTACCTTACCTTTCCCCTGTCCTGTTTGAGTCAGTATACCAGATAGCATACCTCCACCAACCTTTGGTGATCGATGACAAAAGTGAAAAGGAATAAACCCTGTTCCGTTCTTTCCAGAAAATGACCCCATCAAGAAAACTCTTCTTTTTAAGTGGAGGAAGCGGATGAGGAGACTGCGCGTCGAAGTACGTTGTGGTGTTCAATACTATTTGTGCTAAGGCCCTTCATCTCCTTCAATCGCGACCTCCAGCGTTCATTTTCTGCAAAATACAGCGACGTATGTGGAGGATGTTGTCAGTCCAGACGGCTCCATTTGATGAATGTCTTCATGTTGTTTGACCCAGCTGCAGATCCAGTACCTATTCCTATCCTCACGAAGGAACCTGAGTGTTGCTACTATGGCGAAAGTCCGCGCAGCACTCCTGAGATAAATAACTAAATATCAAAATTCTAGCACGAGAACTCGAAGTACTAGAATCTAGAACAATCAATTGCCTCTACCAAAAACAAGAAGAGGATACTTAAGAAAATGGCCATCGATCACGACCTGCAATCACCTGGTCAACATGCGGCATGCACCCAAGGACATCCCTCTGCAACGTCAACATGTACTACCACGGGTACAACTGGTTGTCAGCTCCCTACTTCGTCATCCTCTTCTCTCATCTCTTTCTCTTGCACCACCGCTACCGCCTCAAGTACGACGACCACCATTCATCGTCTTACGCCTTTAACATTCGCCTGGGATCAAACTGATCAATGGGTCAAGATTTACATCGATCTTGCTCAAATTCTACATGAACCTGCACATAATTCTGATGAAGATGGAGATGCTGTGGGCAAGGACAGAAGTAGCATTATTAAACCTGAGGCGCCTGAAGAATTTCAATTCTCTTGTCCCGATGAGTGGACTGCTTACTTAGTCATCAATAGAAAATACGCCTGTCGCTTGTCAGATCTGTGTCATAGAATCATACCTGAAGAAAGCAAGATGAAGAAAGGTACAAAGCGAGTGACACTGTCATTACGTAAGAAAGAAAAAGAAAATCATTGGTTCAATTTGCATCAAAAGAGAACGAAATGAAAATGAAACTTCTATCTACTAACGTCATGAGGTGGCTGTTCAATATTTGTCGATCGCTTCATGGAAATGCGTCCGAGAAACATGTTGCTGTGAAATGCTTGTCGCTACCGGTCGGTGAAACAAGCGTAGAAGTGTTCATCTTGTGTGGCAAAATTTGATCCCCGTTTCTTGTCAAATCCCTTCACTGAGTCATCAATTGTTGGTGCGCTGCGGATCACCTTGTTTGCATGTATGGCAAATGCGTGGACCACGTTCTTTAGGATATTGATTCTTGTCAAATCATTATCAGGTTGATGCGTTCTTTTCTCTGGCGTGTGTTTTTTAAGAGAACATTCGTACTAGACGGCGTAGATATGATAGGAAAAGAAATGTCATTGGATTCTCAAGAACGGTGTGATGTGATGACCAGCAAGTGATTCTATCACGACTAGTAGCCACTAAAAAAACTAAAACCTCGCTTAATCACCTGTGCTTGTTGTAGGAGCATTTTCTTCTAGGAATTGCTTAGCTCTTTTTGCAAGGAGCAAATGAAATTTTAGCCGGCTCATGATTTGAACAACAACGAAACAACAACAACAACAACAGCTCCTACAATTGTACTCATCCACAAGAATTAGCGCGCAATATCACAACAATGGCCGCAGCTCCTGGAGGCCTCGAGCTGCATCAGCTCTGGGTGGGTGGTTTGCCTGTCGTCTGCTCCGAGGATGAAGTCCGCAGTGTGATGGATAAATATGGACGGATTTTACAGGTACACAAGATAATTATGGCTAGAACTAGTAGTGGAAGAAGTTGTAGTTGTACTATGGTAGTTTCTATTTCTAACATTATCTACAACAACTACATCAACAACATGTGAGCGTGAAAATAAACATCATTTCTACCACTTCTGCACCAGACTGCAGTAATTCCTACATTCTATATTCCAGTAGCTATGCTGATGCTGTACTTTGCATTACATATTTATTCTTCACACCATCTTCACACCCTCCCCCACCCCATCACGACACAACAGTGCCGTTACAGCAAGGCGAATTCGTTGCGTCCGTTTGCTTTTGTGATGTACAAGCATGCTCACGAAGCGATTACCGCTTTGAAGGAGCTTCAGGGTTCGACTACGGCTTTTCCTCGCAGTGGAAAACCTCTCCGCGTCGAGTATCAACGCGTAGCGGCACCGCCAGATTTGGAAATCCCCGAAAGTGAAGAAGAACCGGAACAGGAAGAAGCGGCACCAGGTGAGGAGAAGAGAGTTAAGGTTACTTCTAGTGATCGATGTTGAGAGTGTGCAGCTTCAAGTTCGAAAGATAAGGTACTGTCATGAAACAGAATATTCTCATTCAAAGTGATACGATAAAAGTAGTCATGAAACAGAATATTCTCATTCAAAGTGATGTGAACAACCTCAACCTCTACTTCGCCAAAAGGAAAACATGACAGGCCCATCGTCCTCTCTTTCTTTCAATATCTCCACCTCTAACGCTCCCTCTAAGAAAAGTCACGAAGAGAGGACAACCAACGTTGGGTCGCACTCGAAACGCCCTTCGAGGTCTCGCAGTCCCTCTCGCGGACGCAACAAGAAATCGAGTCGTGAACGTCGTTCACCGGCTCGTCGTTCGCCGGCTCGCCGAGAACGTTCCAACCGTCGCTCTCGTGGCAGGCGAGAACGGAGTCCTTATGGCTTTGAATTGTTGTAAACCATTAATTTGTTGTTCATTCCTTCCATGTCTAACAGCAGTATATTCTATTGATTTATTTGAGAAGATGGGGAAAAATCTACTCGGACGAGAGAACCTTTCCTAGGAGGAGCCAAGTTTATCTACAATTTCTAATCTCCTGTCCGTCGCGAACGCTCTCCGCATGGTCGCCGCTCTCCAGCACGTCGTTCGCACGGCCGACGCGACCGGTCTCCACCTCGACGTGAACGCTCTCCACCACGACGTGAACGATCTCCACCACGACGTGAACGATCTCCAGCCCGCAGGGCTGCGAAACGCTCCTCCCGTGACCGGGGCTCTCCTCCGCGTGATCGACGTGATCGATCTGCAACTCGTCGTGAGCGTTCTCCCGCGGACAAACGCTCTCCTCCGCGTGATCGACGTGATCGATCCCCAGCCGAACGTCGATCGGCACGTCGTGAAGATAGAAAACGTTCGTCCCGAGAACCACAGCGCCGCCAAGATTATGACGAGGTGTTCACTAACAAGATAGCGACAACGTGTCTAGCGTTATTGAGTACTAGACTCGAGTTAGTTTATCAGTAAAGCAAGAAAGCGTTGTAGGAAGTAGCGATGCTCTTTGATGTTCTCAGTCAATCAGCACCCTATCCCTACACGGCTGCTGCGCATTCAACCAGTTACAGCCATCTATGACGCCCTTAAGGCAGTCTGCACTGAACTTTGTGCGAGATTAATTGTATTGTAACAAGATGAAACTTTTCTAGTTCTACTTCCACCCCTCCCTCTAACAAGAGAAACGTCGTCAAGAGAACTCCCGTGAACGCTCTGAGGAGAAGGAGAGGTCTACATCCCCACGTCGCAATACGAGACAAGAATCTGAGGAGCGGCCACGCCGTCGTGCTCGCCTTGAGCGGGATAGCCGAAGTCGCAGATAAGGACTAGTACTAGGGTGTTGTAGAAGTGACGACTGACGTTTTTAGAGTCGTGTCGTGGTGGAACAACAGGTGCTGGAAGTAAGTTGAGGTCGCAAGTAGGAAGGAACAATATGAGACGTCTTCAAGTAGGCGGATGATGAAAGAAGATGAGATGACGAAAGAACAAGATGAGCTACCTGGTGGATACGATCTCAAATAGAAATGCTACGACTGAAATTTTGGGAAGACGCGTTGCAAGAAATGATTTGTGTCGAAGAAGTGGTGGAGGACTTCTCTGTAGGGATTTTGAGAAGTTCACTAAGAGGATGAAATTGAAATATCATGAGCAGATATAACGATCTATTGTTCGAGTAACTAAAGTGTCGTGTTGTTGTTTAAAGAGTCACCCTGAGTGTGAGTTCTAGGTCGCATCTCCATATTTTTATAGAAAATTGTCCGAGACATTATTGGTGTAAAAATTTAGGAAAGTAATCATGAACAAGGATCATCCTACATAACCTCAATCTTAAAAAACTGATCACATTCATCAAATACTCAATCTCAAAACCCTTTGTTAATAAATATGTGTCACAAGAACAATCAACTACAAAGACTACGCTTTTAAGATGACCCCAACCCGAGCCCAACCCTATCCCTGAAGAACATGACCGCCCTAAACCCTAAACCCAAACCTAAAAATTGCAACATTATCCAGATATCTTCGCAGCCACATCCAATTAACTTAATGGGTAGCGCTAATCCGGATACAAGTGATGTTCTTGAGTACTAGGAGGGATCCTGTTCAGGAACATATACGTATCGACTGTTATGTCACTGGAATGCGGATTCTGTTCACTAGTAGAATACGTAACCAGCTGTAGATGTTGATGTTCCTGATGAACAGGATCTGATACCACACCGGAAGCTAACTGTAACTGTGTCAGATCCTGCTCAGGAACATCTACTGTAGGTCGAGAGTCTGCAACCTTGTCCGGTGTCGCTGTCCCCTTAAGAGTCGGCGCAGCTTCGTCGTGTTTCGTATTGAAGGGTGAGCTTTTTCCTCTTCAAACAGTCGAAAAATAGCAGGCGTGTGGGCTGCAAAAAGCCTCTCGTTCATTTTTTACGTTACATGTAACTGTGTCAGGCAAGACCAAGATCAAGGTTCTGCCTTTCTTTGGTAGCAACATGCGAGGAACAGAAAATCGCTTTTGATGAGCAGCACAACAGTTCAGCTAGTCCTGCTGCAACCAATCATCGGCCGTACTAAGTACATAAGCAGCACTTGTAGGTAAAAAAGTGAGACCTCTTTTGGATGCTGATCTGATGTATGTAGTTGGCAACGAATATCATGCTGAAGGATCAGTGATCGTAATGTTGTCAACGAAGATCGCGCAAAATTTATCAGGTCGAGCAATTCATTCTGAACAATACAAACAGGGCCAGGGCGGCGAAGATGAATCTATTTCTAGTGTAAATGTAAGACGTGATTTCTATGTCAAACAAACGGGCGAATGAAGTCTGACACGTCAGATGCTCTTGTTCGCCTACGTCATTTTTCGAAAGATGTAGTGCCTTTGAGTAGATTTGACTTAGCACGTAGCATTCGGCTTATTTGGAAAGCGAGACTAGTATAGCACCGTTGATGTTTCATAGAAGGACATCATCGAACATCTTCACCTCTGAATTTTCTAAGTCTTTTGCTACAAATAACTAGATCAATTCATTACCTCCATCTTCTCTATCTTATCCAATCAACGAGAATAAATATCGACGTCAAAAGCATCAAAATGTCGTCTTCCAGCTCCACGTCGTTCTTTTTCGATCCTGCTACGGCCAGTGATGGACAGCTATTTTTCCTCACTGCTGTCTACGGCTACGTTCTTTATCAAGCCAGTGAGTTGATCTCGAGCGGGAGTGAGCTTCTACTTCTCGTTCCTAGCTTAGCTGGCGTCGTCGGAACCGTCGTTTTGCCGGTCTTAGCTGCTGTGCCAGATGGGTTGATGATTCTATTCAGTGGACTAGTTTCTACAGATAATCGTAGTGGCGATGATCATGCTGGTTTGTCATCATCATCAAGTCGCTCATCACGTACACGTGCAGACCAAACTCTCGATGTTGGCGTTGGGACATTAGCTGGCTCTACCATAATGCTCCTAACGATTCCATGGTTTCTGTCGATCTTGGGTGGCCGCGTGCCGCTCTCTCATTGCGCTAGGACTGGGGAACTGGGGAGGAAAGATGAAAATTATACGAGCCATGCGAATGCAGCTCGTCTAGCGGAGCATCAAATTAAGGCTGTACCTAATACATCTTTGGACGTATCCTTGGAACTACGTATGGAGGAGTATCCGGAGCGAATGCTCCCCCATACTTTTCAAGGATGCACTTGAAAGATGAATTACGGACAGCGCTAATCAAAGTACTAAAAAAACTATTAAAGTTGATGGCGCAGATCAAGTTTTTAAAGAACAAGCCCGAGGCGGAGTCCGGACCGACGTTGAAGATGTTGACAAAATAAACGGGGACAACGAGCAGGATCATGACATCAAAGAGGACGCAACTGCGACGAGGCTAAAAGAGGATGAGCATCCACAAGTTGAATTAACACCTAGTAAACGAAGCTGTAATAGTAATCCGGTGGGGTCTGCTCTCAACGGTGCCGAGCAGACGCAAGAGGGTGAAGTGGGAGTCTTTTGGCCTCGATCAGCAGTGGACAAGATGCCTTCAAATACCAAGTCTACTTCATCAACACTATCGGTGCCTCTCCTAGACAAGCTTCCAGCTGCGTATGGCGAAGAGCAGCAATCACAGACTACATTGCTTCCTTGGAGGTCATCTACTTCAGTCTTGCCTCAGCAGTTGCGTGAAACTGGACTAGAGACGTGGAAGGAGGCGTCCACGTTTTTGCGCTTTCGTGGTGGACGCGTAACTGGTGTGATTCGTAAAAACGCTTACTTCATTCTTCTCAGCTCCTTGGTCTATGTCTGGCTGCTAGTACCGAGTTTGCTGTTGGTAGCTTCTAAGGAGGCAGAGGCCTCTTCAGCATCGTCCGCATTTTTGGGTCGTGAACATCCGCACCAGGCGACGAGCAAGCTCAGAATTTACCTGGTCGAAAATTTCTTCATATTGAGCAGTTTTTTTGCCTGTGTGCTGCTCTTTTTTTACTACCTGCGCCTCCAATTTCAGCATACCTCTGAAAAAAAGCCTGCTTTGTCGGCTAGTCTGAATCTATCCGTGCTCTCCGCTGTCGACGACACTTTCCCCCAAGAGGAGGCAAGAAGGAGTAGAATCACCCTTGTTGAAAGACTGCACGACCAAGATGGAAATACATCAGAAGTAGATGATGAAGATAATTATTTTCCTTCCCAGCACCAACAGCAAGTCCAAGACCACGATGAAGACCTCCACCAATCCACAACCATCACGACAAGACCTCGCCTCCACCACGCCCAAAAATTACATGTACAACTACCTCTCCACCGTGGTGCTGGTGGGGCCTCATTAATGCTTCCCACACGTCATCATGCTTCCAGTTCCACACGTCATCTCCTCTCCCCTTCTGCCCTCGTTTCCACTGCCTCTCTTGTAGAGGAAAAGATCATTGGAAAGATTTGTGATGCCATACGCAGTGGTGAAATTACTCTCTGTGGCGCCCTCTCAGACGTTCAATGTGGGCAACAGGTCCGGAAAACCCCAATTCAACATCCTCGAGTCTCAAAGATGCTCTATGCTGCGGATTCGACTGAACTTGACAACAAAAACGCAGGAGGAGATCATGGGCATGGGCCCCAAGCTGTAGTTGCAGGACGAGAAGAAGGAGAAGAAGAGCCTCCAACGGCATTTTCTTCTGTCTCTCGAAACACGAAGGGAAAAGGAGTCACCGTTTCCTGGATGGAACCTCTGGCAACACCGCTACTAGAGAAAAGTCCTGAACTCGAAGCCTCCCTGTTCACTCCCGCTGATAAGCGATCGACTAGTACTCGATTGCTTGCATTAAACGAAGCGGGTATTGAGACGGAAGACCGACGTTTTGCTAGAGGTGGCCATCATGAAGATATGGGGGAATCGGGAGTTGTAAGGGAAAGCGATCATTCGTGTTGTGTAACCAGTGGAGTCGCAGAGAAGGAAGATGAAGTTCATAAAACAAGAACAGTACAACTAATTACCAGGATGAGCAAACAAACGATCCCCACTAGTTCAACCTCCAATGTGAAGAACACCACGAAAACGTCCTCCAACTCCGCCATTCAACAGTCTGCTCAAGAGTCTCAACATCAACTCCGACAACACGTGAAGCGAGCGCGCAAGATCCTTGCGCCTTTTTATGCTTTCTACGACGCAAACAAGGACGGCGAGATCGACTTCGAAGAGTTTCGCTTGGTTCTGCAGGATTTGAAAGTTTCAGGGGCCAGCAGATCCGACGACCCCCGTGAATTCCAGAATTAAGGCTATTGGGAGTTGACCTATCATCTACTTAAGTATATCTAAGCGCGATACCATTGTCATTGGTAGCAAGAAGTAGCTAAGAAATCTACTAGAACTTACTTAAGGCTTACCAAGAATTAAGGCTTCTTCAAGTAGGAAAGCCAAAGATATGCGAGCTAGAGATGGTGCCAACTTTCAGTTTCAACCCCTAACAGAAGCAGCTTTTTGATGCTGGAGATCTCGATGGGAATGGAGTCATTGACTTCGACGAATTCGTTTACATAATGCTGAAATTTGCCAACCGTCAGGACTTCTCCAGCCACAGAAGAGCAGGATTTTTAGACAATCTGCATCGAGCAAAAGCTGGAGAATGGTTTCGTGCCTACTTCGCTAGTAGTACCACGAGTGCGACTCCTCCTGCTCGTGGTGGTGCCGAAATATTAATTAAGGCTCAGCTTTCAATGGTCATTGGGGTTGGTCACTGAGGTCCCTCTTGAGAGAACAGGGGAAAATGAAGGAAAAGCAAAGGGAGAGGCATGGGGCCCATTTCTTTCAGAGTCAGTGGCCATTGAATGCTGAGCTTTAAATTAAAGAGAGATGTAGAAGGACAAGGAGAAGAGCGTGTAGTTGTTGAGAGTCCTGATGGGACAATTGTGGCGGGGTTCCATCCTGGACAAGCAGGTGATAATGGGCAAGATGATGATCAAGATGGTCATCCTTGCAACGACCGCGACACAGCATCTGCAAGAAGCGGAAACTGCTGCAAAGGTCTCGGATCGAGATCAAACACATCGAGCTGCTCTGGTGCAGCTGGTGCACATGGAGGTCAACTACAAGGTCGAGCGCAGTCTACAACTGCTTCGAGCAATCCCTCCTGTCCGAGCGACTTAGCGCATCTAGATATGTGTGAGCAGCAGTATCGCTTGAAACTACGCGCTTTTTCGACTTGCGGCTTGGGAGTTTTGTTAACATTAGTGTTTTCCGATCCCGCGGTCGGTGTCATGGCTGAAATAGGCAGTCGACTGAACATGCGACCTTTTTATGTGAGTTTCATCCTAGCCCCATTGGCAAGCAATGCCAGCGAATTGGTTGCCGCATACCACTATGCGAGGAAGAAGAGTGTCAAGTCACTGACTATCGCTCTTTCTACTCTCGAAGGTGCAGCGTGTATGAACAATACGTTTTGCTTGGCGATATTTCTGTTTCTGATCTTTTGCCGCGGTGGTCCTCTGAATTTAGCAAGCAGATATGGGCCTGAATTCTTGTCAATTTTGGCCGTAGAAGTCTGTGTAGCTGCAATTGCTTTGACTCGAGAAGTTCACACGATGCTCTCTGCGGTCTTCATACTCTCCTTGTTTCCATTATCGATATTGTTGGTGTGGACAATGGAGAACATGAATCATGTCTAGCGTATTCCCGGTTTCTGTTTCTGATTTTGAGTGGTACGTACTAATCATGGACGAGATAATGAAAATGATAGATAAGTCTGCTGGTGCTGGCATGTGATTATTATCTATCATAGTCATAATCGATATTCGGCAATAACAAGCAAATTTTTGAAACGACCAAATAAAGATCTACTGAAAAATGAATGCTGAGCTATCCACCACGACGGATATATTTAATTAGTAGCATTTCCTGCTCATTGTATGCTTTCTCGTGAAATACAAATGAATTATCCTTTCCGTGACAAGCATCCCTTGGGCTTCCGTTTTCCCTTATCGCCCGTTTATCCTCACGAAACTCATATTCATCTTCTGGCCTCTAGTCCTACTTGCTCTTCGACGTTTCAAGCTCATCTTCGGTAAAGCATACCCATACGTCATGTCACTTTACGAGTATCGGTATCAGTAGTACTATTACCCAGTACAATACCAGCTGCGGTTGCACATAGAAGCTATAGTCTCCATTTGGTCACGAGTTGAGGGAGACGGAAAAGCCTAACACTCTCGGTAGTTACCCTATCTGTTATAAGAGCGGCGTCTCCCAGGCCCTTGATTCCCTCCATGTGAGCACCCTCCGTTTCCCCGCGCCACGGTATAATATACTCGAAAGGTAAATATGACCGAGTAGCTAAGAACTGAAATAGCAGAGTCATTACGTTGCACTTGTTTCAGTTTTTCGCTTATTTTAAGTAGTTGCTTGCTTATTCTTATTGTTATTTCAGCTTGCTGTTTTGAAGTTATCGAAGTGTTTCACAGTCACAGATGGTCGTACTTGACTCTAAACTACTAACTTGGTTTTGTGCTGTAGTTCGTTGTTGACAAATGGAGTCATTCATATCATTGCTGGTTTGCGTCTCCACAAATTACAGGTTGTTCTGTTGAGATAGATTTTCTGCATTCTACTACTAATGCAAGAACTCTATGTACCGATTCTCAATGATCATCTATTCATCTGATTCCTGAAATTAAATACAGATCATAATGCCTCCGGGTTATCAGGCAAGCCCGGGGCCTCCTGGAGGAGACGGCGAGTAACACTACATTAACGTGGGAACAAGATATCTTCGCCTCCTTCTTCTTCTTAGAAAGTACTCCAGCTACTTTTACACTTGACAACAAGGTGTTGGTAAACTAGTATCAACGCTTCTATCAGCTGCCGGCTGAATCAAATCCATCGAGCGGTTTCTTTTTCCGCGAAAGTAGAACCGCGAAGTTAGAAACAAGGAGATAGCCTAGTGCAGTTCGTACCACTTCTAGCAACCACAATTGCAAAATACAAACGAAAGGAACACAGTGGAGAAGAACATCAGAATCTTCAAGAATCAGCATCACTGCTATATCTTGAAAACACAAGCATATCACTCGCCCAAGATGTCGGAGATTTTTGGGTCACCGTTTGTCCCGCCAGAGCTCCTCAACGTGCCGCAGCTCATCTTTCTCTTAGGGCAAGCAGACCAAATGCATGATAGGCATACAGATCTAAATATTCTTCTATACTAGATGGCCAATTTTTTACTAGTCCTATTATATATACCTCTTCCTTTTTCTATCTTTCCTAGGTTGGTTGGCTCCACCACAAGCATTAGTGCAACTAGTATAGGATCATTGATTCTCATCATTTGTCTTTTTCATCTCAACCGCCCCTTCTTCTAACAAAAGGCCTTGTGTACGCTTTTGCATTGATGCAGGCAGCCGATATGATTTCTGAAGGCAGTGAACTGCTACTCCTTGTGCCAGCTATTGCAGACGTAGTGGGATCCGTTATTCTACCTGTTTTGGGTGCAGTTCCAGATGGGACTATGGTATTTTGCTGGTTGATGTTGGAGTTTCGTCTTCAACAACCTGTTTCGCCGTCATCTTGGACACTTCAGCTTCACTACGCGTTCCCTCCTTGCCTGCCAACAAAACATATTCAGATTACCCACTACGTACTTCCCAATCCCACCTTTATACTTGTCAACATGTTCAGATTACCCACTACGTTGTACTTCCCACCTTTATACTTGTCCATTGCCGATGAACGCCTCCCCAGGTCTTGGTCTCCGGTCTAGGTCCTGGCGCGAGCACTGAAATTTACGTCGGTGTCGGCACACTCACCGGATCAACCGTTATGCTGCTCTCAATCGCATGGTGGGTCTCAGTCCTTGGAGGCAGAGTAGACCAAGTCGATGGAACATTGCAGTACAGGAGACCAACGGGAGGTACTTTCTGTAGCTATTATACACGATAGAATTGGACATTTAGATTAACTATCATACAATCTCAATCATGGACAGCTCTGGAGAACTTCTTCAACATACATGTAACAGCTCTACTCGGGTCGCAACGGAATCAGGCAGCTCTCTTGAGTTGTCACGTGGTTCGCAAATGAATGAATGAAAAGAAATTATGTGACATCCCGTCTACTGAAAACCATCCACTCCTCCAGTTTCCGCGGACAAGTTCGAGAAATTTACGGGCAACACTTATTGGGATGGGGCAGTGGCGTGTAAGCCAGCCATCAAGGAGAACTGCGTTTACATGCTTGGAACATTGGCACCACTGGTTTTGTGTCAGGTATTGTTTGATAAGAAAATCATAGTCGTCGATTTGTAACAGTAAGAACTTCTGATGAAATAGTTTAGCCTTAGATGAATCTTTTCATATATTTTTTTTGTTTCCCAGATAGGCGTGCTCCACCGAAATTATTAAGGCTGAAAACTTATTTTCCTAGTTACATTGGCTCCATCCATATTTATTATTAAGGCTGAAAATAATTCATTTCCAAGGGCCTTTTCCCTCTGTTTCCTTCTTGGGAAGCGGAAGAAATGAACTGAAGAAGTGAATTGTTTTGAGCTCGAAAAATAAGTGTTTGACGAGATTGAAATATGTGTTTGCGTAGGAGGTAGGTGACTGTCATAGTCGTCAGGAAAAAATTGAAAAATATGGATCGGATAGCAGGATACCATGACTTCGATACTAAAAATACTTTCCTCTTTTTAGGTGATCGTTCTATTCACTCAAGCGGCGCAGCACCAAGGGACGATAACAGCGGAGCAAGCGGAAAAATATCAAAGCTACACAGTTCTTTTCGGCTTCGCCTGCTGCATGCTTGGGTACTAGCTAAGATCATGGTCATGTAAACCGTTACTTAACATTTCAGAGGTAGCAGAAGCTGCACAAGCAAGCAGTATCACCAAGAACCAATTTACTCCAACTACTACTGTCGTGAACAACGTGAAGAACTTTCTAAAAATATCTTCAAGGAAGAACCATTTCTTCAATCTACCAACATGCATATCTTTCTTCTTCACCAGGTTTTGCTGGTATCTCCGAGGCCAATATCTAGGTGCTGGTGACAATGATGCTATAGAAGCGTTGCAAGTAGATGCGATCGCCACTGCTATCAAGTCCAATCAGCTGACATTAGACGGCGCTCTTGGCGAAGTGGCCAAATTAGATAAGAGATTCAGAAAAGGAAACAGCTTGAAGGAACCACTATTGACTGGGGAAGAGCTTGCCATCCGACAGGAAGAGCTGTTATGATGAAGATGATATCTGTGATGTGCTTTTTCTAGAGAACCACAAAACTACAGTCACATTTTTTACAAACTGAAACCTTCAATTTTTAGCAAGACCTGTGATGATGAGTATGGTTGCTGGTGCAGCTATCTTGGGTCGTATATGGTGGGTCGTTCGTAGAATCGAAGATCTTCTTTTGATGGATGGCTCACGACATATCCAGCTGATTAGGTTACATTATTTTTCCTCCATCCGACCATATACGCAATACTGGGCTTAGGGGATCATTAGCAAAGAGATCACTCTGTTCTTCTTGTCCACCATCCCTACTCTGCTTCTCCACCATCCACCTCTAACCCCTCTATACCAAAGATTACGAGCTTTGCTGAAACCGTATTTCAAGAAGTATGATATCAACAACGACAACAAGCTGGATTTCGACGAATTCCGAGTTATCTGTAGTGAGGTACTGTCTAATCTCATAGGCAAGTAGTTTTTTTGGAGAAGTAGCTAGGCTGCTGATGTGTCGCGCCGTGCTTAGAGAAGCAGTAGCCTGTAGTTGCACCGTGTTTTTAGTACGCTATAGCCTGTAGTTGCACCGTGTTAGTACAACCGCGGCACAACGTGCAACTACACCACCTCAGGTCTCCTCCTCCGCAAGTAAAGAAGCACAGCATGCCATTTTCATGAGGATGGATACCGATAAAAACGGCTATCTCTGTTTCGAAGAGTTTATCGAGTGCATGCTGACGTTAACGCGAAAAGCCCAACAGTATGCTCTGGTGACCAATCAAGCAGGGGTGGCGTATGCGTCAGGTAATAGTTTGATATTTGATGTTAAAATATCATGGAAAAGATTTTTAGGATCCGCATCCGCGTCCGCCTCACCAGCTGCAAAACTACAAAAACAATAGCTATCGAACTTGGTATAATTCCTTGAAGAAGTGCTTATTTCCTGCTGCTGCTAATAGCTAGCGGTCTGAAAAATACCTTTAGCATTGAAAATGGTCGTACGTCGTGCACTTGATTTTCGATCCAATCGAATTTTCAACATACAGCCGGTTACAGCTCGACATCCGTATCGGAGGAAGAGGAAGCAGAAGATGTGGAGAGAGGAAGCGAGGACGACGATGATTATGGATTTCAGATCATAAGTAGGTTCATTTTTCCGATCATCATGATTTAGATAGTGAAGATGAGAATGAACTTGAATAGTACTGCATCAAATATAATTTTAATTAGCAAGTTGTACGTACTCGTACACGAACACGTAGAAACATCATGTCCTCTGCTAAAAATTTCTGACTCCCTTTTTACCTGTAGCACCCGCTTCCGCACCCCAAACAACTTCTAACTTCCCGTGCCATCTGAGTCTGGGGACGAAGATATTCCGGAAGAACTAGCTGATTTGACGCCTGAGCAACAACAGACACGTATAAAAATGAAGGCGGCGTGGATGTGTTCTGTTGGGACTTTCTTCGTCGTCGCGTTCTCGGATCCTATGGTACTCTGTATAGTACTATAGGGACGTTACCTTTATACATATACTGTAGTTATGGTACTCTGTATAGTACTACTATAGGGAGGACGTTACCTTTATACTGTAGGTATGGCACTCCGTATAGTACTATAGGGACGTTACCTTTACACTGTAGTTAAGGCTCAGCTTTCAGTGGTCATTGAGGATAGTCACTGAGATTGAAGAAGAGGAGACCCCTGGAGAGGGGAAAATGAAGGGAAAACAAAGGGAGAGGCGTGGGGCTCTTTTCTTTCAGAATCAGTGGCCACTGAATCATGCTGACCTTTAATATTTAGGTTTACCGTTTCGTTGCTGTATGTCGGTGTCCTGGAAGAGAATTCAGCAGCCTCCATGTGTTTTTGTTTTTGAAGAGAAATGACACACTCAACATCTCTCCTCAAATACATAGGTTGACGTCCTGAACGAACTTGCCACAAGAACGAGTTGCCCACCGTTTTTCGTCTCTTTCGTACTTAGTCCGTTGGTCTCCAACGCATCCGAGTTAGTGGCCGCATACAACTACGCAAAGAAGAAAACTGTGAAAAGTTAAGAAACAAAGCAGGTCACTAAACTTATACCTATAGATACTTGATCGAAATCGACTTTGATGAGTTTGAATAGATGGAGATACTTGGTAGATCGACATAGGAACTGACATGCCGCAGTTCAAATGATCGATTAAGACGCAGTGCTCAATCTTCACACCCACTTCTAACCACTTTGTGAATATATTGATGTAGTTGATTAAGGGATCGGCATCAATTGATTCTACTTGCATTTAGAGCGATTACTAGGACGCAATATTTCATCAACTTACGCCTTCTACAACAAACTGACTCAGTCTCTCACCAAAATCCCTTCTAACCACTCGCCACCATCTCTCTTTCGACCTTAGTGGGCGCTGCCTGCATGAACAACACGTTTTGTCTTGGGTGCCTGCTCTTCGTCCTCTATATCTCGCAACTCAAGTGGAGCTTTACGTGCGAAATCGGCACCATGGTCATCGCGGAAGTGGTTATCGCATACATAGTATGGACGAGGTCTGTGCATACCATGGCAATGGCGAATGCAATCCTAATGATCTTTCCTTTGACCATGATCTTAACTTGGGTGGGGAACAATGTTTTGGGGTGGTCGTAATAGTATTAACTACCAGCTACCTAGGGGTCATCTTGAAGAGTAGGATTGAACATGAAATTGATGGTATCTATCATCGTATCCAGACCTTAACTAACTTGCGTTAGTTTCGAGGGGAAGGACAATGAATTGAATGATTAGAAAAACCTTATTAACCTTTGCTATTTACTAGTACGACAAGCATACTTTTCAAATTCAACCATGGTATTCACCTGAATATGCGACGACGTTCATGCACGATCACCAGTCATTAATCTCGTATCTATCATCATCTCATTCTCAAACTCAACTAGTACCAGAGTATTATTGATCTCGTATCTATCGTAAATCGTTTTCCTTGTTATGTCAAATCCCATTGATTTGAAGTTCCAGAAGAGTTGACCCAAACAGGTCTATTCCTACTTCTGATTATGAAAAAAGGTGACTATGTGACTAGTAAGAGCTGTCACTATACAACCACGCAGCCTATTGAAGAAGTAGACTACAGGTTTTGTTTTCTTTCCGTAGTCAGAGGTTTTTTTATACGGGGAGGATAGCGTGGGCAGGGTTGTTTACCAGAATGACTGAAGTGGAGAGTAATGGGTTATGCATAAAAGATGTTTTAACGTCGAGACCGAGAGGTTTGAAGGGGCTGACCTCCTCACCGCTCGAGTACTTATGTCAAATCGCATTGATTTGAAGTTGAACAGACAGTTGTAGATGTGAAATTTTATGAGAATATATTAGAGTAGTTTATAGAACGGATGTAGGATGGACTTGGATGGATCGGATGGACCCCCTTGATTCTTCCGATACTTGAAATGGTGGGAAGTCCATCCGATCCATCCCATCCTGGATCTGGCACCCCTATAAATTGCTCTGTTATAAGTATTTCAGCTTAACCAGCACAGGAGTTACTTAAGGACGTTGAGGTTGATTAGCATCCATTAGTTTTAATAGGGCTGAGCTACAGAAATGTTTGCGCTGTGCATCGTGATGTGTAGGAGTGGTGTGTGGTAGGTCGTAGAAGTTACACCTGAAGTAGAAGGAGTGCTGCATGTTGAAGTGCTTAGAAGCACCCAAGAAATGTGCCGCAATTTCGTTGGAGCGAACTTCTCACTGATCTCACCACGACACATGGTTTCGCCGTACTTACAATTTTTCAAATACTTACTCATACACAGATGATACTATCATGGAGGTAAGAAGCTAGGTGCGATTGAGGCAATTACTTTATGCAAATCAATGTAGCAACCTGTGTGGCCTGTTCTTTGAAAAGTAGGTAGTAGGAGGTGCTCTCACCCGTTATCGTATCACGAAAGAGTGCAATTACAATTATGCACCCCGATACATAGTGTGTCTAGCAGGTCTACAGGCTTCCTCTCCTTTGATTCCATATCAAACTCAACATCATTCGGATTGCGTTCATACATTTTAGCAACAACTTTGTTCCTCTTGATTAATCTTGATACCTCGAACTATCTAATCTTCCTACCTCGAACTCACAAAGTACAACTCGCTGATATCGCTTCTTCTATGTGTAACAGCAACAGGTATCTAATAATCTTGATTAATCTTCCTCTCTAGCCTTAAGTGTTATGCGTGCCTTAAGTGATTAATCTTCCTCCGGTTTCTGTTTTTCTTTTTGGTTATTTTATGGCGATTGCGGAAGCGGGACGCGGTTGAGGATGGTGCACGGGGCGAAGGAGGGAGCGCGAAGCAGTGAAGATAAGAAAAACTAGGCTAGTGCACTCCCAACAACGAAAAACGTGTTGTACTTAGGGCGTTAGGCCAGTAGACATTTATGCCTAGTTGTTCACTTGTCAGATGACTGCGCATTAGTCAAGAGCAAGCAGGGTTGGCGGCCCTGCCCTCGTGCCTTGTAGGCCGGCGCATAAGAGCGGGACGGTTGGCAGCCGGTGGAGGTTTATAGTAATTAATTAATCACCTCCTTTGCCCCTAGATTTTTCTCCATTTTATAATCGACGGGTTCGTAGGCAATTAGTGCGCGGTAGTATAAGGAGGTTAATGCACTCCACCCGTCGCCGGCAGGTACACCGGACAACACTGGGATCACCCTTTCGGCGTTCTCGGACTACAAAAAAAGTGGCTGCGTTGGAGACTCATGAATGAATGAATGATACCTGTTGCTGTCACACATAGAAGAAGCGATATCAGCGAGTTGTACTTTGTGAGTTCGAGGTAGGAAGATTAGATTGTGAGTAATAAATATAATGTTTGTGCTAATGCCCTTTATCCAGTTTGTGATTTCGACTGAGCAGGTAGTCGTAGTAGTAGTTGCTACAATCCAGTAGCAACTTTTACATTAGAAGGAACCAGGAAAAGTAGATAAGATTGAAAGAGAGTAAATAGTATCTGTTTATGTTTATCTGTGTAGTTTGGCCTTGTAGATCTAGGTAGTTACATGCCAGGTATCCGATACCTCACCTAGGTAGTTGGATGTTAACTCGTCTTTCCATCGCAATCTTCCTAGGTTGAACAATGTGTATTTGTATGTCTAGACTTTGCACCAGTGAGGGAGGGAACTGACGTGAAAACTGGGTTAAACAAGGACTATAATGTTAAGATTCGCAGTCGTGTCATGCGTGACCATTTTCCCCTTTTTGGCACTGCCACCACAATCAGGATACCCGCCTATAATTAAGTTCGACAATAGATACCTCCAGAACAGGTAAATGAATGAATAGTGTTGGTCGTCGCTCTGACATTAAGGCCTTTTGTTTTGCCTGGCGACACGTCTAATGTTTTTGGAAAGTAATATTAATGAAAGAATGTCAACGTGAGGTCGGTCACGGAGAGAGGAGCGGAAAGATCCGTTTGGACATCGGTCATCTGGCAACGACTTGGGTCACCTGCCTCGGTGTTCGTCGACTTTAGACAGGTCATCCATCATCCTCGGAGGCGAGCAGGTGCCGGTGGGGCTCGTTGTGCAGGATCCATTTAACCTAACCTAGCCTTTGCTTCACGCTGCCGCGACGAACTCTTGCCGGCCTTATGAAATTCATAGAAGCTCCTGAACATAACCAGGAAGAAACTCATAGGCTCGAGAAGCTACATACGATGAACGAACGACAAGGATTGACGATGAGCATGTATGACCACATCAACCTATGACAAGCAATATGGAACAGCATAGTCAAAGAGAACGTAGCTCTCCAACTCCTGGGAACGATGTGTACAACAAGAAATAGAGAACAAAGATTCGGGTTCCCGACGAGTAGCAAGCCAGAGAACTTCTAATTCTAAAGTAACCCTCTTTGAGAAAGCCAACTCCCAGTACAAGCACACAGGAGATCGTCCAGGCTAGCCCGAGACGCTAGTTGCCTTGCATCTGTAGACGTCGTTTGAAGTACCAATGCCATAAACATTGTGACCTCCTGTGCTTCAATTTCAATACCTGTGGGCTGTCTCGGTGAGTAGACTACCTTGCATATATTATAACAGCGATCTACAGGATGAAGACTTGTTACACCAATGCTCGCATTTTGACATGCGATCACCGTGAGGACATATCTGCGCGAGTGACGACACTACGTCACGCAAGGTCATTTACCGTAGATGGAGCCACTGGACGGATTGCGGATATACAGTTTGAGGAGGAGGAGGGAAAGTTGCCTTTAGAATCAGACCCAGACGGCTCGATTACGATCACTGACTTAGGGGGTCGCTTCGTGATTCCAGGGTTGTGGGATAGCCACTGTCACAGCTATGCGCTGGCGAAGCAGGCGAAGGTAGCGAATTTGCGAGAATGTGGAACTTTCACGGTGTTCCGGCGGAGACTTTTTATGCTTGGTCCTTTAGGGTTCTGATTCACATTCATCAGCTACGGTTGCACCTGATGGGTCGTTTAGGGTTCTGATTCACATTCATCAGCTACGGTTGCGCCTGATTGACTCTTGAACAACAAAAGAAAGTCGGCCCTCTCCATTTGTTTCCTCTTTCATCTCCCCCCAAAAGCTCAAGGAAGACCCTAGTGTGGAATCGCGCTATCTCGAGGGAACCGGCTGGGACGAAGCCGATCTACATGACGATGCGGTCGCAGGTTCTCCACCTCGTTTACCACGCAAAGCTGATCTGGATGCGGTCACAACGACTTGCCCTATAGTATGCTGGCGACGGTGTTGGCATATACTGTGCGTCAATCAGTGGGTGTTGGACTTCTGCAATTATGACGTTGTTGTGCTATGGGTCGACATCGAGGTCGACAACGTTTTACTTAGATTCAGCTTCCTACAGGAGTTGATCCGTCGATTCGAATTCAATTGTGAGGATCTCACTCTCGCAACAACTGCAAATTGATTTCCTTGCTTTAAAACAAGATCGGAAAGCATGAAGCACGGACGGTGCCAGGGGTGGACGCTGACCCTGAGACTGGTGAGCCGACTGGAATCCTGCGCGAGAACGCGACGAAGCTGATACAAGTCATCCTGGATCGAGAGGACTCCTTTCAAGAGAAGTATGGCAAGTGTTGATTTTGAGATCAGTAAACTCCGGAAACAAGATGGAGTTTTGATCAATCAACGCGGCCAACGACTGAGAATTCAGTTCTATAATCCAGGTGCTTTTCCTTTCATTCCTCTAAAATCTAGTCCGTCTTCTTGGATCTTGTCTCCGTGCTATGCCTCGAGCAGGCTTAACCGCCATCCAGTCGAACGACACTAGCATCCTTGGGCAAATCAGTGATGCATGGCCAGTGTATCAAAAATTGATGGAAAAGTATTCGGCAGAACAACAACAAGCTCCACCGCCAGAAGAAGAAGAAGAAGAAGAAGGCCCAAAATCAAGTGCAACTACAAGTGTCAGGGAAATAGTACAATTAAGGCTCAGCTTTCAATGGTCATTGGGGTTGGTCACTGAGATCGAAGAAGCGACCCCTTTAGAGAACAGGGGAAAAGGAAGGGAAAGGGGAGAGCTTTGAAGGGGGTCGCCTCCGTTCCGCATCAGTGGCCATTGAGTGCTGAGCTTTAATACAAGAATTGCCAGTCCGAGTGGCATGGGTTGGATTCTGGAATACGATTGAGTTTAGTCCCCGTCTCCCGGAAGAGCGGAACTACTTTTTGTGGACCGAACGTGTGAAGGTGATAATGGATTATGGCGGGATGGCAGATATTAGAGTTGAAGAGAGTTAGTATATGAAGTTGTTGCGCATAGCGTTTAGCAAAACCGTTCCAGAAGAACGAGGAACAACAACAACAAGTAGACAAGAACCAGAATTGTACTTACTTAGCATTTTCTGCACCTCGTCCACCTGTTTATCTAAGGAAACGGTTCACTCGGCGCAGGCACGGCCGCACTTTTAGAGCCCTATACGGACGATGCTAGCTCTCGAGGACTTCTCTCTGTGACAAGCGAAGAGTTGGAAACGTCGTTGAGAACCGCTTATGCAAAGGGCTATCGCTTAGAAGCACACAGTATAGGAGATCGGAGCTTTCAACTATTGTTGGAGAAATTGGAGAATGGGGTACCGTATCTCGATCGTCTTGTCTTCACGCACTGTCAAATTCTGAATCCGGATTTGTTACAATTAAGGCTCAACTTTCAATGGTCAGTGGGGTTGCTTGGTCACTGAGATCGAAGAGGCGACCCCTTGAGAGAACAGGGGAAAACGAAGGGAAAGTAAGGGCTGAGCCTTGGAGGGGGTTTCTTCCGTTCAGAGTCATGATGACCAAGCAGGAGTGCTGAGCTTTAATACAACGCTTGAAGAGGCTGTGCAACACTTCTCAGACACGCAGGGGCAGCACAGCAACCACAAATCAAGAAAACGTCTCAGCTTTCAGTAGATGGCTTCCTTCCTGGGGTCGTGGTCCTTCATGGGGTGGAGGGTGGAACTTCTTCTGTCAGGAATCGAAAGCGGTAGCAGAGAACAATAAAGATAAACTACAAAGTGACCAGGACAATCAGAGGCCTAAGATCATCGGATCGATCCAGCCACAATTCACGAATAGCGATCTTCCGATTCTTGAAGAGAAACTTTATGGCAGCAACACCAACAGTTTGCCTTTGCAGTGGGCCATTTCTATTTGTATTGGTCTTTTTGTACTTGGTGTTTGTAAAAAACTAAAGATGGTGAACAGCAGATAAGCTTCTAATTCGTTTGATAAGCATTCAATACATTGAGTTTATTGCGCCGGCCACGCAAACTCTTCCTCTAATAAACTGGCCATCAACGTCTAGAATGCTGTTACGCATGGAAATCGATTCGAAAGACTGGCTGTGTCCTCTCCGGAGGATCGGATGCTCCGGTAGAACGGATGGCCCCACTAGAAGGGATGCGGTGTGCTATGCGAAATGCATTACATAGGAGTTATTTGAAAAGCGACGACGTGGATGCACGACAAGACGATCTCTATCAAGAAATTCAAAGCATTAACAAGAAAGAGGACCTCTCCTTCGCAGAAACGCTTGCTTTATACACGCGCAATTCTGCCTTTTCGGCTGGCGTTTCTGACAGCCTTGGCGTTTTGGATCGGGGATTTTTCGCAGATTTTGTCGTTTTGGATGTTGCTGCATCTTGTTCTCCATCGTGGGACTGGGAGCAAGAGATATGGCGACATCTACATTCATTTGGGATTGATGATCTCCTCGAGAAGTTGAAGATTCCTTTTCATTCCCTATTAAAGATGCCATCAATCTGAAAACATTTTTCAGTACATAACAAACTGCATGCCATGATCCTGAACCTGATGATCCTTGCCATGATCCTGATGATCCTTCTTCTTGATCTTCTTCCACGTATAAAAATTACAGCGTTAAATAGATTCAAATCTTCTAAGCATCCTATCCGACGCTTTCCTACAGCCGAATGGTGTGCGAGTTCATAGTACCTACGTAGGTGGGAAGAAGAGGTATGATTCGTCTGAGATTAGTGAAAGAGAAGCAGAAGAAGATTAAGAATATATTTCATTTCCACGACTCATTTCTCGCAGTTTCCCTCTTGAAATTCTGAAGAAATGAAGGGAAGAAATGAAATGTTTTGAGCTCTAAGACGACTTCGCTCTTCTTTGTACCAGCGACACAAATGCTCCAGGAAGAGGCGGCTTGCCTATCTGGAAATGCCCTTGTTGCTTTCCAGACGCACAGACGAGAGGTTTTAGGTAGAGGCGGGTCTTGATGAAGTTGGTTTCTCAAACTAACTAGGATGCTTTTCTTCGTTCAATCTAGATTTTTGGAACTAGTATCATCCGCATCATCCATATCCATGGTAGAGATGTTCATTTGAAACCAACATTAACGCATTAGAAATATGACATCAAGGAAGAGGATCTGTTGAAAAAGACAATGTCCAGTTTGTAGGTGTCACGCAAAAAACGTACTTCTGAATCTCAAGGATCGTGCAGACTTCAAGCCCCCGCGGCATACGTGTTCGACTAGAACAACTGTGAAGAAGGTGTCTGTGTGTGTGGGGAACCTATGAGCGACGCAACTTTGATGTGAGCGAAGGACGACCACGTGAGGTCAAGGAAGTACTGCAAGGAGATCTAAGTGGTTGCAGGAGATCATAAGATCTTTGCAGTGAATGTTTTTCAAGGCTGTATTCGGTGGAAATGTACTTAGGGATAGGTGGAGCACATGCACATGATTATGCACACTGGTCGTGATGATCATGATTATGCACACTGGTCGTGATGATCATGATTATGCACACTGGTCGTGATGATCATGAGAAATCTGCTTTCCAGTATTCATTGCTAGTTCTTCGGGAGGTTGTACTGCTGTCAAAGCTTCTGTCAGGGAATGAATTTGAATTAGAGTCGATAAAACTGGTCTTTTTTCGAGGATTAAACTACCTTTTCAAATTTGAAGTTCGTATAGATTCAAGAACTTTCGAGGTTGATTCTACTCGAAGGTTTTGAATTTTTCTCGAACTTGCTGCTAGAAGAAGCTTCTTTTTTTTCCATTTTGGTCACAAACCAGTTCACACTTGAACTAGTGCAACCTTAGTTGTTAAGAAGAAGATTCTCCTCGTGCAGCCTCAATCATCGTCTTTACGAAAACCACCGAGACCACAAAAATGGACTACAACAAACGTGGTTCAACCTTGCTTGCTTTACTGGTCTTGGGCAATCATGGCGGTTATGTATGTGCAGCGGAGGGCACCAGAAGTCCTATGCTGCTGCAACGCCGAGCAGCACCAGTGGTACAAGAACCAGCACTTGAAGCTGAACCTGATGACGCTGACGATTTCATCATCGTAGATGATGAGGGAAATCTTAGGTAGGTTTCACTGTAGTTGATGTAGAAGATCTTTCACAAGTGACATGTACATTAAGCAGAACCTAGAGCTTCTACACTACATAATCACTTGCTGTTGAGTACCTTTCATCTTTCACCAGAAACTAGCACCCTATTTCTTCAGACAGAAAAGAGAAAGAACTAGTAGTCTACCTCAGCAGGTCTACAACTACTGCACACGATGACGATGTGGTTTATAGTCCAACGGCGGGAGCGAAGGTGGCAGCAGAGGCAGAGGTGGCACCGAAGGACACTGTAGAGGTGGAGGATCTGGAGCCCTTACTCGGCGGTGACTGTTAAGAAATGGCATATCACAAGTTTGCTCCGAGATCCGCATTTTCCATAAAGTAAATTGATAAGTACTTCTCGTCTTGTACTAAATAATTCGTGATAATACTCTTACGTAGTTTTAACCTGCTGCTACTGAGAATATCCTTTCTAAGATTGGGAAGCCCTCTGTGAGGCTTTGATTGTTGCCGACGCTGGCGCGGCGAATAAGACCACAAATGAGACCGATTGGAGCGACCCATGGGAATGCCTCTTGGTCAACGGAGCATGCAAGGACATCTTCGCAGAAGCTGCAGATAATGACCATGATGATGAGCAAATGGAATACCCTAAGTCCGTGTCGAAAAACACAACAACTCCTCGAGAGCAATCGCAAGCGCTACTTTATGACATACTCATGCGTAGTCTAGTATACAATAAGTCCTCATAGTCTGACGAGTCAACTGTAAAGCTCTTGGAGAGAGAAATAGTTAGAGAATTATCCGTACTACTGTCTTCGGATGCGTTGTAGTAATATGCAGGAGCCACAATTGATACAAGATCAATCTGTGCTTTTTCGATATTCTTCTTGCTACCTCCTTTGCGGACGAGAATGAAACTAGTGATGTTTCACCATTTTCTTGTTCATATGCTGAAAAGTACGTGCGAGAGTGCAATCGACAAGCTGCGTGAGGAGGCAGAGCAATTCCAATCTGGAGACGACGATTCGACTTTTTTTATGGTGAAAAAATGTTGCAACATTACCTTAACTCGATCTAATCGCTGGCCAGGCACATCAATCAGTTATAATCAATCTTACTCGGGTCACAACGGAACCAGGCAGTTACTTGTAATTGCTACGTGGTCCCAATGACTGAATGAATTGCTCCTGAAGATATGTAACTGAGTATGTCAAAAAGTTTATCAGGCGGGCCTTCACCTTCTACTTCTAATTTCACGCGTCGTGGCACCAGAGGACCGGAGGAGAAAATCCTTGACATCGTCCTGCAGGAAGCTGGGCAAGCGACTGAATTATCTCCGTACATTTTTGGATCATGATGATGCTGAAGTACTCGTCCTACCAGATGGTAAGTATTATCAAGTTTTCTAGGTTGCAGTAGGTCTAGAAGATCTAGATACAATTATATCTCTACCGATTCTTGTCAACAAAGTAGATACCATCAACACTCAGATCTTCTTCGCTTTCGACACGTCTCATCTTGCACAGTGCACTACGCTTGTCTCGTGAGGGGACCACAGCTAGTACTAACCCTAGTACAACTACTAAAAAAAACCCTTCCACCACAACCTCAACCTCTTGCGCTCTTTCTGGACTGCACTACCTCTCCTCCGAGTCGGATGGTTTTCAGATTATTGGACGTGCTGCTAAGGCAGAAGGACAAGGACCTGATCGTAGAGGACTACTTTTACTTGGATCTAAGTCTAGGTCTAACACTGAGACTGAGGCTGCAAAAGATGTGACCACTAGTAGTACAAGTGCACGACTATTCCTTGATTCCTTGGCTGCAGTTTTCTTGGCAGATTTGTGGAAAGTGGGTTTGTTCTTAAGGCTGAACAAGGAAGCAGCGCGAAAAAGCATTAGCATGAAATAGAATTTTATTTACTTATTTCAGTGTTCCTTCCGCTTCAGGAGCATAACCCTGCTCTTCAGTGGAAGATCTCAAACTTTGAAATACAAATACAGTCTTCTGGATATTATTACAGTCTTTTCGGGAGTGGGAGACTTCTTCCAATGCCATCTCTAACCTCAACTCCCAAAGGTCCAGCACAAATTCCACGTCAGATTCATGGTGGTTTCCAACATGCTGGTATCTTTGGCCCCCATCTGCAGCAGAATAAAGAGGACTTCGACGACGACCTTTCAGATGAGGAGATCAAGAAGATGATGACCCGTTGGACGCCGTCTGAAGCAGGTCGTGATCATTCGACAAAAACATCAGCGTGTACATCAACATTGGCGAAGACCACCACGTCTTTTCACGATGACAATCCTTTGGCGAGCAAGATTTTGGCCAACAAGATTTTGACCCAACACCTGCTACGCCACGTGATGAACAACGTTGTATCTTCGAAGAAAAATGCTACTCCATTACGAGGTTGAGGATATTCATATTTCATCTGCCTGGGTTTCTTCGTAGAAGATCATGTTTGCACACCTACAGTTTAATGAGGATGACATCACAATCACTGTAACAGTGACACTGTTTTTGGGGCTTAAGCTTTTTATGATGAAAATGTCTTTGAGTTTGATATATTTATTGGTGGCATATCTAGCCTAAACGCTCACTCCGTCACAAGTGAGCCCACTCCTATCCTATCCTATTGGTTGCTATCGCATACATTTACATCAACAACATTGCTCTAACTATATCTCCGATCGGTCTTCTATCGAGTTTGAAGAAAACATATTACTCGCCTACAGCTACAACTTCGACATCCTCAGCCATTCGAGCTCGACACGAAACTCGCAAGCCCATCTTGAAGAAAAAAAACGACGTGGTGCCCATTCTGCTGGCACGTCTGTACATCCACTATTTGCACAGAGCAGTCAAAGTTATGACTGCATCAACTACAACTAATGATCTCAAACAATCAACATGGATAATTTCTGATCATGAATCAGCAAAAGCATGGTCTTCATCATCAAGAACCACATCCTGCTTGTCATCTCATAGCAGCTTCTAAAGAAGTATTTTAATTTCCTTGTCTCTCTAGTCTACTCCTGCAGCTACTAATAAAAACGAAAAAGCAGGAGCTGAAGCTGGACAAACACCTACATTTCTTGGTTCCAGAAGTTTCCCTTCCCCAAGGCCAAGTCTGTCCGGTATGTCCCCCACTGGTATAGCAGATCTCTCTACAATGCCTTCGCAAAGAATGGCGAAAAGTCTTGCCGAATTGAGGGCGCAACAGTTTAACTTATGGAGGAGGATTTGCACTTAATACTGATCGTTTCTCAGGCGATCTTGGAAATTAGACATCCACTACACCATAAGATCTTCAACACCATTAGACGTTCTAATCACTGCTGCAGCGCGCAAGATGCTGACCTGTCAATTGGAAGGGATCACTTCATCCCTTCTTCTCGAGGACAAATACAAAGTAGACGGAGTTGTAGAAGATAAGGATAAAGATAAGCCGTACCTCTTTCTGCACAACAACGATACGACAACATCGTCACCTTTTTTTCCTCGTGCCACCTCTCCTTAAGGCTGGAAGTCAATCATCATGTCACGTGGTTGTAGTGGACGATGAATGTTGAGTCCTCTGAGTGGATATGGATTACCACCCCTTAATACGTTTTTTTGAGGACGAGATTTAGAATTCAGTTTCAAGGGGCAGATGAAATGGAATCTCCCACTCAACCTCAACCCAACAAGAGCCCTGATTTTACGAAAATGATTGGCTTCTTCTAGTTGTATTAGGTACTACCTTTAATTTCATCCTCGTCATGATTCTTTGATGCCGGAAGTTCCGTGTCCAACAGCTTCCTGCAGCGTTCCATATTGCGGGTGTGCTGCGTCTCCCATCATGATCCCCGACTGCGACTGCGAAAACGATGGCCCAGACGAGTCAGGCACTTGGTTATCGTCACCAGGCTCGACGTTGTCTCCAGTCTTTAAGGGGGCTTAGTTTTCCTTACAGTAAATACAAAGGTCTACTCACTTCTAAGACTAACTTAGATCATCATGTCAGAGGACACTAGTAGCACATTGAGGCTCTACTTTCAACAAAGAGACATTATAGGTACGTAAAGGTAACGGCAACTACTACAGTTACAAAGATAGTTCTTTCTTAACATTCTACAACCAGAAGCCTGCTAGTCATTTTCTATCAGGATCAAGACGGACAACAGTCGAAAGACCGCTCGCTGACAATCCAGCAACAAGCTAGATCAGCGGGTAGACGTCGCCAGGGAAATTCTAGGCAGGTTGCCGAAGAGATTCACACCGTCCTCCAAAGCCCCCACTTATTCCTCATCTCTCTCTAATGATACAAGAACATCAGAGGACGCTGCAACCCCAGTAGATCAAGGCCAGGATCATCAGGATGTGGACGTCCTATTGCGTGGCGTAAGAAGTGAACCATTGATGTCACTCGGAAATGCTCTCTCTTACTATGGTCCGCACATGCCGGAACCCCCTCTGCAGTTTTCTCCGCACTTATGGCGAGTGCTGTCAGAGTCAGCAATAGAAGACTCACAATAGAAGTGACGATCCTAGAAATTCTACTAGAGCCAAGTCCCTTGTTCCAGTTCTAGCAGTTCCAGTGGTAGTCGAAGCTGGTTTGTTCATCTCTTCTATTTTTAGAAGCGTCTCCTGTATAGCGGAGCCACAGAGCCCTTAAACACCAGTTCTTCTTCCAGCCGAAGGTGGTTCTTTGTTCATCTCTTCTAAAGTTTTCTCACCAGCATGGTCATGCTCATGGTGTTGGGGACCACCACCACATGAAGGTGAACAAGATGACTAGCATGCCACTTCAACCTGCGCGCATGCAACCAAAGCCCTTTCAAAACTGGGCTTGGGCTCCTCTAGGACGTGACGAGTTGAAGCCTAGCGAGCTGAAGCCTAGTGATGATGGAATTATGGCACGACGAAGAGCTAAATGAGGAGCAGAAGGTGAGTCTTCTACTTACGTATGATGTGGCGAAGGTGAACGTCTCAATGTGACACTGTCTTTCCTTACTTTCACCTTCATCACATTGTCCACTTTTCTTGGGCAGTAGCGTCCACTATTAACAACTAATATTGTTTTATATCTAATTAACTCCCCAAGTCATTATCGCGAGGTACGCCCCGGGAAGGAGGCAGAGAGAGACCACGATCGCGCGGGGGAGCGGTGGCGCAAGCGCCACCGGGCTCCCCGGTGGTGTGTCGTTGCTTGGTAGCACTCTCGGGCACCAAGCAACGACACACAAAGAAAAAGAGAAGAGCCGCCGAAAGTGTTCGACGGTGTTCGGCTCGTGCGCGAGTGTATGTAAGAGTCAGGAAGTAAGAGCAAGAGAGAGAAAAGCAATCCGTTGAGAAGGTAGAAAAAAACAAGCTGCTGAGACAGTCAAGCGACGAAAAAAACAAGACGAGGAACGAGCGGCAAGGCAATCGGTGGAGTGTAGCGGAGGGCTCACTGTAGGCTGAGGCCAATAGGTTAGTGAAGACCATGATGGAGCTCTGGAAGCGCCGGCAGGACAGCCGAGAACAAGAAGAGGAGAGAAAGGCGAGAAAGGTGAGACAAACAAGAGCAAGCAGGAGCAAGAGAAAGACAGAGAAAGAGGAAGAGGGGCCATCTGTTGAGGTGTCAGCACTCTGGTGAGACAGTGGAAAAAAGTGAGAACGAGGAAGAAGACGAGGAGAAGAAAGGGAGGGCGAAGGCGCCGCAAGGGTTGCGACCTTGTGAGGCGTCTGGTCTTGCTGGTTAAATATTTATTGGGCATCTCGTTCAAAACGGCCCGCAAGACTACCCAAACGCCCCGCGGGTGTGCCGTCACGCGGGGGCGCCCAGTGTCTCACATTTCTCGGCGGTTCCGTCTTCCCTGGTTCGTTTCGGGTGTGTGTTGCTCAGAATTTGGCCCGGAGCACTATCCAAACGCCCGACGGGTTTACCGTGGCGCGGGTGCTTTTAGTTTTTTACTTTTCGCGGCTGTTGCCGGTGTGTTGGTGTTCGGGTCGGGGGTGCCTGGGCGTACCCCGACGAGAATGGCCAAACATGGGCGCCACTGTACCCGCGCAGGCTGTTATTATAGCCGGGGCGGGTGTCTGTAGTTCCTAGCCTTGAGGAATTGGGTGCGGAGCAGTACCCAAAGGCCTGGCGGGTTTACCGTCGCGCGGGTGCCTCTGGGTCTTCCACGCCTCTCGGCTGTCGCGTATTTGCTCGGCTGTTGTCTTCTTTGTATGTGGTTCAGAACTTGACCCGGAGCACTATCCAAACGCCCGACGGGTTTACCGTCGCGCGGGTGTCTCTGGCTTCTCTTCTCTTGTTGTTGTTGCAAAAGGTTACCGGAGCACTATCCAACGCCCGACGGGTTTACCGTCGCGCGGGTGTCTCTGGCTTCTCCACTCTCTTGCATGCTGTGCCAAACCCTTCAGCACAGTCAAGGACAAACGCCACCGGAAAGATCTCAGGGAAACCCATAGACCTAAACGCATATGGTTCCGAAGTCAATGATCAACAGACAAAGGAAAGGACCCTGGTCGCATTCAGATAGCAGAGACAACGAACGCCCATAGTTGTAACCGTGTCTGCTTCGTTTTGTCAGTTCTGATTAGTTCAAAGTGCATAAAGATCGCCGTAAGGTATTCGCGTGCTAGGTCTCGGATGGTGTGGCTTGATGCAATTCCGTACATGTAAGGTCAGCCAGATCCGGACGAGTACCGACATAGGGCGACCATGTAAAGGCATTGACGATAAGCAGAAGACTTCCATACGAAGCACGTGGAACATCCCCCACCATATTACCCCAATGAAGAAGCTGAGACTTCCCCCCTGCAACCCCGACGAATATCCACAGGGATCAAACCAGCCAGAGACCATAAGCCTCAGGCTGTGAGTTCAATTTGCACCAAGCTCCGCGCTTCTTACCGAGAAAGACGCGACGTAACAGCGTGCGTTCTTGTGGTCCAGTACTGTGCTGGCCATGATCGGAATCCTTGAGACTTCACAAAGATCCACAAAGACCCAAAGGATAACGATCAACGAAATGACCAAGATCGCCAGGCAAAAGGTTACCGGAGCACCATCCAAACGCCTGACGGGTTTACCGTCGCGCGGGTGTCTCTGGCTCCTCCTCTCTCGTTGTTGTTGCAAAAGGTTACCGGAGCACTATCCAACGCCCGACGGGTTTACCGTCGCGCGGGTGTCTCTGGCTTCTCCACTCTCTTGCATGCTGTGCCAAACCCTTCAGCACAGTCAAGGACAATCGCCACCGGAAAGATCTCAGGGAAACCCATAGACCTCAACGCATATGGTTGGTTCCGAAGTCAATGATCAACAGACAAAGGAAAGGACTCTGGTCGTATTCAGATAGCAGAGACAACGGACGCCCATAGTTGTAACCAGGTCCGTTTCGTTTTGTCAGTTCTGACTAGTTCAAAGTGCATAAAGATCGTCGGAAGGTATTCGCGTGCTAGGTCTCGGATGATGTGACCCGATGCATATCCGTATATGTAAGGTCAGTCAGATCCAGATGAGTACCGAAATAGGGCGACCATCCAACCACGTGAGGGCATTGATGATAAGCAGAAGACTTCCATACGAAGCACGTGGAACACCCCCCACCATGTCACCCCAATGAAAAAGCTGAGACTTCCCCCCTGCTACCCCAATGAATATCCACAGGGATCAAACCAGCCAGAGACCATAAGCCTCAGGCTGTGAGTTCAATTCGCATCAAGCTCCGCGCTTCTTACCGAGAAACTACACGCGACTTAACAGCGTGCGTTCTTGTGGTCCAGCACTGTGCTGGTCATGATCGGAATCCTTGAGACTTCACAAAGATCCACAAAGATCCAAAGAATAAGGATCAACGAAGTGACCAAGAAGATCGCCAGGCAAAAGGCTACCGGAGCACCATCCAAACGCCCGACGGGTTTACCGTCGCGCGGGTGTCTCTGGCTTCTCTTCTCTTGTTGTTGTTGCAAAAGGTTACCGGAGCACTATCCGCATCCAACGCCCGACGGGTTTACCGTCGCGCGGGTGTCTCTGGCTTCTCCTCTCTCTTGTATGCTGTTCCAAATTCTTCAGCACAGTCAAGGACAAACGCCACCGGAAAGATCTCAAGGAAACCGATAGGCCTAAGCGCATAGGGTTCCAGAATCAACGATCAACAGACAAAGGGCCTTCAGCGTATTCAGATAGCAGAGATAACGAACGTCCATAGCTGTAGCCTGGTCTGTTCCCGAAGCGGTCCGCTCTGATCATTTCCAAACGCATAAAGTAAGATCGTCGTAAGGTGTTATCGTGGTAGGTCTCGCGTGATTTGATCTGATGTATATTTATCACTAAGGTCAATCAGGACCCTGATGGGTAACGATAGAGCACAATGATGACCGTAGGAGGCTTATAGGGATAGCGTAGGCGTTTTCATATGAGCGCGCGAAACTTTCCCCGTCATGATATCCCAAGGAAGAGGCTGAGACTTCTCCCGTGCAACCCCAATGAATATCCACAGGGATCAAACCCGCCAGAGATCACCAGCTTCAGGCTGTGAGTTCAATTGGCATCAAGCTCAGCGCTTCCCACCGAGAAACTACACGCGGCTTAGATAGCGGCCGGCGTTCTTGTGGTGTTGGTCATGATCTGAATCCTGGAAATGTCACAAAGGTCCACAAAGATCCAAAGGACAAAGACCAACGAAATGGCCAAGATCGCCAGGCAAAAGGTTACCGGAGCACCATCCAAACGCCCGACGGGTTTACCGTCGCGCGGGCGTCTCTGGCTTCTCCTCTCTTGTTGTTGATGTTGCAAAAGGTTACCGGAGCACCATCCAACGCCCGACGGGTTTACCGTCGCGCGGGTGTCTCTGGCTTCTCCTCTTTCTTTTGTCGTTTCGCGTCTCTCTCTCAACACAGTAAAGGACAAAGCGCCACCGGAAAGATCTCAAGGAAACTCACAGACCTAAACGCGTATGGTTCCAAAATCAGTGGTCAACAGACAGAGGGCCTGCAACGTTTTCAGATAGTAGAGATAACGAACGTTCATAGCTGTAACCCGGTCCATATCGTTTCGCCAGTTCTGATCAGTTCAAAGAGCATAAGGGCGATCGTGTGAGACCAATGATGCTAGCCTAGGCGTTCCCATATGAAGCACGTGCAGCGTTCCCCCGTATGATATCCCAACGAAGAAGCTGGGGCCTCCTTGCTTTGTAGCCCCTGCTCTTGTATGCTGTTGCAAATCCTTCAGCACAGTCAAGGACAAACGCCACCGGAAAGATCTCAAGGAAACTCATAGACCTAAATGCATATGGTTCCGGCAAGCGCGTGCGTGTTCTGTTGGTGTGGTGTAATTATTGCGACGCGGCCCACTCTCATGACTTTGCTTACATTTTCGTCGGCTTGCCTCTCTCGGTGTGCTTCACTTTTGTGATTGTGAGAGTGTGAGAGAACACCCGCCGGCGCCGTTCGTTCTTGGATGTCATCTGCCGTGTGAAATCATGCAAAGCGAGAAACAACACACACCAAACAGAAAGGAGAGAGCGGGAAAGCAGCTGGCCTCGTGTATCTTGTCCACCATCTGCTGCGCTTTGCTTTTTTTTTGTGCTGTGCTTTGCTTTTTTTTTGTGCTGTGCTTTGCTTTTTTTTCGTGCTGTGCTTTGCTTTTTTTTCGTGCTGTGCTGTGCTTTTTTTTCGTGCTGTGCTGTGCTTTTTTTTCGTGCTGTGCTTTGCTTTTTTTTCGGGCTGTGCTTTGCTTTTTTTTCGTGCGGTGCTTTGCTTTTTTTTCGTGCTGTGCTTTGCTTTTTTTTCGTGCTGTGCTGTAGTTTTTTTTTTGGCCCAAAATGTTTAGTTTAGATATATATGCATGTCTTAATAAATAACCTGCCTATGCCTTGCTTTCGCGCTGCGCCTGTGGCGTCCTCGGCTTTGTGCGCTTCGATTCCTAGGAGAGTGAGTGGCGAGAGAGCTAGCTGTGGTCTCTCTTGGTCAACTTGCTCATGAAGGTCGTGATCAGGGTCTCTTTGGCAACAACTCTTTATACCTACACTTTCTTACTTAGTAATTATCTAGTAGACCTCAAGGACTCGGACTCCTCTAACTCCTTCGGCTGCGCTGACGACTTAGAGGCTGCGCAGGACGAGCTTCAAGAAGAATCAAAAACGGGAAACAAGAATGGCACGACGTCGTACTACCAACAAAATCATTAAGGCTTGTGTGTAGCATTATCGTGTTAGATCATGAGGTTGTTTTGTATGATTCTGGTATTTGGTAGCCTGAATTTGATCCACCTAAGGGTTCTCTTCTTGTTTTCCCTTAGGATCAAACTCAGGTTACCAAATACCAGAACCATTCATGTTTTTGTAGTTAGTAAGTTAAAGTTAGTACCTAGTACAAGAATTAGAAGTAGCTATAGCTAAGTCTTCAGGTGAACCCTACAACTGTCAGTTCGCTTTCTAAACCATCGGTATATTTGACTTCGATGCTCTGGACGAGCTCATGAGCATGACCAGTACGACGACGACAACGACGACTACCATGCCCACCTCCGGACATCCGATGCTGCGTGTGTGGAAATCTTTTAAGGGTACTTAGTCTTTAGGTGTAGTTCCTGGTGCGACCTTTCGTTTTGCCTTTGTTTTTAAGGGGGAAAGGCATGAGCACAACGAACGGGGTAAGCTGCGAACACCAGCACCCTAGTGCCGCTAATTCTTCCTCTGCTTCTTCTGGTAATTCGGGAGCCAGTAACTCGCTAGCCCGAGGACGCACATGGAAACCTGCGACCTCTAGTGCTAAAGTTAGGGCTTACTCATATTCATCTTGAGAAGCATCTTGCAAGGGTTTTGTAAGGGAAAACGACTGCCAAGATGCTCTTCTTGATGAATATCGGTAAGGGCTAATAGTAGCCCTAGTAGAGGCGTGTGGGTAGTGAGATTAGGAGCAGGAGATCATGAGAAGTCCACGCATTTCTGGAACCCTGTCAACACTAGAAAGTTAAGAACGTGATAAACTTAATAAAGAAGAATTTTCTTCCACATCTGGATCTGGTAAGATTCACCATCACGATCATTAGTACTTGATACAAGTATAATTTGTTTACTAGTGGTCAACAGAGTCTTCTATGGTCTACTACTAGCACGACTTATATCTCATGAATGGGTCGTTGTCGTACACTACTGCTACTACTACCACTGCTATGCCTAGAACGTTCTAAAAAAAGCGCGCAGCTGGAAGGCCGAGGGTGGAGTAAAGGCGTCGAAGTTGTAGGGAGTCGTTGGCCTCTACTTCTGTACCTGTGGATGCGGATGCGGAACAAGAAGATCATCAGTTGTGTCTAAAAGGTATTTCTATTTCATACAAAAGCAAATAACAAATGAAAATGTCCTCTTCCTCATTTGATGGATTCTGATAGAAGTATGATAAAGTTTGTAGGTCTGTATTTTACTTTGTATTGGTGTGGTGCGAGCTACCCTCCAAAGAACGGAGTAATCAGTCATGCTGTTCTTTTTTGTCTTCATCTGAATAATTTTTTTTCTGCGAATATAGAAGAAATTATAGTGAATTATTCTCGTACTTCTCATTTAGATTCATCCTGGTCAGTTCAAGGTCGATTTTTGTATTTTACTTTGAGGTATAATAAATTGATATAGAAAGTGACAAACTACTGTAAAACTAAAAACTAATACCTTCAGCAGCACTATCTTCCTTTTTAGCTGGACGAGCACGACCAATCAAGAGATTATAATGGAAGAAGTGTGAAGAATTACGCCTCGACATGACTACGTTCAACGTCATGTTTCTCAAACATATTATTGATCGGTCTAACCTGCTCCTTCATCTTCTACTTGTGAAGTTCTTGTTTGTACATGTAGATGCACATCATACATAGTGTCGGTCCAACAATATGGAACTGGAAGATGCAATTTGGTTTAGGATCTCGCTGCCACCTCATGATATGGGTCATCACGGCTTTCAAGGTACAAACATTTTCAAAAAAATCGATGCCTGATGTGGTACGAGAATGATGCACTGTGCCCCATGTGGTGGCCAGAGAGACTAAACAGCATGCATGTTGTTGTGTACTATGGTTTTACACCAAAATATTGGCTATCAGCTAGTTCCTTTTCGCCAATGGTTGAGCGCCTCGATGTGGGTAGAAGACGTAGGCGGCACCCTGCTCGCCCCGACCTGTGTGTCTGCGCTATGTGTGAGGCGATCGGCAAATCGCTGGGGATTGTGGTGTAGTCATTCCCTCAGCACACGTAAAGGAACTACACAGACAAAACTCACGGCTCGAGAGAAGCACAACTGTAAGAGTTTGCTGTGTCTGTCTGTCTTCGGTAGATGGAGTCTTGGTTGTAATCTAAACCATCTGTGTGTTTGTGTTTGAGGGCCGCTGAAAATCTTGTACCGAGTTGCAATTATGGGAATAAGTCCCATTCTGTGTAATGCTCATGTTCATTAGCAGTACTTCACACATCCTGGAACTGGAAGACGACCCATCTCGCATACCCCCCGTGCACTCTGCCCATGGAAGACCCCCCGTTACGGAAATGCGCAATCTGGAGATTGATTCACCCTGAATGGTTGTGGATCCAGTAATTGGTAGCCTGATGATATGAAACGAAAAAGTGTAAGTGCACTCACACTCAAGAAATTGGCTAGGATTTAAGTAGGAAAATAGCCACTTTTTTTGAGTGTGAGTGCACTTTTTTCTTCCATAGATGAATTTGATCGCAAGGATTCTCCTCTGCTCTTAGTCTATACACCTCTTCAGCAGTCATGAAACATAGCCACAGACTAATGTCATCGATCTCGGAAGATCGGATCGTGAAGATCATGAGCACAAAAAAAAGTAGGTATTTAGTGAAGATGTTCTTGTCTCCTGTGGCCCCTGTGTTGCTTTCTTCTTCCAGCATAAGTACAATGAGCAGGAGGGCGAGAGGAATAATATGCGGCGGGGACGGACAACAAGGGCCTCCTTCGAGATCGCAGGTTTTTGTTTCTAAAACATCCAAGGCCAAAGGCTTCTATAGAAAACTACGGGTCCTACTTCGAATATTATACCTCTTTGTCCTCCACCAAGTTGTAAGCAACGCCAATGCGAGTGCCAACGTGACGTCGAACGTGACCTTGATGAATTTGAGTAACGTCACAACAACTTCAGCTCCCACGACAACGACGACCACAACGACCATCACAACTACCACCACCACGACAACCACCACGACAACCACAACGACGACTACCACAATCCCGACGACAACCACAACGACAACGACGTCTACAACGCCCATCGAAACCGCATATCCTTTACTGCGAGTTGCTCCTGTTATCTACTTCACGTTGCAGAGATCTGTGACAGCGAGTCAGTTATCTGGTTCGACTTCATTCAAGGGCGCTGTCTTTACGGGGTGTTGTTCTTGTTTATCATCGCTATTTCGTCACGCTGTAGGCGTATTGAATGAGCAGTATTGAATGTATCTTTTACAACTTCTTCTGAATACCAATACGAAGAGAGAGTGAGAAATAGTCATGCTCGTCTGTCAAAAAGATTTCAAGATGAAATCAAGGGAAATATATAAAACAAATGACACTTCTTCTCATTGCCTTTTGAGGCTAATTGGTGGACGATGAATGCTTGATAGAAGAGAAGCAACTGCAACCACAGATCCACGGAAGATGATCCTCCAGCACTCATTAGTAACTTCTAATGTGCGCGCGGGCTTTAGTGAGGCAGTACGCAGATTGAGTGGAACGAGCGGAACAGAGTGTACTGTTTCAGGTATCACGTTTATGAGTCGAAGACTCAAAGAGGATGGCTCAAAAGAGGACGAGCTTAATGCCCCTGATGCGCCAATGGACTTCGTTGAGGTGGCGTCAATCTCTTCCAGTGCCAGCTCGTCTAGCGCTCGCTTACTTCCCAGCAATGAGGAAGATCGCCTTTGCGAGCGAGAGGGGGCTCGACGAGATGGCCAAACTTGCGCTTCTCATTCGCGAGCAGAGACAGAGCAGGAGCAAGAAGGTTCTTCACCAAAGTCAACGCCGTCTTTTCGAGGTTCTCCGCGGGCTTTGTCATCTTATGGCGATTCTAGGACAAAAACGAGATCATGGTTCTGGTTGGAACAATTGTTCGATCACTTCTTCAATCACATAAGTATTAAAAAGATGGAGATGGTAACACAAGTAACAAACAGTACTAAGAAGTATATACTTACTAGAATAGTTTATAGAACGGATGTAGGATGGACTTGGATGGATCGGATGGACCCCCTGACTCCTGCGATCCTACTTGAAATGGTGGGAAGTCCATCCGATCCATCCGATTCATCCCATCCCGGATCTGGCACCCCTATAAATTATTCTAATTATGTACAAAAGCTGTAGCACAGCAGGAACAAGAATGCGGACTACCCTTTTTTCAGTATTCTTCTTGGTCAACATGATTATAAAGGGTCGTAAAGGTACAGGCGTTCTTCTAAGCTTCAATAAGCCGTACTGTCCGGGTTGACTTTCAGCTTCGATTAGCGACGTTAGCTGCAGCACAGGGCGTTGTCGCCCAGATCAACGTTGCTACAACTAGCGGGTTCGCAGCTTCGATCAATTATCCTGGGGATGGATAAATACTTTAAGTTTTAGTTTAACTTTTCAAAGTCAAGAGGTAGACGAGGTAGACGTAGAATCTTTATTAAAAAAAAATTTAACAAGATTGATGTTCTTGTTCCACTAGAAGAAGTATGTCATCAAGCTGAGCGACACCGGTGAGCAAAGGAAATTACTTAGAGTCGTGCACTTCTCTACCGTAAGCGTAACCTTGCATACAACTGTCTAATCCCAAACAGAAATGAATGTGGAATTAGCTGCGTTGCTCAGAAGATATGGCGGCAGCCACGATGCTCATTTTCTTGGCGGTGTTGTCGCAGTGAATGCTATCATGGCATCTTCGCTAACCGAAACTGCGTTCTTATGAATACGAAAACGAATGACAGTGAGTATTTCTATGATGAGGGGAAAGACGGCCGATAGGGATACATCAACGAAGAATGGCATTTTTGACGATTTTGATTTCAACAAAACACCTCCTCGCCTTGAGCAGTGTTGTATTCTTGTATTCTTTATCTTCTAAAACACGCAGTAGCACCCACGCTGGGTCTTGACGATGGTCTAGATGACGACAATGGAGTAAGTGGTGGGAATGTCATGGTTAGACGAGATTCGTCAGACTCGAGGAACGTGCAAGGAGAACTAGGGATGATCTTCTTTGTCGGAATCATCGTTGGTGCGTTTATTCTGGTTGCAGGAACTTACGTCGCAGTGCTCACATACCATATCACCTGGCGTCAAGTCTGTAGATGTCTTTGTCCCGGTTGTCGAAGTCGCTTTGCGGACAAGGTGGTGAGTCCAGAGGAGACAGATTAAGGCAATCAAGTATTAGTATTCCTCGAAAGTAGGTAAACAAGAACGGAGAAGGTGTACTATAGTTGGTTCTTCTTGTAGTTGTACTACCATTTCGGCCAGGCCCATGCCCAGACGAGAGTTTGTATAGGTGTAGCGCCGCTAGTTGTACCTCTAACAGGTAAAGGGGCCTCCGCCTGATGACGCGCCAAAGGCAAAGAAAAAATCCTCGAAGGAGAGTACTGCTTCTGCAGCCAAAGAAAGCAATGCCTCTGGAACGGGAGGATGGCACAACACGACTTACGTGGATGAAAGTTTGGCGTCTCGGTTGGCAGCACAACAAAAAGCACAAGGCAAAGCAGCTGTCGCAGCCGCTGTCCAGGCACAGGAATCACCCGATGCACAAAATCGCGGAGCATACGGGAGAACGCTGTCTCGATCAATGTCGATGGCGAGTACCGGAGGAAGAGGACCTCCAACGGAAGGGGGTCGTTCGCCAACAATTTAAGGCTTGAAGAACTACATGATCAACATAGCGCTAGATGACTCCTGAAATCAGAAGTGTTGTACAACTTCTAAGTAGTGTAGTACTTTGAAGTACTGCAGGGCGATGGCGAAGACATGCGGTCGTAGTCCGACGTAGATGAACTTCGTGAGCCTTCTGATGTGAATGCTAAGATGAGTGAACGTTCTTAAATACTTCTAGATTTGAAACCATCCTGTTGCTGGAGTTGATGTCACGCAAGAACTACGTCAACATCAAGACTATCATGAACTACATCACCATACTTACTACAACCTAGCATTGAAACTTCGAAAAACCACGTCTTCTACCTCTAACAGACATCACCTTCAGCATCGAAAGAAAATCTTCCGAGAGAAGATGAGGAAGCAAGACGACAGGCTCTGCGGAGAAACCGAGTGCGAAGATCAAACTCCAATTATGTTTCGTGTCCGTTGTCCTTGGCGGTCCTCGTGGAATCCTAATCCATAATTCCATCATCGTGGTCACTCTGGTTTCGACTAGTACAACTTTTGATTTTGAACTCCAAAAGAACTGTGAGAGACTGACCACATCATATTTATATTTCGACACCATTATTTATAAATTTACCCTGCTAGCTAGCTAAGCCTAAAAAGTTACCAACATTCTCTTCCTCAATCTACTCTTCTAATTCCCTTTAACCAGTGGCGTCAGACCGACGGATGAGCTTCCGAACCAGGGTAGCGGACCACGACTCATGAGGACAAAGAGTAGCGAGAGTATAGGGACACCGATACCAAGGAAAACAAGTGGCACAACGAGTATACCTAGGCAAACGAGTGGCACAAGTAATCGTAGCAGAGGCGAGGAAGGCGGAATTCAAAATTTTAAGGACAAAGACACGGCAGTACTAGAGGCAGAAAGAATGAAAACTTGGTAACATAAACTTTGAAAAAGATCGATACCGATAGCGATGCCGTAGGTATGTCTCTAATTCTAATAATCCCGGAGGAAGCTCGCCATTGGGTGAGCGAAGCAGGACGAGGAGCATTGAAAGCGCGTCAATGAAAAGGACTGCGAGTCGACAATTTTGAGGAGATGAGAATGATAGGAAGAGGAGCTGCCCTTTTTGTAGTTTCTTCAGCAGCTTAGCAACTAAGAGTAGTACGGGTGACTCCAAGAAATAGCAGTGGCAGTATTATCTTCCACCAGCACGACTGACTCATCATGGCCATGGGTAGCGTTATCATTATGCTCATATCTGGATCAATTTGGTATGATCATTGAGTAGATTCTTAGTCTTTCTTGCTCAATATTGTCCTCCACACAGGACATCTATCTTCTCATCTTGAGATGATCTTCTCTAGACGAACAAGCACCACTCTGAATTCAAAATACAAGTAACATTACCACAACTCTGAATTATGATGTGCGTCACCTCTCCGACTCCGACTCCGTCCCCTCTTCCTGCTACCAAGTACAATGGGAACGAAAAGTAACCTCTTTGGATTTGTCTGTATCAAATAGATCTTCAAAAATCATCTTCTACTTACACTTAGCTACTTGAAATACGGTTAATGCCTGTGATACACAAGGGAGCAGAGGGAAGTGGACTTCTTCTGAGATACTATGATATATGCGTCATGAGATCAAAATCTTCCCTGGAACCGTGTCATAAAGTCCATCTTGCTTCAAACATCAAGCGAATTCGGAGAAGTGCACAGTTTGAAATAAGCTGCCTGCTCATTCTCATTGTGGGCTTGCCAACAAGCATGAGCATGAGAAGAGATCCATTTCCATACAAAGCAATAGCAAGGCCGCAAAGAAGAGTACTAAACTGGTTGAACAGGTGAATGCGTGACGCAAGGCACCAGAAGCGTTTCACAAAGTCATCAGCATCAGCAAGAACACAGACAACGTCGTTGAAATCTAGACACGATCATCTTCTACTCTGTAAGACTAAGAACTCGGAAAAAATGCTCCTCCACCTCCTGTTGATGGGGAAGTCTGGCCGGGTCAACATGTTGTGAAGTGTATAGATCACTGCCAGCCACTAGTTGAGTTCTCTGCTCCTGATGCTGATTTTTAACGCTCGACGCTGCGCCCTTCTCCTTGAATAATTTCTAGCAACAGTGATACTTTGTTTTTGTTTATTGACTAAGGCTAGGGGTCGCAACTGAGACTGCCGTTGTTGTTTGCGCAGTTATTTCGTATCTATTTGTTTGTCGTTTGAAATTAATTTGTAGCATCAACTTCAACCCCGTGATCAGCAAAATGCCGGAAGAATACCACGACTTTCTCACCGCTAGGGATTTACTAAGCAGCGAGCCAAAGCGAAGGCGAATTGAAGACAACATCGTCCAGGGGCTCTTTGACAATAATTCTGCAGTCGATCCCATCGTTGCTTGGCTGGACGGTTCATGGGAGTCCGACCAATGCAAGAACGGGCACAGCAGTGGCGAGCTTCTGACTCTGTCGCACGGATCTGCCAGCTTTCCAGGAGATGGCTCTCCAGTGGCGATTAGCGTTGTTGCTGGAAAAGATAGCGATATTCGGGCAATGGAAATGAATGGCTGGCGCGCGAATGGCGTTCGTAAAGGGTGTCACGCGCTCACATGGTACAAAGAAAGCGACGTGGACTCACCAATCCAGTGGAAGAGCAAGAGAGTGCCACCAAGATCCGTGCAAACTATGGACAAAATGATGGAGGCATTAACGGAAGAGCAGGAGCAAATGAATAAGCAGTACAAGAAACTGAAGAAGTTGGTGCGCGACTTTTGTACCGCAGACACTGCAGCACCTTGCGAAGTTTGTCTCGACCGCCCTGCGGGCGTGGCACTGCTCGGCTGCGGCCACGTGATGTGCGAAGAGTGTGCAGAAAACTGGAAAGCTTGCTTTACGTGTTGACTGCCATACGCCGGTAAGCAGAGACTTTTTTCTCGTAAAAAAGCAGTGTTGTAGCAAGTTGGTTCTTCAAAAACGATCTGCAGGATTGCATTCAGATTCAACACATGAGTTCTCTTACGAACGTTAGCACGCTCGGTGATCTCTGAGAAGTCCATCAAATTGAACTAGCCAAGCTTCTGAAGAACTAGTACTAGTCTAATTCGGCTGACCAAGGTTGTAGACCAAAAAGAGCTACTGAACCTGAAGACATGATGTTGCGTCATCATGCGTATGTGTATCGCCACACCCACATTGACAATTGGATCAAAGTCAAGGCCAATCTATTAAAGCCAACTTCCAATACCAATTCGATTCCCCCGATAATTCTCTGACAATATCCCATGACCATGTACTAACTACCCCTTCTCAACGAGAATGAATCACGACTATTTTGAATCCGCCAGAAGAAGTGTACTCGACCACAAACACGCGAAGAGAGACCAGGAAAGAAAGCCAGCAACAGCATAAAGTGTGAACAAGATTTGGAGAGTGTGAACGGGAGTAGAAGTCGACTGTCACACTCTGCTGGTCTCCTTCAGCGTCATTATCATGTTAACGCGGAAGAGGATAGCAAGACCATGAACAGCAGGATCCAGAAGATTTGGATCCGTGGAGAGACGACTCTGTGAAGAGAGGCCACCCTGCTGTATGTTCAAAAATCGGTAGTCATTCTATGTCTTCGGCGTGTTTTTTCAGCATCCTCATCTTCTTTCCTTGGGCTGGATGAAGTCTTTCGAGCACTCCACAGATAGCGTTCAGAAGATACGAACATTTCATGTGCGTCGTCAAGTGCAGTGTAAAAATAGGGAGACAAGACAAGATCATACTCTACATCTTCTTCTTCCTGTCGCGTGCTGCTCTTAGTGTCTTCTTCATCGTCATGCAGATCCTCATGATTATTTGACGTTGACGATTTCGTTGGTCCACCAAGAAGACTTATTTGTTCTCTTGTAGCCAGCACAAAAGGTTGTCCGCCTGAATGCGTACTATCAACAGTGCGTAGATGTAGAAGCGTACAAAAAACTACCACGTTTAGCGTCTGCGTTGGCGTTCCGAATGCGGAGAAAGCGAAATGCGTCGAATAAGGTCCCACGATGCCCTCGAATTGAAATTTGTGCTTGTTAGAGGGGGAAGAGGTTTCCTTCATACACCACGAACAGCCTCTTGCGCTTGCCTGCTGAGGGACGACTCGAACAACTACTGACACAGTCTTCAGTGTCAGTCGTTCACGATTATAGTCTTGTCAAGAAGTAGCACCAGCTACTAGCTACGGCCATAAAGATTTCCTTGTGGCTTTTCTGTCCCACCATGTCCTCCTTCTTCTTTGGTTCTTTCTCGTCCCCACCATATCCAACAACACCTTCTAGCTCGACAAACCTCCCTACTGCTCTACGCGCCGTGGCCTCGAAGGATTCCCCTTTGAGCATTCTGGCGCCTGTAAACCTCGGGACTCCACGCATCGGCTCATGTTGTCTCTTCACAAACGCGTACTCGTGCACCTGAGGGAGAAACAAAACCACGTCCACACAAGAAATCACACTGCTCGCCACGATCTGTTTGTAGACAGAGGTTGGTAGCTGAACTTCTACTTCAGTCTTCTTCATGTTCTGTCCTTCTTTTTTAGTCTCCTCAATCCTTTCGTCCCTCCCACTCGCCATGCATTCCCCTTGCAAACCGTGCCGAAACCAATTACCCTTGTTCAAATTGGCCTCGTGGAATCCGAATCCATCCCCCTTGACATAATTCTTGGACGAGTTGACGAGGTAGAGGTACTCCCACAGTCCGTGCTTGACAGCTGGCGCAACGGCGTCGTTTTCTAGGTACTGAGCCGCTGACAACCACTGAGAACCAGTGTTAGAAGCAAGTTCCATCTCCACGATGATCATCCATCACCATCCCTTGACCCTAGCGAAGTAAATCTTCTGCTGAGAGAAGATACAGATAGACTTAGACGGAAGAAGAAGATACTACACGTCGAGATAACAAGTATTCAACAGCACTTTCAATATCGATCCCGAAGTCAAAGTCTTAACAGTATGCAACGCATCGAAGCCACAATTGACAATCGTCTTCTGCGACTTGACTTCTGCGAGCATTAGCACGTTGACCGTGTGCGAGCTAAGCCCTTCGATCGCCGAACGCTCGAAGAAAGTATTGTGTACACTGATCGGACGGGGATTGATATCTACTACGTCCTGATGCAGATTTACTCGCTCGTTGTCCTTCTCCGTGTCCGTGACTACACTGTTAATATTGCCTCTCATGATGTCGTTATCGTCGCTCCCCTCAGCAGCTCCATTATGTTGCTCACGTCCTCCTCCTGTGCCATTGATGTCCACAACTGTAGTGATGTCTTCAACAAGAAACTCACACTCTTCCGAAATTTTCCTTGCTGCTGTTTGTGTGAAAGACTCCCCTAGCCACATGCGACCACCTATGAAGGCCAAGGAGCCTTTGATAGGATCATTGTTGCGCTGTAGAAGTAGATACTCGTAGTCCTCGCGAGAGTGCTCTTGTGCGGTTTTGATCATCTCCTTTCGTCTCCTCAACAGTACATCCACACATGCGATCGCGGTATGCTCCATTGTCCTTTTGTACAGGTCTTCAGGGATACGTTCGCTGTGTATGCCAACGTGGTGTTGGAGTTGGTGTGTTTGCGCAGCCTTATGATCTTTCTCTAGTGCAACGTCGATCGCGGTTCCACTTTCATCATAGAAGAACGAATTTCTGTCCAGCCCTTCTACTCTTGCCTCTGCAGCGTGATGCAGTGTCGCAAGGATGAAGAGGAGAAGCATCACCCATGTTCTTGAGCATGGGCTTGACGACACGAACATTTTCTCTTTCGTCATGGTTCTCACTCGCTCATAATGAAGTTGCCGGAAGATTGTGTTCGTACCTGTACTTTGATGAAGTTGCAGGAAGATTATGTACTTACAGAGCGAAATTGAAATACTGTCTTCACCAAAGAACTGAAAATGAAATCTGCTGAAGAATTAAATTGAATGCAGCGGATGGGGATGCTACCCTTCTTCATCGGCCTCTCGGAAAGTGCTCCCAATGCTCTCTCTCGCCCTCGATGGTCAGGTGAGTACTTCTACTCACTCCCCGCTCCCGCGGGTTACGCAGCTCCGACAATGACCATGCTCGTCTGCTGCTGGTTCATGTACAACGTAGTATCTAGGAGTAAGAAGATCCAATCCTGCGCCTGCCGCCAAAACCCTTAGACCCCACTAGGCGGGACCATCTTTAGGTAGCCAAAATAAAAAAAAGAATGACGTTGCGCAACGAGGAAAATCCTGGTCTAACAACTACAACGCGTAGTACTTACTCTTAGATACTACCTCCTGAAAATTGCGTAGTTACTCTTAGATAATACTTTTTCAGGAGGTAGTATCTAGGAGTAAGAAGATCCAATCCTGCCGCCAAAACCCATCATCCTTGCCATCACTGTCGATATCAAAGTGCCGCCCGTCAGGCGAGTGCACACTAGTGCACATTTGACGACAGGACTTGCGTTTTGCTCCCACTCTAGCCGCTCTTGGTCGGCCAAAAACGGTTGCATACCTGCTTTGAATGGCTCATACTTGCTCACTAGAATCTGCAACCCAGATTGAGGATGTACCATCAAACGACTGCAAGAGCGTATCTCCGAATGAAGCGATGTTGTAGGTGAGGCATGGTAGAAAGGTGATAAGCTTCTACTACTGTAGGAGGCCTCCTCTGAAGATTCATCTTTTTGGTCTTCTTGTGTGGGGTTTCTGCATTCCCGTGAGAGTTTGATGGATCTCCACTCACCGGTCCCTTTGAGTTTTCTTCTACAACTCGTACTACTATCCTCACCGTCACCCTTTTCTTCTACAACTCGTACTTTAGACGATGTCGATACCGATGCTGCAGCTCCTCTTGCTCTTGTTCCTTTTAGAAGCAATCCACACGACTCCTTGTGCCTGCTACTGCTACTGCTACTGGTACCAGTCCTCCTACTCCTTCGTCTCCCACGACAAGGGCTCTGACAATAGTGCTTTGTGATCATGTTGGAATGAATTTCATCATCTACGGTCCGCCGCTCTCGATCCCCCAGATACTTCTTCAAGAGCCTGTCCGCCATCTTCTCCGCGCCTTGCTTGATCAACATTCTTCTTGTTCTTGCGAGGTGATTGTGACGTCGTCGTCGGGCTCTAGTACTCGAAGATGTGGCAGGTGGTGGAGGAGGCGGGAACGTTGCGGTCGAAGGTGTCTGGCTCTGGTCTCCTTGGCGTTCAATTTCAACGCTTCTTAGTGCCTCGTCATTGTGCACTCGAGCAGATGTTGGCGTTGCTCTTGCTTCATCCATCTGCACTCGAGCGGATGCTGGCGTTGCTCTTGCTTCATCCATCAACTTCTGCACAAATGATCGATGCATCGTGTTACTCGGATATGGGTGTACAGCTAACAACCACGATGCGATGAGCCAACGACTAAATTCCTCACGGCACAGAGGACATTTCGCTGTCATGCCAATGGGTACAAACTCGTCCAACCATTCCTCAATCTTAGCCGTATCCACTGTTTGCATGTGGTCGAGAAAGATATAGTATGCAAGTTCAAGCTGCCGCTCTTCCACTTTCGACTTCTTTTTGCTTGCTCTACTTGCTGCGGTAGAAGTGGATCCTCCTGAAAATTTACTTCCACAATGGTCCCTTTCTTCTGTAGACATTATCCTGGATCTACGGCCACCTAGCACTGAATCTTTTGCGTGTCCGCGCCCTTGTTCTCCTTTCATCTGTTTCTTTCTCTCCATGATTTTCTCTTCCACCACAAGCTGCAGAAACTTATTTCGTCGTTGTACCTTTCGTGCTCTACTCGTATACGTATGCACTGCAAATTCAACGATGCTGCTTACTTCTGCTACCTTCCCAAGACATCGAAGATGAAACATATGCCCACAGGTCGGCAGCTTTGCCCAAACTTCACCGGGCTTCTCATTTGCCGTCTCGAGACATAGTGCGCAAGGTTCTTCTGTCGCGAGGGTTTCTGCCGATGTACTGCAATAGGACGCGACATCGTCTTCATCTTGTTCGGAGGACAATAGGTCCTCGAAACCACGTTCGCCATTTTCGGACGAGGACAATGTGAGACACGAGGATGAGGAAGATCTAGACAAGGATACTCCTCCTGAACTGGTCTCTTCAAGTTCTGCATCTCGTGGTTCGGTTGCCGTGTTCTGTTCATCAGCCGATCCACGTGTCGGCGCTAATTTCGATACTGCATCTGCAAGCCTTTCACCATGCCCATTTCCCACACTTAGATCCGCATTCGCTTGTTGTACTTGTAGTGCGTCACCCTGCGCTACATCTTTTAGAAGGTGACTCTCAGCATCCGAGTCTCCACCTTCTGGCGTCGCAGCCTCGCACACGGTCGAGGCTGAATTCCAGCGCGAAGTTGCTCTCGAATTGTGCCGTGATACATCAGGAGTAGTCCTTTTCTTGCTGTAAAATCCTTCGTCGTCCGATGACGCATCTTGTCCACGGGTAACAAGAAACCGTCGTATATTAAATCCCACTGCATGATGCGTGGTAGAGGCAGCCAATGTGAAGGCTACGCACACTAGGGAAGGCTTGCAAAGAGAAAGCTTCATGTTCTGAAGCAGTTATACTGAAGTAGTTATAATTCTATGATGTTTGACGAATGGATGATCCTATGGGGTATGGATTGGAGTACTACTCCTAAAGAAGTAAAGAGTCGGGCTGGGTACTTCTCTGGGTAGGCTTGGGGGGATATTTGTCGCCTCTACAACAGCTAGCACCAAGAACCAGACGCAAGACAGAATGATCCGTGGTTTGAATGGCGTTACCTTCGTACCAGACCGAGTTTTCGCTCTAGGACAGAGCACCTTATCAGCCCAACTCCAGAATTTAGATTATTTAGAAATGTCTCAGGTCTATATTTTTCTCTTTCTGGCGCAGATCTCACATCGCGCGGGCCGCTGGTTGAAAAAAAAGAGGTCGCTTAGAAAAAATAATAGGAACACCGCAAAACTTGGTTTCTGAACCCACTGCAGAGAACAACAATGTCTGCTAGAGGGACGCAGCTCTCCTGCTCGCACCTATTTTCTCAGAATTCAATGTCAACAAAACATTAGAGAACATAGTTTCTCCTCCCTTATTTTCATCTTCCCTTAAAGTGAAAACGTTCCCCAATATGAAGCCAACAAAAAATTTTGATTATCTTTTCCCGGGAGTAATAAACAAATCGCAGAATGACTTCTGTCACACCATGGGAGTAAACATCTCAGCAGTGACGCCTCCTGCCACAATGCGATGGAATCTGTTCAATTGTATTCGTAGTAGTTCTGCTTTTCTCTCGTTGTAGTCCACGAAAACTCTCTTCTTCTTCTTCGAAATCCAAAGAATTATACTATAGATTTTCTAGAAATTGTTCCATAGAGCACACCAAATTTGGTGCCTAGAAGCAAGAGCAACTCACTACATTTTGGTGGAAAATTTGCCATCTGTGCAGAAGAGATTGATTGAATGATCGCGTATTATTTTCATTATTTAGTATAACAAGTAGACCTTTTAGTATGGTATTCCAATATCTTACAATAACTCACAAACATAAAAATACATGATATTTTGAAGACCGAAACAATAATGCTATCGATAGAACCCAATTCTAAATGACCACCGAGATCAAATAGTACAACTATTCACTTTTTCCTGGTTGACCAAAAAAAGCAAATGCGAATGTCTCCTCATAATCGTAGTTCTAAATCATCAAGATCATAGTAATACCTCCTCAATGGTGTGTAGAGCAAACATTTTTCACAGACATGTTTTCAAACAACTGACTCTAAGTCCAAAAAAATCGTCAAGAGTGGATCATGATAGAAGTAGATGTTGTCTTTCATATAAAAGCGTATTCTTAATATGCAACATCACAATTTCCTTTCAAAAATAATTCATGAAGTAACATTCATCATAAACATCATATTCTAGCCTGCATCATGTAGAGTGTGACAGACCGATATTACTTAATCTATGTCCTCCTCGTTTAAGTATCACTGGATAAGTACCCCCATCTACATTACTCAGCCTGGAACACCACCACCGGGCTAGTGGTTCAAGAGAACCATGATGAGAGAGACCTCCCTGTCCCTTTACCTTTAGCAGCATATGAAAAGTAGAAAAAACTAACACATAGATACATAGTATTAGAATTAGTAGACCCTCCTAGATTTCTTGTTTCCAGCTTTCTCCAGAAAATACATCATGTAATACTTCGAGAAATCCAAGTCACTAGGAACTCATCTTCTCGAAGGCTCCTCGGTCAGGACTGCTTCCGAAATTTAGGCTTCCGGGGCCGGCAACTCCTTGCCGAGCATCTTGTAGAGGCAGACCATACCGACCGGCGGATCCATGTCCAATTTGTTAGAGCGGGTCGAAGAGCATAAGGTCAAGTCGTGACTCCTAGATTTTGAAGCTTCACATTTCCTCAAAAATTTGCGACACCTCTTCTGGAAGAACGAAATCTAAAGAATCTAAATCTCCCTCTTCTGGAAAACTGTAAATCTAAATCTCAAACATCTCCATGTCCGTCTCCATAATAGTGGTGGCATCCGCAGTTGCTCCCAAGACTCCAGTGTAGTCACCGCTGAGGAGCTTTCCAGTAGCCTTGTCGACCTTGTAGGTACCGACTTCGAAAGGAAGGACGGTGTCCTGGGTCTTGATTCGGTCCAAAGCTTCTTCGAGGGTGCATGCCGGAAACGGACCCATCTCCGGGAGATCAGCTTGCATCTTTCCGATGCGCTGCTGCGTCTCCATGGTGTAGGTGGAGGGGTTAGAGGGGGTTTAGGGTTTAGGGTTTTTGTGGATTGAGGTTTTTCTTCACTGAGGGTGAAGGGAGGGAACTACCTCTAGCTGCTTCTAGTACGACGAGGTACTTCACACGACGAGGTAATTCACGGGTTTCGGCATCGAAAGCCACCGGCTGAAAAGACGGGCAAGATCATGTCATCTGTAACCTAAACTATATGAAGTACCTAAACTACAACATCAATCTAAATGTAAAACCACCCAACATCCACTCATAACAGTAGTTTCATCCTCGGAAACGAAGGTGACGGCTCCGACAGCGTGAGTCCAGTCGGGAAAGACGGTTTTGTAACCGCCCATCATACCGCAGAAGGTCTCGAGAGGGAACTGGAATAGGGAGAGTATAAGATGATGAGACTGAGAGACAGTTTAGATCTTTTTGAACGCACTTACCGTATACCGCGCAGGGTTGCATCGAAAAACAAAATCCGTATCCATCTTAGTTCATACCCTAAAGATCCAACCGACCTTATTCGTATCTACTAGTAATAATCATACCTGCGGTGCTCCTGGAGGGGAGAACCAGAATCCTTCAGCAACAATGGTCTTGCAACACTCAGCATCAGAGAAGTTCGTTCCAAATTTCTTCAACATAGCTTCGTGCTCCGGGTTTCCAGCGGCGGCTGGGGGCTGTGAAACGAGTGTGTAAGGAACAAGTGTTGAAGTCATTCAAGCTTCATCAGTTGTGATTTTCGCGTGCAGAGCTTGTCTTGCGTATGCTTGCATGCCTGCTACAGAATGACTCTGAAATTTTCCGTCATTCACCTGAAACTTCGTGGAGATCTCGGAAAGCAGTACTCGCGACGGAACAACCCTCACGTAAAAATCAATCTTATCGAAAGTACTCCACTAAATCTAAACAGCACTAAGACTAAGTAGAGATTTTTAGTGCACTACCAGATTACCACTAATCAGCACGACTAAGAGATTAGAAGTTTTAGTACCGGAGGTGGCACAGCGCTCAAGTACTCCATCTTGTCCATGGTCCACATTTTTTCGCCCATCTTCTGGAAGATGGGTCCACCCATCAACTCGCCGATCTTAGCCATGTCCGCACCGAAGCAGCAGATGACCAGCTGAGCTGCGTTCTTGGTGTTCTGGAATACCTTGGTCTTCGACTCGTCACAGCAGTCACCACGGGTCATAGGCATATGGAACTTAGAGATCCGGAAGTAGTAGGGTCGTGGGAGTCGATGGTCGTCCATTGGAAACACGGAAGTAGAAATCGTTTTAGTCATTTTTGCTAGGAAGGCCTGGGCGGTGTCTATGTGGGTACTATGGAAAATAAGATGTTGGCGGGGGAACGAAGTGGGAATGAGTAAGGAATCTTCATTCAGTCGAGAACAAGACTGATTCGCGCAAAATACATGAACAAAAGGCATACTGTTGACATTACATTGACTGTGGTCTTCATAACATACGTCTCCCCGGCGTACTCCAAGGTCTTGCTGTCAGCATGGGCCCAGAAGAGCTTGAGGTAGTCCTCCGCAGTGACGCCCTCCTTCAGGGTAAGCCAAACGCTCATGTCTTGCTTCTCCGCAGCTGGCATGTCCGGACCACGCAACTTCATGTCCTCAGCAGGGTTGAAATCAAAGAGGGTGTCGCCCTGTGGTATTTTGACAAGATTTTTCTCGGCTTAGTTCAATACTAGTAGCTCTCGTCACGACAATCACTGCAACTATTTCACAAGTATAATGAGAGTTGTTGTTGTACCATCTTCTGAAACTCGGCGCTGCCCATCAAGGCACCCATCTTGGCCAAGTCCACGTTGTCCAAGGAGATCATGAGCTCCTTCTCCTTCTTCGTGTTGACATAGATGGCAGACTTGGATTCGTCACAGAAGCTGGCACGAGTGTCCGCGACCTTCAGCACCTCACCGCGCAGGTTGATCTCAGTGGAGCTTCCATGAGACCAGAACAGAGTAGTGTATTCTTCGACGGGCATTAGAGGTTGTGCCGAAATGGTGATACGAATCGACAACTCGGCTATCTGCCTCAGGCGAAATAAAGGGAGGAGATGGACCACCTAGGGATCATGTTTCCCCCACCTGCAGAAGTAGGAGGTGGGTACTCGTCTTCTATGATCTGTATTATCATGAATCATGTTGTACATATTATACTCGCTCCTCCTCAAATAAAATACATATCCGACCACGAGCAAAAAATCAAAATGTCATCATAACGTCGCATCGTCCTTGACAGTGAGCACGCCGGACATGTGTGGCGGCATGGCCGGGGCCTTGGGGGCCCCAGCCTCGACCTTCTTCTCGGCGGCCATTTGAGGGGGGGCAGCGGCGGCGGTAGCAGGGGCAGCCGTTGCTTCGGCGCCAGCAGCTTTGCTTCCAGTGCAACCCATCTTGTTTGTTAATGTTGTTGTGAAGAAGAAGAAGCGGTACTAAGACCAAGTTCTTGTAAGTGTTTTTCCTTGTAAAGAAGTACGAGGGAGAGTCTCTCGGCTAGAAGTTGGTCGATGTGCAAGTGGGGATTTCTGAGAACGTCTGAAGTAAAAGGACAACGTACGACTTCTACTTCATGATGATCCCATGGTGTTGAATTATCTACGTGTTAACTTCTACTTGCCGTACTGATTGGCATGTTCTTGTGCGATTTGCATTTTCAGAAGCTATTCTTCGATATGTAACCGACATTTGAGATTCTTGCAGGCCACTCCCGGTCTCGCCTCGTCAGTTGTGATGTCAATCAAGCCTGGTAAATGCAAAGCTCACACAGCCTGCAGAAACCCTCTCGACCCTTGGGATAAGATCCTTCCTGCATCGACCTACTCTCGTTCACGTTGGTGTATTGATTACAGTCCTCCCAAATTCCCGATTTTCATGAATACAGCGCGAACTTGAACTTGATTCCCGACATAGATCACACGACCTACGAACAGACCCACCGGGCTAGTGAGGACTACAACAAAGGCAAGCTTCATATATCCAGATTTTTCAAAAATGTCGTGATTTGATTGTAATATTGATTCTTGGAATCTTAAGGTGGCTCATGCGAACATTGCTCCAACAATTACTGGTGGGAATCGGCAAAAAGGGGATAGCGATAGCCCTCACGAGTGACTTCAATTTCGGTTAACTGCACCACGCGCAGGTTGTAATTGTATGATGTACAATAACAATAAGTTGTAAAGCAATGCCGTAATTATATATATGAAGATGTAATGTAAAAGATGTAAATCATTGTTCACCGAATAAAAACATGTCCGCTTTAAAATCCTGGCATCTCCATTATTTTTACATTTACTTCCTGTTCTTCTACTACTAGCTACTACTCGCACTTATACTCTAAAAGCAAAAGTTGTTGAATCGGTCGTCGTGTCCCATTATTTTTGTAACCTATCTTCTCCATCGACTGTTCATCTTCTTTCCACAGCTGTGCAGTAGGCGAGTTTCATCTCGCTATTCGTTGTAGGCCTTCGCACTGTGCAAAGTGTTTCTTGCATCGTCGACGTTCTTGAGACACATGTACACTCGAAAAGTCTGAGATGAAAAGAGAATCTTCTTGGTAAGTAGCGGTTCGATTCTACCTTTTTACTATTCTTCATAGAGATTCTTTTTGTTCTAGCGTCAAGGAGACTCCTCGTGCTTCCATTGTCTCATGCCGGCCTCTGAAATTAGTTTGCTGCAGCACCAAGCGGCCTTTGATGACTGAAGTCACTTGGTTAACCCGTTTGACTTTGTAGATGTAGACCACCTTGTTATGGGGCACCTGCAGCACCAAGCGGCCTCTGACCTGGTAGACCCTGCTGCGGTGCAGCTGCAGCACCAAACGGCCTCTGTCTTTGCTGTGGACCACCTTGTTGCGGCACAGTACTATGCGGACTTTGACTTGCTCCAACTCCCCGAGGACTCGGCGGTCCTCTAGGGCTTTGTGCCTGTTGTAGTTGCGAGCGCGCGCTTGCCGTTGCTTGCCTTGTTAGAAATACGAATGTGAGGACTTGTCCAGAACAGCTGACAGGGAAGACCTAGACATCAAAGCATAACTGTGCGTGTTGAAGTCTTGCTTCGGCTCCCGCTAGCTGCAGAAACTGAATTTTGTGTTTGACTACTTGCATCCTTTTCCTTGTTTTTTGACGTTCTTTTTCACGTAATTCTGCTTCAGGAACCTGAGGTGCGACGGGTGCAGCCTTAGGCTTAGGCTTAGCATTAGAGAATACGACTACGAGAGATGTGGTCGTATACCACGTATTTACATCCCCAGGAAGCATGATCCTTGTACTTGTTGGCCTCTTATTTATCATTCGAGATATATTTAGAGTTAGTCCGTTGTGTGTTGGGTTTATTTCGCTTTGGTTCTACTGGCGAATCCTTGTCCTCAATCAATCGCATTCGGACAGTCCTTACGTCTTTATTCATCCGCCTATATTTTTTTCTCCGAGAAGTAGTGTCATCTAGGCGCGTACAAACAGGCAGTTATTTTCAAACGCGCAGTTCTTTTTCTACTGGAATACGAGAATCCAAGTAGAATCACGCTCTAAGGGGATGGCCATGCACTGTGCGCTGTCTTACTCGGTTCGACAGGACCAGGAGTAGCAGGCGTCCTTGGTGGTATCGGCTCCTCCTCCTCCTTTTTGCTTGCAGAGCCACCCATCTTGCTTCTCTTGAAGATGTTAGTCGGTTCGGATTGGACCTACGACTTCCCCTGAATGTTGCTTCTCTTATGTTTGAAGTATTCTCGAAGTTTTATTCTGCAACAATTTTGAGAACATTCAACTAAGGTTGCTGATGTCAACTAGTACAGGAATATTTTTAAAATGACGCGAGAATTACCAGATTTGTTTTTGTACATGCAGTTGATGTACCATTTTTCTGTCATGTTGGAGGGTTCTACATCGTTATAGTGGATGATGTTCTTTCTCTTCTGGTGGTGGAAAAAAGAAGAAAAAGAAATGACTAAAACTGAAACCTATTGATACTCCCTTCGCGAAAACGTGAACTCATTTTGAGGGGCGGGTAATCTTCTTGACGACCAAGTGACGGCGACCGAGGCCAATTGACATCACAAATTCATGATGTACAGAGCTTATCTCCCGCCATTCTTGCAATTCCAGAAATCCGAGAATCACCGACGCCGACCTGATTTGCAACGAATTAAGAGACCCATTTCCTCCATCCAGATGCACGAACACGCACCCCTACTCTTTTTAGAAGACGACTACACTGCGCAATTGATCGATCACAGCAGCAACACTCTTTTTTCCCTTCTTGAAATCTGCTGACGTGGAGGTATGAGGAGATTGGGATTCGTTCTTGGCGGGTAAAAACTTGAAGTAAGGATGAAACATCATGAGATTGAGAGAACAAGAATAGTACACATTCAACAACGTAAACTTGATTTCAATTAATTATGGGACCTAGATATAAAAACACGTTTGTAAAAAATTCTCTCCGGATAAACACAGGAGAAGGTGGAATCATCTTCGGCTTCAACGTCAGCAACCCTCTACCCGTGCTTACTCACTGTTCACACCCGACATCCTTCTACTACTGGTGCTTATCCATTGATTGTTCACATCAGCGAGCTCGTCGTGCACGCCGCACTAGCATCGAAAATTGAACCCGCCTGTTCCGAATCCAAAGCCGCCTCCTCGTGAGAAGCCTCCTCCCGCCTTACTCAACTCTTCGATTTCGTCCTTGCTTTTGCCACTGTCGTAGTAGCGCTTTTTCGACGTGTCACTCAAAATGTCATAGGCTTCCTGCACTAGCTTAAAGTGCTCCTCTGTGTTCTTCGAAAAGCGCTTCAACTCTGCCGGACTCAGTTCTCTGCCATTGCCCTTAACAGAGGCTGCCCAATTGTGCAACCTTGCCTGCTGTTTGTCTGGATGCAGCTCGAGACAGCGGCGGCGATAAGCGGTCTTCATTTGGGCGGCCTGGGAATACTGGGTGATGCGAGCAGCGATTTTGCGGTGGGGATTAGAGAAAGCAATAGGTCGTGGAAAGAATTTTCCACAAGGAAGTAGCAAGAAGATGTACTAGATGAGGGGTCTGATATATTAATACTATCTTCGTTCGACCCGTAGAGGATAATGACCAGTACTTGACTACAAGCAGAGTCATGTCATGTCTGCGTCCCTGATATCGCCTTTCGTGACGACCAATGCATTTCCAAGAAAAACCAATCCATAATTTTGTCTTCCTCTGTCAACTCTTCTCCATCCGAGTTGGTATCCTCGTCTGGTGACCCACAGGTCTTCCAACACTCACCCTCTTTGAGGTTCAAGAGCGCCTGTACACTGGGACTCTCTGACAGAAATCGGTAATAGTCTGGGCGCGTACCCTTCTTCAGTTCAGCCTCTGCGCGATTCCGCATGTTTTCGAGCCTGCATTTGAATGTATATGTGGGAAATAGAAACTATATATGTTCCGTTCGGCCCTGCGTCATATATAATGTTCATGTTTCTCCGTATCTTCTGATCATCATCTGTTGACATGCCTAGGCAAGAAGAAATGTGAGAGTTGTTGTAAATTAAATGACAATTCTGCTACTTTAAATGACTAATATAATTCTGCTACTTCTAGCCGAGTCAGCGTCGTCCACCAGCGATGTAGTAAGACCTCCAAAGACATCAATAGTAGTAGTACCTGTCATCATCATCCGACATCCCTATCGTCGGCTTCATCGAGTTTGCGGCCTCCTGGAGCTGCTTCATTTCCAGGTACGCATTGCATCGGGTTAGGTAGGCGGTCTGGTGGGTGGAGAGATAAATTAATGTGAAGAGTCTATCCTCACTTCAAGATGAACTTTCTCATGATCTTTGGAATCACAACTAAAAATGAGCCATTATTTTTACCAGAAGAACTATGATGATGATGATGATATACCCATATGTAATGAATACCTTCGTCTGTTCGCACACTTGACTGTACAATCGCAAGCTCGAATTGCACGCCGCAAGTGCTGCTTTAAACTCTCTAATCTTCAAGCTCGCTGCCGCATATTCCACTTGAACCGAAGCCAGCAATGTTGATCTTCTCAACCCACGGGTTATACTCTCCTTCACAGCAGGATCCAACTGGTCGCTCCAATTCACAGCGCCATTCTCCCCCTCTAGTATGCGCATGACCTCCTTGAAGACAGGAATCGCTTCTCGAAACCGGAACTTCTTCACTAGTTCTCTAGCTTCAGCCGTTTGCTCCATCACTGGCTTCACCACCAGTTTGAACAGCTGCCTAGCCTCTGCGCAATCCGGGTTCAACCGCAAAGCCTCTTTCAACAGAGGCTGTGCTTTGTCGGCTTCATCGGCTGCGAAAATGGTCAGAGCGCGAATAGCTAAGCCTTCAACAAAATCGCGATTATCCCTCAGAATGTTCTGCGTGATACGTCGGACTTCCGCGTGGTTAGTGTCGTGGCCGTTCTCATTGCCAGCGGCGAAGAGAGCGCGCGCTAACCAAGTCTGCAAGGTGAGACTTTGTCCAGTATGGTTGGTCGTGAACACTTGGACGGCCTGTTGAACGTGGTGATGATATTATCTAATTACCATCTGCTCTCTGTTGGTGTTAGTGAAGAAACAACACGAAAATCTCTACAGATTGCTGAAGGATTCAGATTTCGATATCTGTATTCAAAAATTATAGTTTTACCTTCCTAAATTTGATAACCGCATCCATCGGTTTTCCTGTTTCGATCGCCGTCTTCCCCTCACTCACTGCCTTGACCAATTGCTTCACTTGTACCTGCAACGTCTGTAGTGCTGGCAATGTTGGTCCATACTTTTCCTGCAACTCCTTGTTTTTCTCCGTTTTTGACTTGAAAGCTCCAGCTAGGAGATTCGCTTTTTTCCCCGTTTTACTGGTTTCCAGTTCCTGTTGCTGTTTTACGGCTTCCTTTTCAACGACAATTCTGTTGTCGACTACGCGCTGAGCCTCCTCAAATTCGCCACTCTGGAGGTAAGCGATACCTAAACGATGGTAGGCCTTGCCATAACTGTCGTCCAATCGGATAGACTCTTTCAAGTCGGATATCTGGATGAGAGAGGTAGATATAATTGTCAAGGAAGATCAGCAAGAAGTAGAAGAGGGGAATGTTAAAAGGGATATCTTCATGGTCACATTTTCATCATCTATCAACAACAGCTACAGGCACCAGCAGGAAAAACCTCTTCGTCTTTCTCCATCTATCGAAAAAATACCGCCTCCTTATGCGCCCCCAAGTTCTGTCTACACCACGCTCGATTCGTGTGACACACTGCTGCTAGGTTCGAACCGTCACTCGCATTCAAAGCCATGATGGCTTTGGAATACTCAGTTGCTGCTGATCTGTAATCTTTTGCCTTGATGAACTCAGCACCTTTGTCTTTGGCCTCCATCACTGCCCTATTCTTGGATGCCCCAGATAGTATCTGCGATGTCGAGGACGATGAACTCGTTGAGGTGCCAGCAGTCGTGGTGGAGGTCTTGGATGCTGAAGAGGCTGCTGCAGTGGCAGGAGAAGATGCCGTCTTGTTGGAGGTAGCTGAGGCAGCACTTGCAGTAGTTGTAGATGCTGCTTTTGGATTCGGCCCACGCGCTGGTGGGACAAATTTTCGCCTGATTTCGTCAGGGTCATCGGTGTCATCATCGTTGTCGTCGCTGTCGTACTCCGAAGAATCTGAATCTACAGAGGTTGTAGCACTTTGGCCTGTCCTTGGGCCGGAGGAGCCGGCACTAAAGGGGAGAGAGTATGAAGAAGGGGAACTTCTACTAAAGGGGAGGTGGAGGAGGTGGAACAAAGACAACGACGACAATGTAACAGTATATATAAGTAACAATAGATAGAGATGTTCTTCTTGTTGTTGACCACATTTCATAATTTTCAATTCGTAAGGTAGTGACCGTCGATTTCCTCGACAGTGGTTTCTGTTCTGATGCCTGAAAATGCTCATGATATTAACATTCGTTAAGAAGTGAGTCTAGTTCACTAATTTTCAAGTCGTTAAGTGAGTCTACCAAAAACAAGTCTCTTTCTTTGCCATAAATTCGTCGTTTTCGTCGGTGGTGACTTCGCCGCATTCGCTGACGCATCTCCACCTGCGGCTCCAATCTTGTTTTTTGATGCTATACACTCTCGAACATGTGTCCCACTTTCTGCCACAGTTCCTGTCCATTTGCAGTAGCCATTGTTAAGAGGACACCGTATCCGAATCTTCTTGAAGATCCTTTCGGCTAGTGGGTTTGTAGTGGAGAGTGGGCGGCCGCCGTCGACAGCAGGCGATATTGGCTTAGCGCACGTGAGACAGGGGACGGTTCTGTGTTGAGTATGGTGGTTATATTTTGGTGCAGCTGGTGAAGAAGAAGAAGATGCAGATGGTCGTGGTCCTATTCATCCTACGTAGCAAGGTTTGTGTCCGTGGTACACGCCATGGTTGAAGAAACTGATGTAACAATTATGAAAGCTCACACTTTGATAGCTAGTAAAGTACGCTGTCCCCCCAATGCCCACATTTTTCTGGAAGCAGACGGAGCAAAAGACGTGTCCACATGTCGCAATAGTGTTGTTCTGGAAGTGGACGAGTTTTTTGCAATAACCACAAACAAACTCTTCATACACCTCCTTGGCAGAGACCACGTCTGATGTTTGAACGGGCATATTGTTTTTGATTTTGTTTGTCGCAATCCCTAAGTCTTTCTTGTCAACCAATGAAACTTCTCGTGCTCAATCACACACAGATACACTCAAACACACTGAATATCGGCGTAGTATCAACTACAATAGAAGACTAGTTTTGATAGTACAAGTACTAGAACAAGTACTTCTTCTGCCTTCTATAGATTCAAGTGCCACAACAAGCCAGGTGCTAGGACCACTTTTAGTAGGTACAAAGATGTCGTGACAAAGCCGTAACCACTGCTACTGGTAGGATAGTAGGCAACATGGTTGAACAAGTACTAGAAGAGATTCAGATTTTTGTGTGCCATCATGTATGATGTCATGAGCTTTCAGTTGAGACTTGACAACGGCACTGTACTCGGACACCTCATAAGACCTCACAAGATCAGGAGAGAGCTTCGAGTAGATCATCGTTCATCTTCAGGTTCGGAGATATTTTGATTCATCGTGTTCGGTGAACAGCAGGAGACGCAGAGAAGAACTCACTTGAACATCTCGTCACCCTCAAAAGTTGTCGTAGTAGAACATGCAACATCTCGATCATGTTGCGACAGCCGGGGCTGCAAAAACGTGGACATTCTTGTATCCAGTGGCTCTTAGCTTTGTTATTTTCTCATCTAAAAGCAGTTGCGTTGCTATAATCGAGCCAGGTTGTTTTTGACCCATATCGGGCCGGGTTGCTCGAGTTGCTCGAGTTGCCAACCCAAATTTTTTGCGCGGCGCCCTTCGGGCGCAGATTTATGACACACCACAGCGCCACTCACCTCAAAAAAAAACAACAGAGAGCAGGGGCCTGCGCTCCTTGTTTTCGCTTCAAACACGCGCTCGCACTAATAGCTTTGTTATTTTCTCATCTAAAAGCAGTTGCGTTGCTATAAGTAAAAAAACAACTACAACAAGGCCATTGTGATTTGGGATAATTTTCTCTGAAGCTCTATCGCTATCCTTTGCTTTCACAAAGCGTTGAAGCGTCTTTTTCAAGCACAGAAAGAACTGGGTTGAGCTTCGTGTAAGTCGAACCAGCATGTTTTTGAACTTTAAGCGATGCACCCAATGTGGTCACCCGCTTCCCTTCAGCAAGTATAAATGATGGAAGAGTGATAGGCGTTTTTACGACCACTGACGTCTATAGTTAAGTTTAAGATGACGAACAAACTAAAAATATAAAGAGGTTGTCGACTAGCTGAAAGAACCCAGTTGGGGTAGCCTTGGAATGCGAACGGAGAAAGATTTTTAGGATGATTTTTTCGAAAAATCGATATTGGTGAAAGGGTAGCTTTAGCTTAAGCGACGAACGATTTTGCGATCATGAAAATGAGTGGCGCACTCCATTAGAAATGCAACTCAATTCAATGGGCGGCGGCGGCTACCATTTTGTATCGCGAGCGAGTTCCGTGAAGAACCTGCCTACATATTTTCCGCGTAGCTACCCTTCGTCTGGGCTAAACGCCACGTCACAGCAGTCCTGCCTGCACGAGTGAAGCCGAATCCACGGCCCTTCGTCGTAGCAGGGGGGGACGGCAAGAACAATGAATATAATAGCATATTGATTGTTGTTGCTTTCCTTTCGCCTGATTCTTGAAATCTGCTGGGTTCCCAAAAAATAATAAGAACAGTCAAAGACTCTAAGTCTGACGTCACCTCCTCAGAGTATAATTCACATTATAATTTGGTAGTAGAAAAGGTCTTTTCCAATAACGACGACCGAAACGAACTTCGTTAGGTTAGGTTAGGTTAGCTTGGGATCCACCATCTGATGTGGCAGACTTCGACGGCTACTGAAGAGCCTAGCAACAATGGAAGAGGAGCTCTTAGTACGAAGTTACTGTTTGCACAACATCGCGGCATAGTTCTTCATGCGAAAGATTCTTCATAACAAGTTAACTAACTCAGTAGAATATCGAGATCAGGACTCCACCTTAGACTTCTTCTTTATCTTTTCATTATTCTTCTAGTAGTTTTTTCTGTTACTGTTTCTGGTCACGCGACTGTACTACAGTCGTCAGTGACACAGGTGCAACATCGTCTACTTCCATAGGCAGCTCCTATTTGCTCGCCTAGAAGCTATCTGTACTTCAGATGAGTTCTTGGATCGCCCGAAAAAAATTGCGATCGGAAATTTATTCTTCGATACTGGCACTACTAACTCCTAATATCACTAGGAAGTGGTTAGCATACTGTATTAGGAAGTAGTTGATAATGATATAGATACAACTGTATTAGTTAATAAATAATTTTAATACTGTATTAGGAGGAAGTACTTAGCTAATATACTGACGTTGATCTTGTTCGTTCGATCAATATTCATCCCCCTATTCCCATCTTCTCGTTTGATCCTCGTTCTAGAAACAGAGTGAAAATTTGTCTGGCGAGATAAAGTTGCAATACCAACTTTCATCCATCAGGAGTTGTACGCGACTTGTATCTAGGGACATAGAGGGAAAAGGTACCCTTTGGGTAATTATCGGCGTCTGTAGGTAGTTTGTTACAAGAAAGCTGGAGCTTCGTGGAAGTAGATAATGAAGAACGCCAGGAACGCCTTGTGACCTCATGCGTAGAAAAGGACCATTAGCGGAAAAAATATATGCACGAGCTTATAAGTTAAAGTCCTATCGGCCGCTTGAGCGCTAGCCTAAACCTGCTAAAGCAGACCTATCGATATGCGGCCGAATTGCAACCCTTGAAGTAATATTGATGTCATGCGTATCAATATCAAGCTTCATCTCGATTCCGTGTATATATACAAGTCGCAGGCTATGTCGTTAGGTCTTTGCAAAAAACGCTCCGAGTTTAGGATTAGGATTAACATTCAGTCCGCCGCCCACAGCTTTACCTGCATACTCGAGCGGATTAGCGCAGCCGTAGAAGGAAAGTATGGCCGTGGAAAGAAAGACGGTCTTTGGAAAATGGTATGGCTTGGAAAAACACGCACGCCTTCGGAAAATAATGTTTGATATGTATATGACGACCTTTGCGTTTTCTATCTAATACAACGGCCTTCGTTCATTCATTCATTTACCTAGCATGAGGTGTGAACTCGCCACTTAATTAGGATGCATAGAACAGCAAGAAGAGAAACGAAAAAACTCTATTTCTATTACATAAAGCAACGCTTCATTTTGACTTATTAAAGTTATTTAGTTTTTATTTTAAGTGACTGAGTAAGTTTATTCTTTATATATTTATATATATTTCTGTCTACTTCGGAAAATCAAACGTTAAGTTGTCCGAGTTGTCTACTTAGGTACATGTACTCGGGCCACTTGATGGTGAGCGAGGCATCACAAGCTGCCAGGGAAGAAAACGTCCTGAAGGTTGATAGTCATACCACCTTAATCACGTTCCTATGCACCGCAAATGAAGCACACACTACGTTTCGAGTGTCCTGGCTTTCCATGTAAAGAAGGAGAGCTACTATTTTTGAAGAGGAACAACCTCAATCAAGGTAGAGGTTGATGCTAAGATCCGTAGCTTGATTTATCAACGAGGAGATCGCTCAATCATTCTAAGAGTGACTGGAGTATTAAGAGGCTGAGATTGATGATGTGGGTGAATCTATTCGGCAAACTGCCTAAGATTTCCCTGGCGACTTCTATCTTAAGACTTCCTACGAAGAGCCAGAAGTTAATAAATCTTCATAAAAACGCAGGCACAGAATCTAATTCCTACTTGAGCAAGTAACACCTTTGTTTACACTTACACCAGGACTACCTGTTTTGGAGTCTATCTTAGTTCGATCTTAATTAGTATTGCTGTCTAATACAACGATTACAAATTTGTATACGAGTAACAGAGAGTAGCCTGATGCGCCTGACTTTCCACCGTATAAAACGTGCTCTCACTTAGTAAATCTGACTACTTGGAGAATGCTGAAGCTACTATTTTCACGAGCACCGTTTGTATTCATTCCACCTTTTCGTCTTCATCCTTTTCTTGGTATCTTTAAAGGTATTATATCGTCGTTTTTCGTCCCACCGTTTATTCAGATTCGTCTGCATATCCCTGACGCTTACCAAGTACGTCTGCGTTGACGGGAGATCTGAGAAAGTCGACAGGGAGGGATCATGGGAAATGATTGGATGTGCTGAAGATTTCTACTATGTATAATACGTCACATCATGATCATGAGCATGTTGTAGTTGATAATACTAGAGATCTAGAACTTCAACTTGTACTTGATGGGATATACTAATCGAGCAGAGCGGTCAACAAGAATTATATGCTGTAATGAACACAAAACCTCACTGAATTTGTTCCCGTGTTAGCTCGTCCAGAAGTTTGACCACAACGATTGCTGTTGTTGTTGGTTGCGACAGCTGCACTCGTGTTACCTCCTTGACTTTGGCTTCCGTGTTGATGATATTAGAAAGGGAAGGTAAAAAGATGTAAAGATGCATCCGAAGTGAACAAATCATACAAGACTGTAAACCTAGATGCTTCATCTTCCGCCTTGTTGTTACCTCCTTCCATATCCCTTACTTACATTTCGGGTCAGGGAAGCTGAAGCATTCTGCAAGCTGCACAACAAGTATAATAATCGTAACCTTGCTGACTGTGACTGGTCTCAATCTGTTGCTCTGCAATCAGTTGGAGCACCAGAGCATCCGTCGGCTTGCAGAAGTAACCGGAATCCCCTTCCAGTCAAGATTAGAAGAAGACGCAGAGGTATAGGGACTGTTGATGGCATCTAGTTGTAATCTTCACTGGACTCCCCTTCCAGCCAAGATTTTTAGGGTCTTGATTGGAGATTTCGTCTTCTTCTAATCTTCACAACAAGCAAGACAAGCCGTCCCATAACTGACGACGTTGACAACGTCACCAAGAAGGGGCGACGTGACCAAAGTGAGCAACTTCATATCGCCTACAGCCGTTTCACATAGCCGTTTTTGAAAGTGCGCTTTGAACTTATTCTTCAGCGTCGACAGGTTGAAACCGTTCGGGTATTTTCTGAAGAAGAGGTAGAAGTCGAGGTAGGATGGGAAAAACTAACAAGAGGGTTGGAGTTCATCTTTCAGTTTGAGAAATCACGAAACTATACTACATGTAAGTACTAGTACCGGAACAAGCCCGCAAAAATCTGCTTTAGCTCATCCGTAGTCTTCACATGGTCTCGCCGGTCATTCGGAACGCCGCGACGAGCTGTCAAAATTGATTCAGATTTTTTAGGAGGATGAAAGAGTTGTAGCATGACAATACAATTTATTTTATTATAGGAATGGAAGCAAACGCATTTCTACTTGACACATCACAAGGAGAGCAGAAGAGCAACTACAGATGCGGATGACTATAACAACTAGAGCTCAGCTAGAGCTAAAGAAGTAGATGATGGCGATGATTGTGCCTAGTCTAGAGGTGTACAGTAGTCTACTAGTCTACTTAGTAGTGTAGTGTAGTGTAGTGTAGTCTACTTAGTAGTGTAGTGTAGTCTACTTAGTAGTGTAGTGTAGAGTTATGCAACTTCCTTTCTATCCTTTGCACTTCTTCGTGTGCTTTAGAGAAGCCAACAAAGTACCACTGGCAGGAATCAAGAGGCCATCTTCAGCGTAGCGGAGCAGCCCCTTTTTGATACCCAGCTCCACTATGTGGATAATCTCTCCCAAGGCATATCCTTCAAAAAATGGCAACTGACGCTCATACCTGAAAGGGATGACGATGCGATAAGATGATGGGTGACAGAAAATTCTTAGCAATGATAACGCCCTGTAGAAGTGCGTGGGGGCAAAATATACAGCATAGCAGTTCTCGACCAAGGTCTTGCTTTTACTTTAGTATTACGCTTCTATGGCAGTCTCTTACTAGTATGCCAAGCTCATCTCAGCAAGCAAGAAAGTCACCCAAGTGTTCTAAAAAAAGATTACAGCGCTTTAGCCGTGCCGTAGCGTCCTCGCTGGAAAGTGAATACGAGCGGGCTCGTGTTGTTGCTCGGGGATTCGGTTTTTAGGCCATCCAGATACTTGCCAAAGTCTTCCCACATGGCCACTGGATACCGGTCCACTCCGTCGCACGGATTGATCCACCCTTTAAACCCTGAGATGTCAAAGCGCTTTTCCTTTTGTTGCAATTTATCACGAACAAAATTTGGAAGAGAAGCGTTTTGGAGTTTGTCTACTCGAAAACGAATCTAGATAGAAAATGGCCTTCGACTGTATTGAGCAAGCTCGAGGGCGATGTCGTCTTAAGGACTTCTAGATTGAAGTAGTACTAGGTAGTACCTGGAAAGCCCCTCTTGAGGAGGATGCTCGTTCTGCCGCTTTCGTCGGTTGTGACGACATAGGCTGGCTGCATTTTGTAGAAGTCGAGGGAGACTGCCAGGATGTGTAGGCCCAGGCCCAAGTCTTTCAGTCGCGCAAAGACCATTTGGGCTTCAGGAATAGCATGAAGAAAGGACAACATTACATAGCAGTTCGTTCGGGAAGTAGATAAAAGTTAAGTGGTTTATGACGAAGTAATATATGACTATAATGGTAGTGGTCTTATTCACCCAGAGTAATTTATAAGGTTTGCCCGCTCGCATGGCATGGAGTGCATGGATCGCATGGAGCTGCATGGAGCTAAGGGGGGCGCTTCTTGCGTCCCTTATGGCTCTGCGCTCCATGCTACTCCATGCGTGCTATAAACTGCTCTGTTATCCAAAACCGTCGTCCCATCCCTGGAGTGCAGGAGGTGCTACTACGTCGAGTGCTGTCAAGAAGTAGACGCATGCTCAAGCATGTAGTAGCGCTTCTTCTTCTTCGTACAGAAAGGTTTGGAGTAACACCAATCAAATTTTATGCATCAAACAACCACTACCATAAAAGACCATATCCGTGTAAAAAGACTCGATGCATTGCTGCATCAAGTTGATCTCGTGTCGGTTGGCGTCAGCGTTTACGCATTAGAAGCTGAAGCTTTCATATATATTCATATATAGGCACTTTTAGACTTAGAGTTACAGCGTCGTTCTTCACCAGGCCGCCCGTACTCCTGCGAATATGTTCACATACTTAGCAGGACAAGATATCGCTCTAAAGAGTCGCGACCTTCAAAGTATCGCGCTGTCATCTGAAGATGCATGACGTCAGAGCTCCACCTATCATAATCATTATCAGCTTATATAGTAATATATTTTCATAGGCGGGTATTCTTATCCAGCATGTATTTGCAGTATGTCCATACTGTCAAGCCGTAAACGACGAAGTCGCCGCGCCGGATTCCCACAAGACGAATGCCTCTCATTTTGTCTCGCTTTATTTGTTCCCCTTTACTCCCTATGCCTTCTTCTCGTGCTGCGGTGATCTTCGAGAAGTGCTGTTGCGGTTTGTTCAATGATGATGCGCCGTTGTACTAGTTGAAGTTGTACTTGTACTACTAAATGCTTTAGTTTGTATGTTGCTGCGAGACGTTGAACCGATGCTCTTGCTCAGAAACGGTGATCTTCGGAGTGTCCTTCGTTTCCTTTAGAAGATCTTCGAGTAGACGGTGACTTCTCAAAACTTGGTGAATGGTACTGTTGTACTCACTTGTGCGTAGCACAACCAAATAGTGAAAATATTATTATTGTTATTATTAGGAGAAGGATAGACGGTTATCCACAGACCTACAGACGGCCCGGTGGGCGGAATCTGAAGCACAGCGACGCGCTAGGCAAATGCAGGAGAGTCCTAACAAGAGGCGCCGCGGTCCGGGTGCGTTTGCCGGTGCCGTCATGGTAAGTAAGAAGAAGCCTGAGACCTCGAACCAACACCGAAAAAGGGTAAGCAGGTGCAGCGGTGAAGACAGCAGGGAAGCATCGTCGGGGGCATTTAGTCGGAAGCCGGCGCGCCGCGCCAAGGCAGCCCCAAAGCGCCGGACCTCCCCGCGGCGAGCCGCGTCGTAGTATGGAGCGAGAGCTCAACGACAGCAGCAGGCCAGCACTTACCAGGTGCGCGGGAAGGAAGCGGCGGCACTCCTGCACAGTGCCGCCGCTCGCTCGTATTGTTTCCGAAAAGCCAATGCATCACTGACCACAACCCACAGTCCCGAAGAAATAGCAGAGAGGTAAAACCGCCAAAAAGAAGAGCCAAAGCAGCGAAGGCAAGGCGCCAGCGGAGCACCACCAAAGGGCCGGAAAACCTAGACGCCACCAGGACCCGACCGTCCCCGAAGAGGTCGTCGCTGGACGAGACCGCCACGCCTGCCCCGCGGGAGCCCCTTGCCAAGGCGTTGCTCCAGTGGAGACCCTCCCGGTTAGGGAGGGGGGGAAGGGCATCGCCTCGCAGTCCTCCGACAGGAGCGAGTTCCCTGCGAAGGAAAGCGGCGCCAGACAGCTCGCAACCATACCGTTCCACCAGTAAGCGTAGAGGAGGTAGCCATGCCCCGACCCGTCAAGGGCATCGGAGTGCGCAGGTCATCTTTCGATGTTTCGCGCGGTAGTGTTGTCCCTATGGGACCCCGGTGACCAGCCGGGAAATAGTGAAAATATGACGAACAGAGTTTATCTTGATAATCATCAAGTTATTATTAGGATTAATATTTTGGATCCAGCAAAGAATAACTGATAAGATAATTATCTGAAAGACCCAAAATAAGGAAGAGTATCGTTTATATCTCTTCTAATACTGGTGATCCAAAACCGTTTGTTCTACAATTTACTGCCAGCCTATGTAGTACTATCAATAATTGATATTTATTCAGTTAGAAGTCAAGTGTGATCTAGAATACAATTCGTATTTGAAGACAAGCCGTGGTATTCTTTCTCCTTTTTCCTAGTATGCGTGTTTTTTGGGTTGTTCGAGTTGAACTAGATGCTGGTTGGAAGTCGATTGGGTCGTTGAAGTTTCTGATTTTACAATACACACTTATGGTTATCAACGCGTAATTAGTTGTATTAGGGCTACGTCATGAGGGCTATTAAGACTAAAAAGACACTGGAGCGGAACTATCCAGCACTAAGTAAGCTACTAAGTAACGCTCGAGGGTAACAGAGTACAAGTAGAGAGAAAAAGCTTCCAACGCGCACCATCACCTTGACTACCGACTTTGATCATCAGTCACCGGGCGAGTGCCGCCACAGTACATGGATCATGGAGCAGCGATAAATCTGCGAAACGCATCCTCTAATGATCAAAGAACGAGAACAAGGTAGACCAGAGCAGAGACATGTCAAAGATGACATTACGTCTGGGCACCATGAGCATGAAGATCCATTTGCAATAGCACACAGCGCGAAGACCCTGAGCAGGATAGAGAACAGCCATGCGAGGGCTCCTCAAAGAAATATGCGCCGTAGCATGGAGCTTCGGGCTCAACCTCATCCACCTTATCCAGCTAGCCAGGTCGTGGTGCTCCTGTTACTCATCAGACAAAAAAGGGAGGTCCCTGTTCCTTCTGTGTCATCTGCTGATGGGACGTCGTCCAACATTGATAGAAAATAAGCCACAAGGAAGCATCTTCAACATTTATTTTTTGCAAACCTCCGCCACCAAAGCAAGCTGTTCAAAATTTGCAACTTGAGCAAGTTCGTGGAAGAGCTGAACGTGTGACACGACACATTCCAGTGCCTCCATCTTCTTGAATGATTCTGCTCCTACGACATCTGACTTCGTCTTCGTCAAGAAACAGCAACAAGGATATTAAGCGAACGGAGCTAGTCGTGTCACACTGTGCCGGCTGTCATCGTCTAGTAGCCGTGACTTTTCTTCTGCTTTGATGACCATGTCGCTGCGTCTCTTGGACCTGGACTTCAACAGCAGAACCAATCCTTGGGCAACCGCTCTTTCCTCCAGTTCCGATGCACATCAACAAGACGACCCAATCCTGTCGGCGAAGACGCAGCGACATGGTCACGACCATGTCGCTGCAGCTTCTTCGCCGCCACACGATCCACGTAACGAAATATTAGCGTGGAGATTCAGCAGCTGAAGGATAATATTTACAAGTAGTCACTCCAATCCAGCTCGTTCGCTTCGGTCGCATCACGGCGAATCTTCCTCGTTCCATTTGCTCCCAGCCAAAATCTTGCGCCTCCCTACACCCTAAACCCTAACCCTGAACCATCATCTTCCTCTTCTTTCTCAGCCATCTCCAGTAATTTCGAAGTGGTCATTTCCAGTTCCTTCAACAATCGTTTCTCAAATTCTAGGGTTTCCTCTTGTTCCCGCGTGATTGCTCGTATCCTTTCTCTTTCGGCCTCGTCTTCCTGGTTTTGCAGCATTCTTGGTCCGATTGCATAGTACAATGCAGCCGCTACAAGTCCGCCTTTGTAGAAGTAAGTGAGCAAATTCCTGTTTTGGTAAAGGCGATGTTTCAGGAAAGCGATTAACTCTGAAAGCCAGGTTCGGAGAGGAGGACCTTGAGGACCTTCTTGACCTTCAAGTTGTTCAACTATTTTTATGTGCTCTTGTGCTGCTTGAAGACTTCTTTGTTGTGAAGATGTTACGGTTTTTACCTTCTGTCGTGGATGTCGCACAACGTCGAGTGGAAGCTGTTGTGCAGAATCTTTATCTGCTTCTCGTGCTTCGTCCTGGTCTTCAACAGAAGCAGAAGATGCAGGTCCCGCTAGTTCTATTTTCAATTTTTCAAGAACCTCTTGAGCTCCTAATCTCGAGTATTTATTTTGCAGTCTCCTACTGCCACCTGCAGCACCCTTGCCACTACCTTCACCTTGCCCACCTTCTATGCCCAAGAGCGAACGAACCAGTTGCGAAAGTCTGGCGAGTCGAAAAGGATTTTGCGGTGAATCAGGCGCATAGTTCGCTATGCTTCTCCGGCTTTGATATTTTTGTAGTCTGGACGAAAGCAGATGAGCGCTTCGGCTGCCCAGCTTCACCAGCAAGGCGGACGGGTTTTTGATCATCATACTTTATTTTTTTAAGGCACTAGTTGTAGTTACTTCATATAGGAATAATCATAGAATGTTCACCGTCGAGAAACTCAGAACTTCTCTCACGCTTTGTGACTTGTCCTTGCTCGTGCTTGTTGCTTTATTACTCAATTACTCAGCCGCGGTCTTCCAGCGCTCTTGTCCACCCACTGTGAAGTCCGATCTACTTCTCGTCTGATTCGTTCCCTTGATCAGTAGATTGCTGTGACTACAACTCCGAACACTACTTGAAGACGTTTGGTAAAAACCGATTAATTATGCAAGAACTGGTTGTTATAATTTAGGGTTGATTTTTTTTTGATTTAATTATGCAAGAACTGGTTGTTTTAATTGCGCGTCTTTTTTTTGATTTGACCGCAAAGACCCATTTCGTTTTCTCGACATATATACTGTTACAAATGGAAAGAAACACCTTATTTTTACAAACTCAAGCTCAATATTGTTATTATTATTATGTTCGCGCGGGGCCCTACCGCCTCGCACCACGTGTCGCGCTCGCGAGCGCCCTTGCCATCTGTCACTAAGGGCGTTGATGTGAGGGCACTAGGGACCTTCCTGACGGTCTGGTGGTTGCTTTGGGTTTAATGGGAGCTCATCAAGCTCAAACCAAAAAGACTTATTTTGACTATGTTGAAGAATAAGACAATGTCAATGTTAGATCATCTTCATATGTTCAGACCTCCTGTCAACGATACAAGAATGAGCGCGCAGTTGGGATGAACATGAAGTAAGATGAAGGGCGGCTACAACAATGGATTCCTACTTGTTGGGACGGATGATATGGTGGAGTTAAAAGGAGCTACAACTGGTCTTCAAAATATTTTTATGTTAATCTTGCCTGTGTTGTTGTTCAAAAATTCAGTCATCCTTGATGCTACTGGAACTGGTACTTGTTGTCCTAAGACTGAGTTTAGGGCCTAGAGAGAGAGAGAAGCCCACTGCCCACATCAACTACTAAAGGATAAGATTGAAGATGAGACGGAAATCGTATTAGCTCAACACGCACCTGAAACATCATACATAGTACTTAATTTCTTTTACGGGCACTTCTTGCTCGTTCATCATCGCATCATACACTTCTTTTATACAGGTGGTAACAACATATTTATATTGCGACAATGAATCAGGAGCAGGACGACAGGCGGACAGCTTGGAGATAGCGCGTTTCTCCCTTGTTCTTTAAGCTTGTGCTAGATCTTCATCTTATCGACAACATCAAGATAAGCTTGTTCTCTATTTAATCGTCTGAAAAATCACGAATCCAAAGATGAATTTACAAGAAAAAAACACAAAAGTTGTCGATACAACTGTCGACAAGGTTCTTCAATGTTTATAGTCTATGACTATCATGGTATGTAGTTGTTCTTCTTCATCTGGTATCACAATCACAGCAAGGTTGTTCACAAGAAAAAGAACATTACGTGTTGTAGTAGAAGGAGATCCACAAAAATCAGGTGCATTGTAGATCTAGATGTAGCTGAGTCTGGAGAAGCTTCAGGTCTGACAGGAGCACGACGAGAGGAGCTTTGTGTTGTGAATTTGAGCTACTTCTATTTGACTTATACATAGTACCTGATAAACAAGACGAGCTAAGTACTTAATCAACAACAGGAGATCTGAGGAAATACGGGCACTACATAACGTGTCAAGTCGACAACTAGCAGTAGCAGCTCAACTAGATATTAATAAAACTAGGTCATCTCTTCAAAATCACTTCATTCAGAAGGTTTTGTCCGGCTTCGGGATATTCCAGATGATTCCAAACAAACACTGAGATTAAGGTTGGTAGGAATATGCGTATAATTCTGTTTTCGGTCTTCTTATCGATGTTTTCGATACTTCGAAATTTCAATACTGACTTGGCATGGTGTGACTATCGAATTTATGCTGGCATTGGGTTGTGCTTGTTCTTCTATCACAAAAATGGCGCTCTTGTTTTATCCGGCTTCGGGATATTCCAGATGAACAACAAAATGGCTGTTAATTTCGATAGTCCTAAGTAAAAGTATCATTAAATAAGCTGCACGTAGTTCATGTTCATCTATGATCTAGATAGAAGAAGTTGATTTTACAATCCAGAAAAAAGAGCGCCCGCGATGCGTCCATTAAACATTATCTTACCATAATAGGAATTACACTTTGATGTCTTTGGACGACATCGCCGGGCACAAAAGTTGCCATCTCTTCCTAGGACCGACTATTGATTAATGTCTGTGTACTTAAACATAAACCTTAGAAGCGTTGCCGAGATTGAGACGAGATAAAACATCAATAGTTAACAATAACAAGTAGTTTCTGCTTTGCTTTCTTTTTTGCGTAATCGTAGTGCGTAATCGTAGTTGTCAACATTGGTAATGGTTCTTAGATTAGTACAAAACCTTCTAGAAAGGCAGCAGGAACTGCTCAGGCAAAGACCCATTATCGCGAATTTGCGCCTACGCCTCTAGCCCTGCAGGTTGTATGATATGACCATGATTCGGAAGATTGGGGATACCAAAACCAATCTATAATAACTATGATGTGGAGGAGAGCCAGGAAAGCTTTGCTCGCGTAGGAGTAGATACACTCTGAATCTTTCGAAATGAACCTATATTGTCTTTATGTGTGTTTTCATCAAGAGAGGATGAAGAAAGTAGATCATCCTATTAGTACTAAGCATTAAAGTCACCAAGAGAAACATTCACGAGCTGGCCAGCGTTGCCATTGATGAATGATGTGGGCTAGAGTTAGTTTTATCAGTATCTTGGACCAAGTGGTATTAGTGCCTTGGTGTTGGTATTAGTTTATGAAGAACTGGGGTTGCCTTCCCTACTACTAGTACTATTACTAAGTAGCATGATTATGAAAGCAGTGACATCACATAATTCACATCCTTCCTGATCTTTGCCTATATATATTAAAATAGATCTTCTTATCCTCGACAGCAGAGCATACGCCGTCTTGTTTTTTGTCCGTTATTCGGGTGCACCAATTGTGCTTGCTTCGTTGCGTCACGATCCTCTGCGCCTGCTCCTCGGTTTAGAGAAGGACTTCTACACGAGAGAGAGAGAGAGAGAGAGTGTCCTCTTCAGTGATCTTAGTTTCTACTTATAACTCAAATTGTTTGACTTTGAATGATGTCGCCTTAAAAGTTGTGCTTGGTTCTCATCTATCGGTTCGGTAAACCGCAAATTGGTCGTGAGCGGTTGGCTATCGTGCTCCCTCACTAGCATTGAGCTTTCCATTTTCCCGCCATGCGCGCCGCTAAGACCATGCTTATTGAACTTCATCCGACTGTCGAAGCTGATGAGGGCGAGATCGATTGATACCGTATAATAGATGACTAGAATACTTATATTCTAACAACTGGATCAATTATTATTAAATCCTCTAAGGCAGACGATTTTGAATTTCAGTTTCACACGGTAGAAATACCCGCTAATTTTTTCCCAGTCAAAAGCGTTTGGGTCTTCACCCTCCTCCAACGGACACCAAGTGCTATCCGCGCTTGCTATATCCCTGAAAAGCCGTCGCAGCGCAGCATAGTCCGGTCGATCCTCGAACTGTATTTTTTTTTGGTAATCGTTCATCATGACGTTCATCATCTTAATTCAAACGTCAGCACGCGATAGAAAAAAAGACATCGAAGCACTTTTAGTACAAGTACCTTTAACTTCCTGCAATAGCTCAAATAGCTAGCGAACTGTGGCGGACAGTTTCTGCAGAGGTGTTCTACGCCTACGCTCTTCTTTTTGTCTCGTATCCTTGCATATTTCTCCTGCTTGCTTTGCATTTTGATGCCTGGTGGTTGGTAAAATATCATTTCGACGTAGGAGTAGTGTAGAGGGAATATTTGTGGTGTTCTTAGGATACAACTAGGAAACGAAAGAGATCGATGCTGGGATATTCAGCCACGAACACGTAGTAGAAGTCCTCGTTTCACTTGCACAAACAGAAAATAAAAATATACCTTGCCATGGCAGCTGTCCGAGATAGAGATAGACGAGAACGTACGCTATCGCCTCTAAGTCGTCTCTTCTACTCTGCTCGCATCCAGTATGTGCATTGATGGAGGCGTACCTAAAAAATTTCGTACTCGTAGAAGTATGATCCCCATCAATTCAATGGGGGAGGTGGACGGTGTCACTGTCAGCCTATAGAAGTGATGACGATGATCCAGATCCGATCTGTGGATATAGCTTATCGTCTACTCAGATCGGATCTGGATCATCGTCATCACTTCTATTGAGTGCCTACTAGTCTACTCACACCCAAGCAAGGCTGGACGCGCCGCCCTATGAAGCAGACGGGGGCTACTCGCTCTCACCCCCGAAGTAGATTCATTGGCCACGCATCCGAAGAAAAAAGGGAGAGAAGCAGAAAGACCGCCACCGACTAGAAGGAGCCCGTTATTGGCCTTACTCTAAATACGGTATAGAAGTGATGATGATGATCCAGATCCGAATGACGGTGTCACTGTCAGCCTATAGAAGTGATGATGATGATCTAGATCCGAATGACAAGTCGGATCATGGTAAACGTGATGAATCTAATCTGTGGATACCTTATGATAAGTACCTAGCCGTCCCCGTCAAATTTTTCCCTTCTCTAAACGCTATGTGCTGATGCGTTTTCGGGTCTCGGTACTTCTTCGCTAGTCCGTAATCTATCATGTAGATGACGCTTTTCCGCTTTCTCCCGATCAAAAAGTTGTCCGGCTTTATATCTCGATGCACGAAATTTCGGGAATGCAAATACTCCACCCTTGAGATGAGCTGTTCTGCTATCAAACAGACTGTTCGAAGGGAAAATTTTCGATTGCAGAAATTGAATAGGTCCTCTATCGAAGGTCCCAGCAAATCCATGACCATGACATTGCGTTCTGCGTCGCATTCGCTGTAGATCACTTGTGCGATGCCGGGACCTGGTACGTATCTTCACTTCCTCGTGGGGGAGCGAATCAATAGGGACGATGAAGAAGCTCTTCAGATTGGAAGCAGTTGGCCTTAGCTTGGACTACAGATATCAAATTATATTAAGGGGGCCTCCCTCCCTGGTACATATATATTTATAAGTTCTTTCGGCTTCGACATGCAATAACTTCTAGCACAACATCATTTACATCTAGTACTGAAAGTAGTAGTTAGTAAGTAGTACAAGTAGTACCTCCCTGCAGATGTTTCAGCAATTTCGCCTCATACATCAACTGCGGATGTTTGCAATCTGACGGTTCTATCTTGACAGCGTATTCTTCTTGGGTCAGTGTGTGCACACACCAATAGATCTCCCCAAATGACCCACTGCCAAGTTTCTTGCACAAGTTAGATGAGATTGGTTAATAAAGCGATAAGTAGGTGCATTCCACTGTTCTTCAGAACACCCCCCCGTAGTGATCATTGAAGTTTTGTACTTGGAAGTATTAGCGTGGTGGAGCACCAGACCTAACTAGAAAAAAGAAAGACCAGACGAAGATAGAAAAGAGAAAAGGGTAGTTATCAACTAGTACTTACACTTGGAAGTATAAGCCAAAAACATCATTCTAATTTACTGCTTGTACTAGTACAATTCTAATTTACTGCTGTTGACTCGTTGCCTTAACTAATGCAAAGACGCCACCGATGATGTTCCGGTCTCCCGCACTGTCACTACAGGCGGCAGTGGTGCTGATTTCGCTTGTCATGCTGTTAGGAAGCTGCATCTTGTTGTTGGACATGGTACGACCTGGCGTCCAGAAGAAGCGGCTAGCACAAGGTGAATGTTGTCTCTAGTAAGGTTTGTCGAGGTTGAGTAGGATTGTGTTCTTGGGAGGATTGTCTTCAGAAGTAGGCGTGGCGCTTCTTGAAGATGTAGTCGAAGAGGATGTTGAGTTTGACGTTGAGCACCACCTCCTAATAGTCGTGCTACTCCTCGACCTAAAATAAGTCCTGAAAGAGTTTCAACGCTTGATGATGTCGTGCCACTCCTCGACCTAAAATACGTCCTGAAGGAGTTTCAATGCTTGACGATGATGATGAACTTGCTGTGTGCGAGCTGAAGACGATAATCTATGACAAACCTAGTCGCAACTACAACATCGCAGCAATTGCAGAGAGGTTTGAATCGTCTTCGGGGTTACGCTCACCCTCACCACTTCTGAAGAAGTATTTTTTCAGGTGGTTCCTTGTTAGGCGCATGCACTCCGACTCCCGCTGGATGAGAGGTCAAGGATGCTAGTGCCGGAGTGATGCGGGCGGCCGCGCCCATACTTGTGTGGAATATGAAGAATATCAAGAAGAAATAGCAGAAATGGATTTCTTTGAGCTAGCTGCGATAGGCCTAGGTGTTGAGGTCGTTGTGACAGCATCATATTAATGTGAAGTACTAGAATATGAGGACTTATTGAAAGAATATGGAAGATGGGGGAAAGAAGTATCGGTCACCAGGTATCCTTGTTATCGTAGCATGACCCTTTGAACCTAGGAAGCACAGGCTGAGCTTCGGATTTTTCCAATTTTGGCTCCGGTGTTTGACGACTAAAAAAAAGTACTTATCTGCTTTTGCTTTTCTCTCACGCGGTTTTCGCCTTCAGACGGACGCGATTTATTAAGTGGTAATTTGGCTTGGTTTATTGATATTCTTGTCTCTCTTAGTACCTGCTCACGACCGAGTTGTAACAGAAGCTCAGCTGCTTCTTGCATTAGTTACTAATGCTAAAGGTAAAGCGAAGTATCCTTGAGACAGATTCTCTTTGCACGCAAGTGGAACACTGTAACTATCGTGAAAGAAAATGAAAAGGATGGAGAGCAGTGTGTTATTCGACTCCAGGAGTTGTCAAATGTTGCATATCAAAGGCATGATGTTTACAACTCAGATATGATATTTGTACAAAATCGTCTGGTGCTCCTGCTGCTGCCTCGTTCTGTTCATTCGAGACTCGCGCGGACTGTGCATAAATACATGTTTTTTTGATAATCTTCTGGCTCTTTGGTTAATTTAGGGTCCTGCACTGTTTTCAAAAACTCAACTTCTACTTGCAAACTGTGCATGCCCGTGTTGCAGGCTTACTGCAGGGCTCCGTCGCATTGTCGTTGCAGGTACACTTTTCTTCGCTATCACTGTTTGAGGAGTCCATCACCGCCCTCCCAGACCATTCACTGGCGCAACTATGTACTGTACAACTCTCACTCTGGTGCCCTAGCAATACTCTTAGTTGTTGTGCTTCGACAAGATCAATATCTTTTATTCAGATCATTCAGAATTTCATCAATATTTTGTATAGCATGAAGAAGATGTTTATTGTCTAATAGAATGGAGGTCAACAGTATGTACGGAATAACTATCCTGCTGTTCATGCATAAATTTTTGTTTGAATGAATCTCATAATGCGACGAATGTGGATACCACTAAATGATTTCGAAACAGCACTACAAGTACAACTTGATGGAAGATTTCATGTAATAGATAGAAGTTAGTAAGTTCTGCAGAAAATATCATTCTTAATTCGAGTTCTTAGGATACGGATCATACGTGATTTGTCTTACTCGCAATAATATGCACTATTCTAATTTTCATCTAGTTCTAATTTTTACACGATTACGCAAACACAGCTGGTTTAGATGAGAGCTCTCTTTTTATTATAATATTAAGGGATCATCAAGCATATTCATAGTAATTCTTACAACGGATGATTTCTCATGATCATGTATAAGTGTGGGTGTTCTTCTTCCAGGAACATGATGTGTTCACTTCTCACCAGGGTTACCAGTGAATAACTTGAAAGTTCGGAAAAACTATTAAATGTTATCATGATGTGTGTGTACCTGTAGCCTAAGTGCGTCTATCGTCACTACTTGCTGAACTATAGCTGTACAAGTGAGTCTAATTGGGTCAAAATTTTTAGAAGTGGAAGTCACTCTTCGTTGATTTCAGAGGAAGGCCAAGTTAGAGTAAGTATTTCATCACTTCTGAATTTCATCCTTACTCCTCCTCTTCCTCCTCATCGTCGTCATCGCTAGCCGCAGCTTCCCAGTGCAATTGGGACCACAAGGAGTCACTACCTGGTTGGAAGTAGGGACTCTCACTCGGTGGTGGAGGTTCGAAAGGAGCTTTCTTATGGCCGAAACTGGTTAGTTCCGCTTCATACTCTCCACTGTCTCGAAACGCGATACATGGCGTCAAGCGGTTGCCCTCATCAGCCCAGTCGAAGGCAAGGACGAACTGGGTGCATTCCCAGTCAGTGGAGAGAGAGGGGTGGTCGTATCTGGTTGTTTTTTTCGGAATCAGTTTGGGATCGAAATCGATCTCGATCAAGTTAGGATTGAATCTTTCTGGACGAAGAAATCGATTTTAATCTTGCGTCTATTACTATTTACACTTGTCTTCGATATCGATTGTAATACCAGAAGTACCATCTTCAAGCTAGACAACAACACCATCCGCATCCCAAAGTATACTACAATATTTTTTTCTGCTACTTCTTGAGCTTGATGTAGTGTACTTCTTGTACGACCAAAAACCAAGGCCAAAAAACTCATGATAAAGTACTTTCTAAAAAACGCCAGGTGTCCGTCTTTGATGTACATGCCCATTTTGCCTTGAAATTTCGTGTTTTTCCTGGACAATGGCTGTATATAGCTGCCTTCCACCTTCCTGGGGTGTTCCTGCACCTTCGTTTCCTTGATCACAGCGCCAGTGTCCGGACTAAACGTGACACTGCTCTTGCCACCTTGGTCGAAGTCCACGATGGCGAGTGAAAGATTGTCAGCGTTGGCTGTTACCTGAAGGTGGGCAATTATTGCTTGTGTGATACATATTAGTCGTGATTTTCGTAAATCGCTGTCCAGTGTTGCGATATCCTGTGCTGATGTCTGCTCCGATGTACAGCGAACTCATATGAGTCCTAAAACAACTTACTTAAAAAAATAGTCCAAACTAAATACTAATCATAAAGTACCTCAATCTCCACGTACAACTGCATAGTTCCGACCTCCCCCTTTTGCAGTGTTGCTTTCGTATACGCCACTTCATCTTCCTGACGGACAGACTTGATACCACGAAGGTTTTGGGTAAACAAAAAGCTTCCAAACCGAACAGCACCACGATCTTCACGACCTCTCGTGTGTCTCACGTTCATTTTTAGAGCCTAAGACTTCCCGGATGAGTTCACCCCGCTATTCTAGCTTGTTGTTGGATTGTCAGTTGTTGCTGTTGTTGTTTCCCGACTGAAGATCCTGCTGCTCCTGATGGAGAACGACGAAGGTCGTCAGGCTTTTACGACCTTATAATATTCATGAGAACAAGAATGCAGGGGAACAAAAGGGTACCGAGATGCCGAGAAAGATGGACCACACTAAGTGTTGTGCTTAACATTTCGTCCTTGGGTAGTTGACTGGCCAACGGAGAGTCAATGTCTTCATCCATGTAGTCGCCTCGGCGCGAGGTTTCCCTATCCTCGTTTGTAGAAGTCTCCTTTCCGTTGTTTGTGGAGGTAGTGCCGCTGAAGGATTAGAGGAAGTGGGTCCTTGTTTCGAAGCACCAGGCATGTTAGTTGATCGAGAAAATAAAGGTGCTTGTTCTTCAGAATCAGATCTATCTCTAGTAGAGTGGCACACGACTCGCACTGTCTTCTAGAAGAGTAGCACTAGATTCGAACTTGAACTTCTAGATCATCATGATATCTGCAAGCTAGTAAGTTTGCGTCTGCGAATCACTTCAATTCCTCCTTCTATTTGTCTCTAATTCAACAAACGAACACTAGCACATACACACTTTCCTCCAGTGTCATAAGTGTTCCGCCCAATTTCACCTGCTTCTCCATCTTTGTTCTTCTTGTCCTTATCTTCTGCGTGCACAGTCATGAAATTGGATTCCTCACTCAAGGACGACAGAGAGTCGCGGTTTGAAGGCGTACTATTCTGAGGCAATCGAAATTCACAGATGCGCTTCGCAAATCGGGCAAACCGTCCCTTGTACTGTGAAGGACTCTTCACTTTTTGGCTAACAAACGCTTCGCCGTCGGTTAGTTGGTTGCGACCTTGAGGTGTAGTCTCTTGGGGTGGATGTGAATCTATGGTGTACTAGATTGTCGGCACGAGTAGTTAGGAAGTGTTCTGTAGCCTAGTGCTAGTAGTAGAGCAGGTGATAATCAAGGAACCATCATCAGCTTGTTGATGTCTACATCAACATAGTAGTGAAAATAAAGTAGGGCCTTAGACAAAGAGAACAGTGACAACATGTTGTACCAGCCAATTCGATCCCATGAAATCTACGTGCGCCAGCTCGCTTCCAAACATCCAGTTCTCGGTTCAAGTTGCGAAACTGCTTCGACGTCGCGTCCAATGTGGCGATCATTTTTGGTTCTGTCAGGAAACCGCGAGTGACCAAAATCGTATGCAATGTCTGCCAGAATGATGCTCGCGCTTCCTCTGCTTCCAGTGAGGAACTAGATGTGCTAGAGTTAGACATGAGGGAGGGGGAGCCTTCTATAAAAACAAATCCATCTTGAATGAAGCGCATCCATCATCCTGGAACCTTCTTTCCCTACTTTCAAAGAAAAGAAACAGTTCAGCGTGATGCCGAACAAGATGGACATGGACCTGTGAAGCCTTAATAGAAGTTGTCACTTCTTTCTTTCTCGATTTCATGACGGTAGAAGAGGAAGCGCTACTAGAGGAAGAGGCTGAAGAAGCGGCTGCTGGAACAAGTAATTTGCTGCTGCCTCCAGACGGAAGAGGGACTGGGATTCCACCTTGGAGGTGTTGGTCACAAGAAATCGACATATCCGCAACATCGATACTAGTATTGCAACTGCTCAACATGCTTACATCTCCGTCAACATGGTGGACTAGGTTGACCACCTCTCCCTCGTCGTTGACGTGAATACTGACCTTACTTGTGCGAGTGGCTTTCTTCATCGCTCTAGTAGAAGAAGTAGCGTTATTTTTACTTGTTTTTGGTGGTTGTAACCCTTTTTCTTGGTCGTCATCATCGTCATCATCTTCATCTGACACGCAAATGGCGGCTTTAGGGTTTTTCTTGCCTCTAGCGCTTTGCGGCCTCTTGCCAGCAGGGGCCTTCTTGCCTCTCGCATTTGTCGTCGCGGAAGAACTAGATGTTGTGGCTTTATTGTTTTTGGCAGCCTTAGGAGAAGTTGCCTTCGTATTTCCAGCTGGCTCTTCTTCTTCATCCTCATCATCGTCAGTCTCATCAACGAGCTTCTTGCTCTTAAAATTAGCGTGTGCTAGCTTGCATCTGGGTCCCCTCATCTTGACCCCTTTTACCTTGTAATATTCATAAGAAGAATACAGGGGAACAAAAGGGTACCGAGATGCCGAGAAAGATGGATACTAAATGTTGACCTTAATAGAACCAGTTGTAGTAGCCTTTCTCCCTTTTCTTGCTGACGTGGCACGTTGTGTCCTTGTAGATGTTGTAGGTGCTTTCTTCATCCCTCTAGCTGCACGTGTGGTCGTGGTTGATGAAGAGCTAGCAGCTGCATCGATCATAATCTGATCGCCATCATCATCTACTTGGTCGTCTAATGTGACTTCTATAACTGTAGTTCTAGTCGTCTTCTTCTTTGCGCCTTTACGCCGTTTGTCTCCATCGTCAACGCTTGCTGAGCGAGCACGTTTTTCGGAGCGACTGTTGTTCACCACAACGGAAGTTGAACTAGCACTGCTATTCGACCCAGCACGACCATGATTGCCGACGTTTTTTGCGGATGTAGTAGTATTACTAGCTGCGCCGTTTGATGATAGAACAGCCTGTGATGTATTCTTGTTCCTTGCATTACCACTGCTGGCTGATGTACTCGTCCCGACTGCTAGACTAGAAGAACTCGCAGAGCCTCCTCCACTTGCTCCTGTGGTCTTTTTGTTACCAGTCCCGCCTGTTGTAGAGCTGCTAGCCCCTGCACCCCCAGGACCTAATCCCAAAGTAGACGCGGAGTTGTTGGCTGCCTTGGTTTTTCTACCCATTTTGGTCTTTTTAGAAGCTGCTGCTGCTGCTGCTCCGAAATCTTCCTCGTCTCCAGGCGCAGGGTAGACATCTGGCACTGAGTCCACAGCCATATGCTCTCCTTCAATATCGACGTCCATGATCTTGTTCATGTTGATTTTTATGACAAATTAATAATATTATGTTTCTACTTGTTCTAGGTCTTTGAAGATGTGTTGATATCTGTTGTATGACTCGGTCAAAGGGTAAGGATGTGATCTTCTTGATATGTCGTCATGTGGGTGTGTGGAGGGCTTTCTAGTTGTCGTAGCACTCGCAAGAAATTTTTTTTCAGTTCTTAATAGTGTTTTTGCTCTTGGGGGAGGTAGTTACCTAAACCTATGGGGCCTATCATGAAATCTAAGAGGACAAGCCTAAAAGTAGTTTGAGTGGAAGAGGAAGATGTCGCTTAGCATGCCTGAGTGAACAAGCTCAAAACAAGTTTAAGTTTGTTTGAGTGAACGAAATATATAGAAGATGTTGCTCAACAGCAGCATGCCACTTCATACAACATGGAGATCAAAAGATTCATGTCTCTTTGGACAAGAAAAGATCATCGATCATGTGGAGGATTTGTAGTATAAAGGAGATGGAAGAGACTCTCACTCAAGAAGACCGACGATTCAGATTGTTACAACTACAGAATCAACTTCGAGCCAGGCACGGACACAGATTCTCAGAGTCATTTTCTTTGCAGAAACAGATTACTTAAGTGAAGACACAGATTCTCAGTGGCACTGTCTTCGCATAGACTCACTGGGGTAGTGACATGGCACCATAGACGATTATTGACGATGTCGACAATCTCTGTAGCATTATTGGGAGAAGATGCAAATGAAATGACCGATCACAGAAAATGAAAATGTCAATACCGATGCCGATGGTCTATCTCGAGGACCTCGAATTACCAGAGAGACAGAACTCCTAATCTCAGACCACCTTCAGTGGCGTAGTGATCCGGAGAACACCACTGAATTCGTCCCACTGACTTGTTAAACTCTATTACTTTGATTTTAAAACCACTTCCACTCACAGTCACAATTATGACATAGAAGTTAGAGCAAATTCAAGTGTAGTTGAATCCACTAAAAAAAGACGAAAATAACCGATATGAGCATCGCGCTATCACATCTAATACTCCTAGCTAAAGCTTTTGTTCATTTCGTTGGTGTAGCAATATACTATAAGCATAATGAATCCAAGAAGGGCAAAAACAAAATGAAAATGACTAACATGATACTAATTAAGGGACAATTATCATGAGTAATCTGTAATTGTAAGGTTCCCGTAGTTCTTCTGCTCAAAGGAAAATACCACACGCACACTTCATCACACGCGAAAGCTATAATTTCTTTGAAAATTCAAGTGGTCTGGTCTCCCTGTAGCTCAGATGAAAGACTAAGACAACAACAACATTTTTTTTTGCGTTAGGACTAGATGCTGCCTCCCTTTCAAACAATCAATTAACAACAACAAAAGCTAATAATACACGAAACACGTTTCATTTTTCAGAATAGTTTTTCAATCAAAACAACCCAGTGCATGCTTGTAGTATAAAAACAGTCGTGATAGAGACATGCCGGCTGTACAGTACATAAAAATTCTGAAAAATTCGAGCTCACAAGAATACACTTCAACGAAGGATAGCTACCCGCAGCTTCTATAAACTCTATTGTCCAACCATGATTATACCTATTCATCGATTTTTCAGTTACTTATTTCAGATAAGTAGTTGGGATTATAACTCCGCTGATGGACCAAGATCATGGGGAGAACATATCATATATCATAAGAGGCCAAGATAGTGAAAAAGACTCGCGATCAAAAAACTCGATCGTTGAATTTTTTCGCTTTCCCTAGCATGACAAATATTGACACTAGTAGGTAAGTAACTATAAGCATGAACGACAAAACTTTAGTGTTCACCCGACCAAAAAAACTGATTTACATTTAACTTACTGTCATACCAAAAAAAAAGAGAATAAACAGAATACAGTCATATCAAGTGAATGAATTCGAAACTCACTGCTCTTGTCAACACCAGTGAGTTTCGAATTCAATGAAAATAAATCAAATCAAGCACAATTCCAGCGATAGTGAAAACATACTAAACATTATGGTTTTGGAAGATGGTCAAAAATATAACGAAGAGGAAGTGGTGGCTTGTTGGTGTGAGTAGTCCAACATGCTTAAAGATAGTATGGTCTCATTCAGTTCATCTTTCCTGACGTTCTAATTTTATTAAGTGGTAGAAGTTGATGTTCTTCCAATGCAACGAGATCATCTCTTTTCTGTCGTTTACACATTTTCACAAGACACACGAAGTTCAATCGCAATACGTTCTAGTACACATTCTATTACAAGCGCGATTGGATTCTTATAATATTCATCATAGGTTTTCGTTCTACGCGCACGAGTTCGTGATAGGTTGTTGCTTAAAAACCCATTTCATCTTCATAGGTAAATAACTCAGTCCATCATTATAGGTACACCCAGTTCGGCACTGCTGTGTGATCAAAATCTGACTCGAAGACCAACCTAATCAGTACTTGAGATAAGGATTCGAAGCCTCTGAACAGCTGTAGCTGTGTCCCAGTGGAGGTCGACGAGGGATTTCCGCTTCCAACAACATGATGATCTAGACCATGCGCAGAGCCGTGACTCATCAGACTGGTGCTACTGCCCACGAGACGTGTTCCAGCGTTTGGCCCAGTAGTTGCATCAGCTGCACTGGACGCAATCGACAGGTGCTTCAACAAAATCGCAGACCGACAGAACAAAGTGTGCCAACCACATTGTTCAAAAAAGCCTAATTGGCCTCCAGCATCATCTTGGGCACCTCCAATAGCTCCTGTAGAAGCACCTCCAAGTAGTCCAATCCCTCCAGTTCGATGAAAGATGAATTCATAGATGTACGACAAAAAACTACCAGGACCTCCAATACTTCCAGCAGAAGTGGTCGTAGGAGGTTTACTCACCGCCCCTCCCGCAGACGCGATACTACCGAACAACATCGAAGCAGCTGTGGGAAACACGCAGGCAAGATGCCACAGCACAGCATCCGAGAACTCCTTCGCGTGCTTCAGAATAGAATTAGAGGTAGGTTTTTGGTGCTTGCTTACCCCGCTTTTTATGCCTTTCTCCCTTAGGAGAGGCATAAAAAGCGATAAGAAAAGCACCTTTAACCTACCCTTAATAGAATCTGCTAACGCGTAAACGGCAGAGCTCGAAGTGTTCTCAGTGCTGGCAGTGTTCAAGAAGGAGTCACGCAGTGCCACGAATTGGGCTAAAATAGCTGCGCGGTCGAACTTGTCTCGTAGGGAGCCTGCGGAGACGAGAGCGCTGATGTGGTGATATTGCCAAGGAGTATTCTTAGTAGAGCCTGCATCTGTGTTAGCAGGAACATCATGAACATGTAGAAAGTATCTAGTACAAACTTGATAGAAGACATACTTTGTTCGAGAAGAATGGGACGATAGAGTGATGTCCTATTTCTATTGGTATTGTTCAAAAAAAGTACCAATATGCCGTTAACGCGCAAGCGGCAGTGACGAAGCTCGCTGGTGGATCTTCTTGCTGGGGATTCTTGTCGGTGCTCGGACTTTTACAAGCTCCACTAGTAGGACTTCCTGTAGGAGATGATGATGAACTGTTTAGAAGTTCCTTGTTAAACAGAGTCAGAGTGTTGTTTTTCGGACTTGTTCCCTTTCCGAAAGTACTAGTCGTCTTAGCCGATTGCTCACCTGCATCCGAGAGACTCTCATCCGTCGTCAAACCTTCCAGATCGTCTAGGACTAAAGCTTGCAGACCTAAGATGGCGCCGTTATCTTCATCGGATTTAGGAGAGGTCTTCTCATTTCCTCCGAAAAAGCCATCCTTGTCACGTAAATGCTTCGAGGAGGTTGGAGAAGAAGAGAAATTTCCAACCAACGAAGGATGACTCCCACGACTCAACAGACGTCCTCCAGAACTTGCCAAAGCAAACGACCTTTCGTCATCTTCATGCAAGGACATCAGACCACTTTCGCGAAGCTCAGTCGATGCAGTAGCAGTCTTTTTGAGGCTTCTAGGGATGATATCAGCTTCGTCGTCGTCTGCTTGGTGGTCACGTCCTCCATGCCCATTTTTAGCAGATGACGCAACGTCAACACCAGTAGAGTTCTCACGCGAAATCTGCGCACTTTGTACTGTGCTTGCTGCTTGTATTAAGGAGAAAGCGTCATCTTCAGATGATCCTGTGGGAGCTTTTTTGTCCACTGCCAAGTACCATCGATCAAATGTCCGTTCTATGTACGCCACGCCTGCTCGCATGATACCATGTTCTGCAGCTGAAGACGTTGATGGTTGTGGTGATGTTGTGCCTGTAGTTGTCCCCTCTCTTATCGTCATCCTCATCGTCATCTTGTGGTTGTCGTGATCAGGTAGTAGTTCACCCCCTTCCGCACTATTACCCCGAAGAAGAAGCATAGGCGACAACATATCCACATCACTCGTCCGGGATGAAGTTGTAGGAGAGCCATAAAGTTCATCACAAACTGGTGATGAGGGTAGAGATTTTTTAGATTTCTCGTCTTCATCTGCTTCTCGACTAGTCTGCCTCTCCAGCCATTCATGTTCATGCCATCTTCTCAAATCGTCGTCGTCCATCGCCATACTAGTCGTAGAGCCATGTTGTTGGTCCTGATGAATCTCCTCGAGTACACGCTGTACTTGTTCATTCTTGAAAATACGTGTCGTGTCTTGGGTGTACTGGTCAAAAGACGCCGAAGATGAATTTGCTGTACTTGTAGAACTAGAAGCTGGATTTCTTCCCTGATGGAACGCTGGGTAGTCATGACCGGCAGCAGAGCCACCGCTATTTCGCGCGCTCGGTAAAGAGCGCTGTCGTGAAAACGCAGAAAGAGCACGCTCATGATCGTTAGGAGACCCGACTTTCGTAAACAGTTTCGGTATGTTAAAGTCTTGGTCTTCTCCAACCACTTGCTGCAGCATACCCGAGGACAGCTGTGTACCGTTTCCTCCCACAACAAACCATGACGCAGTCACATTCGAAGACGTCGATGTGCTGTCGCCTACACCGCCTACGGGGTTCGGGTTGTAATGACAACCAGAGAACGAACCGTCATTCATCACGATATCGTCCGACATGGACGCGTTCGATGTAGCACTAAAAAGCTGTGACACAGGTAGGTTCTTCGTCGACGCCGACATCCTGTTACTGCCACCGCCGTCATCGCTGTCTGTGCCATCATCTCCACCGGCTGTGGAGCCACCTGCTCCACTAAAGGGAGAAGACGAGAACCAGTACATTTTTTGTTGATCTTGGTGATTCGCTAGATGAAGTAGAAGTAAGTATAGTATAACTTGAGAGAGTATGTAAGTATAGTATAACAAAAACTTAAAACTATGACAATCTAGATAAAAAAAAAATGTTCTTGTCTAGTCTTTTCCAACACGAATGCTGTAGTTGACTAATGCGAACTAAGAACTAAGAACTTCAAAAGGACAAAAATGGAGGTTCACTGACTTCTAATGTAAATCTAATGCGTTGTGAGTGGTATCACGTCTGCATGTCGTGCTTCATCTCTCCTCCAAAACAACTAAAATTTTTCATTGTTCAAGGTGATGCTGATGAGATGAATGTTGTCATTTTTTGATAGGAAGTCGCTGTTTGATTGATTTTATTTTTAACTTGTTATACTTTAATTAATATGGCTTCTAATTCTATGGAATACTAGCTCGATGAGCGATTTCGTTGCATGATCAAGCGAGAGTGAAAGAAGAAGAGTCACACATGGACTACACAGTAAATGACAGCACTACGCTTGTTCATGCATCAGGGGTGATGGGGGCTACCAAAAGGTGGAAGAAAAGAAACGAGCGGCCACCTGGGCGAGTTTCGTATGAAGGTCTTGGGGTTTCTTGGGTATTAGAAGGTTGGTAAGTTGGACTGAGGAAAAAGTTGGGCAGAGGACGAGACGAAACGCTTTCACACTCGATCGAGAACAATGGAATTCGACGAATGTCGTCGATGCTGAACACGCACCGAGGCATTCTCCCGTTTTTTCCTCTATCTCGTTTCTATTCTTGGACTTAAGAACTAGAATCTTTATTCTATTCATCTCGTAGTTTCAGAACACAAGAAAATGAAGATAAAGTAGTGACATATAATTCACTGATCTCTCCGAGTCTGACCGACAAGTTGACTAGAGTTTGACCGAATGATGCTCTTCAGCTGTAGTTAAGAAAAATAGCGAACGAGTCGTAGTTGAACAATTTACACGACGCAATAGGCTGAACGACACGGCTTTGATGTTACGCTATCGGTATTGATTAAAGATAGCGAAGGGTTTTTGCGCATACAGGTTGGTGGGTGAAAACAACATGACTGTGAAATTGTCACGTAGTTCTCACATTAGAATTGGGGAGAGGGAGCATCTACTAGAAAGTCTGGGAACGTGATGCCGTCCAAGGATTTTGGTATCATTGTCGCTTGGTGACTTTGTGCGACAGCCGCAAGTACAGCTGTAGCTGGATATTTTTGTTCAACAACGACCATGATCATTTTATACAAAGCTGATCATTCTTCATGCTGTATAAACACAGTAGTTTGTGATTGTCGGAGCTAGGTCTTATGAAGAAAAAAAATCTGAAATAGATACATTAGTACCATTAGCTCCTTTCTTCTTCGTTTTCAAACAACTTTCTGGTTACATTATAGTGAAACTAACAAGAAGTGATCAACATGAAAGTATAACTACATCAGAGGACGACTTCGACTAGTAAGTGAATAAGTATAATATGAAATCATCAATCAATAAAAACTACTGCTTAAAAATATCAACTTCAACAAAGCTCCTCGTTAAAGCGATTTCTCGGAATATTCACTACCTTAAGTGGACCACGACTGCTGAAGGTGGACCGGGTTTCTCGGAAGGTCTACCTCTGCAGTTCTTGCAGTAGGTACTTTTGATATTTGATATGTTGCTTAACAAATTCAGGTAGTAAGAGCATTCTTTTAATGCTCTTCCTCTTTATTCAGCGACTCTTGAGAAGTTGTTGTATCTTCTACTTAATATTACTCCGAGTATCATCATCAGTTACAGTTATATACCACTTCGGTTTTCATCAAAATGTATGTGCAGACGTCGAGATCGAGAATTTGAATTATCGGCTGTTGTGCTACTACAGTTTTTACAGAAAAATTCCATTTTCAGAATTATCATGAACAAGATTTCTTCATCTTATAATTGCTTGATGCTTAACCTACTACTTCTCCTGGAGTTCGTCAGCCTCTAAACCCCTTCTTCATCCTATCTGCGAACTCGGAAAAATTCACCTGCATGCCTGCACCTTTGTCTTCAATGAGCATGTCCCAGAATCGTCGTTCTATCATATCATGTCTCCCCTGATGTGTCAGTGAGAATGACATGTACGGCACGTCATTTTCTCTTCGGAGATAATCAATGACGTTCAAAAACTTCTCTTTCAGAGGATTGTTGTTCGGCGCTAGGATTTCCTCCTCATAGGTGGAGCCGTCTGGCGGGAGCTCTTGGACGGATTGGACGCCGAACAGCGACATCAGCCAATTCGGATCGATCTCTTGTCCGATGAAGAGGATGATCTGCTCTCCGTTTTCGATCAGAAAGGCGCCGTTCGGTCGTAAGGACGCGCCGGTTAAAGGGAGCTTTTCGGGAAGAACGGTCACGCCGTTTCTGTAAGTCAGTTGTGTAAGGATGATCAAAATGAAAATTAGTGACAAATCGTGATCTCAAAAATCGTCTACTGGAAGAAGTGGTCTGGGGACAAACAGACGAATAATTGGATGAAATTGAAAAGAATGCGATTTTTACATACTACATCGCTTCTCTAGTAGCTGTAGTAGTTCTTCTTTCTAGTCGATGAAGATGATCCATTGACTATCACGAGATCTTGACCTCAAACAAGCATCGAAAAAATACTCATCCTCTCCTCCGATCGGATCTGACAAATCGTCTACTGGAAGGAGCCTGGGGACAAACAACGAGGCTGCTTTGTCCGTGCACACTGTATTCAGTCTAGTCCAGCACGCCGCTCGAACATCAAATCTCAGGTCTGGACCGCCCCCAGCCCTTAAGGCAGTCGATTTGAGGATACCGAAGACGTACCTGTTTTGTAGTACTTTTTATCATTATCGGATATTAAGTAATAATATCTTCGTTGTGACTGAACATTTGTAGTATCTATATTAATATACGATATAGTATCGTGGTGAAGAAGATTTGGAGTAGGAGTAATAGGGAGTGGATTTTTTGGGGAACACGAAAAGGAGTGATGTTGGTCTTTGCAAAGATTTTTGAACAAATTTGAGAAGAAGCAGTTGTACAATGGCAAAAACGCGAAGTTTCCTTGGTCCGCGATGTGTGCGCTGTTTTGCACTATGTGCGTGCAGGTATTTGTCAAAAAATGTCTCGCTTCCTGCAAGCTCTGTTTTAGTGCTCGGTCGCACGCAGTGTGAGCCAATATCTGAGCTGCTACTTGAGGGTCTACACTTTGGACTAGTTCCTGATGGTTGTTGCTTGCGACAATGCAATGGGTGAGGACGCGGACTCGCCGTTCGGCCTCGTGGTTGGTGTACAGCAACGCCGCCTGGACGAAGCACTGTGATTAGAGCTCCATCCTCAGGTGTTCCTCTCATATACTTGATCCAACTTCTTGCACCTACTCTTATATATACAGCATCATCTTGAACTCACTCCTACATATGTATGGTTCCGATATTTGGTAACCTGATGAATTCGATCGCACGGGTACGGGTTCTCTTCTTGCTTTGTTCCCTTATGTTGATCAAATTCAGGCTATACCAAAGACTAAGACCACCGGAAGCATATTACACACCATCTTGGGTTTTTTTTTTTCGTCCCTCTTTTAAGAAAAACGGGAGGTGGAGGACCAAGATGTTGAAAAATGATAGTGAAACTGGGAGATTTATTCGTGTAGCCTTAATGTGGTTCGACGACGGAAACGTTGTCCTCCATTTCGACGGTAATAGCAAAAGAAAAATCGCGGTGGCAGTTGGGGACACAGATTAGAGCTACTCAAGTTAATGATTCACTTGTTGTTCCACAAGTACAAGAAGCTTCTTTCTCGTCGTTTTGTACAACTGTCCGTTAGAAGGAACAACAGGTGGAAAATGTTCTCCATAATGTCAGCAAGTCTTGTCCTCGAATGAGCAAATTCCCGAAGAAATGCGATATTCTCCACCCCTTGCTTACTCGCACACGCATCACTGACTCCCAACCACTGAACCGAGTCACTACATGCTCGATTTCCTGCCTCAATTTCGCGCCTTGCGACTGGGGGGTAAAGTTGTCGTAGAAGCGGACCTCCCCACCTGTGAACTGCGACAGCAGTTGCATTAGAGCTATCTATTACGAGGGATCCCTATAGCTATACATAGGATCTTCTTGTAACACAAGCTGCCTTAACTTCACTGTTGCCAAGTCGAAGTAGGCACGAGGAGCGACGAAGAGGTCAACGGACATTTGATAATAGATGAGCTTGTGAGCGAGATCCTTGTACTCTTCGTTCGCCTGTTGTAATCATGGTGTAATGTTGTTCTTGTCTCGACGTGCTGAGGTCATGCAAGGGTGGTGAACGTGAATCAATATCACAATCACAAAGGAAACATCTGCGAGATGATAAACGAACAGGAGGCCTACAGGGGTACTTAAAAGTCATACTCATATCCTCCAACAAGTAGTAGAGTGTTAGTACCGGCCTCAACAGTTCCACTTCTTTATCAGTGCCCTGAAGTCTAGGATTATCGCGATTCGGCTTGAGGACGCCTACTTGGCCCAAAGTAGGGATACTAGCAACAAATCCAAGAACTTTTCCTCCAACATGTTTCATACTTAAGTAAGCTCCTGTAATTGCTGTGCCGAGACCTGATTTTTGGTGTGGTTTTTCGATGGAATTAGAAAGATGGAGTTAGAATTTAGGGTAGCAGGGATGCGATTTATATTGAGTAATGGGACTTAGTCTTAGATTTTTGGTGGTAGAGGCAGAGAGCGTAGGCTTGCCAAACGAGGAATGAAAAAAACACTCAGTGTTTAACACTGTCACTGAGTGAAGAACAACTGTGATTACAACATCAACAAGGAAGTACAACAAATTCATATATAATCATACATGAATCCACGACTTTGCTATCCTTGAACAAGTGGGGTATCTGGTCCAGAAGGTTGCACAAGTTGTCCACGTTTTCGGTTAAATTGACTATAATATCGTCTGGCAAGGGCAAGAAGATGTCGTCCAGGTCTGAAACCACTACCATTTGGGCTGATGAGAGGTTGCTGTCCAGATTATAAAAGTGGACGCTATTGTCGAAGGTCATGATGCCGCACATCGTTCTGTCGCCACCGGGGACTTCGCCTGGTATGGTAAGTATATTTTTTTTTGATAACTATTTTTTTGAACTAGTAAGTATATTTTTTTTTGATAACTGGTAGCTCTTGGTAAGTATATTTGTTTTTGATAACTGGTAGTTCTTTGGTGGTAAGTATATTTGTTTTTGATAACTGGTAGATCTTGGTAAGTATATTTGTTTTTGATAACTGGTAGTTCTTTGGTGGTAAGTATATTTGTTTTTGATAACTGGTAGTTCTTGGTAAGTATATTTGTTTTTGATAACTAGTAGCTCTTTGGAGAGGAAATCTTAGGCAGCTCGCCGAATAGATTCAAATCATCAGTTCTTCGGACAGGCCCCCTTGGACTTGGAGGTACAGTTAAATAATTGGTGGGTAAAAATGGTAGAGCTTATTTCAAACAAACATCACGGAGAGCGAGAGGCATACCAACAAAAATTGAAAAAAAACATATTAACAAGTATAGCAGTTGTTCTGCTATGTTGTATAATAATATGACATCAAGTTGTAGTTGTAGTAAGTGTGTACGTGTACTAGTACCTGACTGCAGTGTCTGCTTCAATCCCGCACATACCTCTGCTGTGTATCCACTGCTAACCGCGTGCGCACCAACTTCAATCACGAACATAAACACCGGAGGCTGCGGTGCTCGGACCATGTAGTCTCCTGTTGCTATGAATTCTACTGCACCATTTGACAATTCCGGTCGCTCGTGCAAATCAGCACGCTGACCTCTCTCATCTACTGGGGCATAGTACCTATTTGTGGTTTTGCAATTGTGGTCGAAAATAGAAGAGAACGTCGAGTCGTCATCTCTGAAAGATAAGGAGATAAGGAAAACGATTTCGATCGTAGACAAAAAACAAAAACTGCGTAGTTGGCTTAGTGGTTTAGGCGTTGGCCTGTTCACTTATCAAAAACTACAACAGGTATAGAGTACGCATTCATCGTCTCGTTCGTGAATCCGCAGAGGTTGCATTTCCATCTTCTGCCGTTGTATTCCCATTGCACGTAAGGATTGATATACGTTCTGCATTTCTTACATCGAACGATGGGTGCTGTGGAGTTTTGGGAATTTTAAATGAAGTACTACATCAAATAGAAATATGGAACATCAACATGATTACAACTAGTACCATAGCGATATATATAACTACCCCGATGCTTATGTCGCTGCAGCTTGCGCAACAAATCCAAGACCTAGCACTACCCATCCAATCAATAAAAAAAGTACTCGTCTCTGCTCGTCCATTTTGAGGTTGAGTCCTATGCACAACCTTGATATCTTCTGTGCCTTCTGGCGGAGAAGCTAATGGTTGAATGACACAACCTAGTGGTACTCCAACTTTTTGTTTGGCTCCTAGACTTTGCGGCACTCTTCCCATTGTCGTTCTCAAAAAATGCGGTGCACAGTTCAACTCTTCTGTCTGTCTCAATAACTCTGCATAATGTGCTTCATTCCCGCCATACCCAGGTGTGCCGGTTGCACCAGCCATGTAACCTGAGTGATGAAGATGATAGAGCAGTAGACAAAAACAATTTCTGTAGTGACTAATGATCTAGATCTATCTACTCAGGAGTAACATGCCTAATGCGAATTTTTGTGATATCCTTGTTGGAGCTCATTTACCTCTATGTATTACTATGTATCAATTTGGAAATGCTATCAAAATCAAGAAACGAATTTCATATACTTACCTCCTCCTTGTGGTGGTGCTGCCATTTGTGGACCTGGTGGTGGTGGGGCCATTCCTGGTTGGGGTCCTTGCGCTCCAAAAGGCCCTTGTCCTGGCATTGGGGGACCTGCCATTCCCGGGCCTGGTGCCCCAAATGGTGTCTGTGCTGCGCCTCCTGGTACTGGAGGTGGTCCTGGCTGTTGCATCTGCATAGGTGCAAATGGTCCTGGTGGCGCTACTCCTCCTGCGCCTGGTGGTGGCGGTGGACCTCCTTGTGCTGGTCCCCCTGGTCCTCCTGCGCCGTAAGGATTCATCGGAGGTTGTACCCCTGCTCCTGGTGGCGGCGGTGCCATCATATTGTTACCCGGACCTGCAGGACCTGGCGGTCCTGGAGGCGCCATTCCGAAACCTCCCGGACCTGGTGGGGGAGCACCGCCCATGCCTCCACCTGGCTGCATTGGTGGTGCTCCACTACTCATTGCGCCATTGCCGAAGGGATTTGCGGTTGCGCCGAAAGGATTGCTTTCTACTCCACCACCTTGTTGTGGGGGAAGCTGCTGCGGACCCCCTGGCGCTCCTGGAGGGGCTGGGCCCCCACCGTAGGGATTGTACGCCATTGTAGTAGTTGGAGAATAAGTTCGTGTAGTTGGAGAAGAGGTTTGTTGAGTGTTGGAAGTGGCAGACTTTCAAGTGGAAGCACTGGTAGTGGTCGTGGTAGTGTGGTCAACTAGTGGAATGAGATGTCGTTGGGCCGCCTGGGCTTGCGAGAAAAAAAAGTCGTGTGGAAGTCAAGGAATAAAACGAGCGTAGAAAGTTGAAGGGGCAGCTCGTTTTATCGTTGTACGTCGTAGCAGCTGTCGTGAGGTTGCAGCCTGCTCCCAGAAGTCGAGTCAACAGTTAATGTTAGGCCGCGTCACACAAAAAAGGACACGAATGGAAAAAACCTCATTCTTTTTCTGTTCATCTTGTTGAAAAAAATTAAACTACGAACTACTAATGATTGACCTGATGTGCTGATTAAGTTGCGCAGAAAAAAGAGCAGGGATCAAAAATTCTCTCGGCGTCGTGGAATCAGCAGGTTGCATTTATCACAGTAAAAAAGGTTGGAGTTGTTTGGCTCTTTTTTCTCGCTCGCATGACCAAAAATCAAAATCTGTACAACAAGAGAACCAAGCCTGGTCGTAGAGTTACGAGGTTGTCGGATAAGCATGGTGATTTGGCAACTTCTTGGTTGAATGTGATACAACCACAAAAAACAACAATTATCGCATTCATTTCTTAGCTTGATATCTGCGGCTCTGATAGCATTCCACAACCACGGAAGCACGTCTTGCACACCTTTCTGTCTTTTGATATTCTCAACTCTCAGAAGGCCAAAAATGAACGCAAGCCTTTCTAGTTGGACCTCAAATTCAAACCGGTCTCCAGCACTGCAAATCGTTAGTAGTTCAATTTCTGATACAGGAAGAAATCATTGTTTTCATTCTCATTCTTGTTTTTGCGATAGTACTTCATGTTGATTGCGTCGCGCTTCGATTACAGTTCGCAAATGTATGAAAACGAAGAACTTCAAGAAGCACAACCACGATCTTTGTCCTTGAATACATCACATAATTTTGATTCTGACGATGTCTCTGTCGGTCAGCAACAATGGTATACAAATTATCTCCTGCAGTAATTGAATTAGAATTGATGTTTGTATTTGATTTGTTGTAAGTGGCCTAAACGCCACTATTCACTAAGATCATGTCAAAAAAACACCGAACCTAACCAGCTACGTACGGCTACGTCGGTCATCTTGTCAAAAAAATACTGCATTGGGCATCCATAGTTAATCTTATCTTCTAGTTGTGTTACTTACAATGTTGGAGTTTCTAGACGATAGTGGAGGTAATAACCTTCTTATCGTTCTTGTGTTACAAATAAAAATGTGACCAGCAGCAGCATCAATCATCAATCCTTGATGTTCTGATTTTTCTACGTACTATCGCTTTTGCTATTGGTTAAGAGGTTGACTGTAATCGTAATCCATGCTACAGTCCCGGTCGCAACCAGCTTAATACGGTAACGGTAACCTGTGCACCTAGGCTTCGCTTTCTCAGTCTAGTATACTTACCACCTTAATCTACTTCTTGTTTCCCTGTCCTTTCCTATTCTTTTTACGTAGAAGTCTACAGCTCACTCGTTGCTTGAGTTGTCTGGACCAGATTTCCGCAGCAACTCAATCGCTTCATAGCCGGATAGTGTCGGCATGTGCAACCTGTCGTATGCTCGGATCCGTTTATTGAGTACAAGTACATTCAGTTCGCCTAGTTTTCAGAAAAATAGAAATGTCAGAAGATGGTAACTAATACCTAGTTGTTACCATCTTCTGACACTTAACCGTCTTCTGCCACTTTACGTTACTAACTATACTTTTGAATTCATCGAATTGATTTTGACATTGAAGACAGGGAAAGAAGAGTGGAAATGTATTCACTGATGTCATCATCATTGAAGAGCATAAACGTTGAAAAAAGTCAAAAAATTCTCACCTTGTTGACACGCGATCGGAAATGCTGGTTGCACTGGTGCTCTCGTGATCGACACGTCGTCTACCGCGACACCTTCTCCTGCCTTGGTAAAATCACCTAGAATCTTCAACTTCGTCAACCCATTTAAGGTCGCAGCAATCTCGCACTCTGTGGCCGAAGTATAAGGCAAAGCGCCGTTGAGCGGGTCACGGACCCAGGAGTTACCACCTCGAATCTCGAGCTCCACAGTGGTTTCCTCACCATGCCACTTGAAAAAAGCATCCACTTGACGGACGATTCGGAGACCTGCGTAATTAACGGCGATTGTTTCACTACCTACTAGTAAGCCGTAAGGTGAGAAGTATTCGTATTAATATTATCAATTTTTTGAATTTGATCTTCAAGGATGAACTGTGTAGTAATGTTGGTGGAGCATACCTAAATACAAAAAACAAAAACCGAAAAAAGAAAAGTCAGGCAAGTACTTATCTACTACTAAATAAGCGCCGGCGCTGTCCGACAGCCCCAGAGGATGAACTGTATAATACTTACAGTAAGTACCTTTCCCATCATTGCAACTCGCACACTCGAGAACGACCCAGTCTAAGGCCGGCGGTTGGTTCAAGTAGTCGAAATCTCCATAGGTTGCCTTGACAGTAAATGTCAAAGTCCCACCATACGTCGCCGCCATATCCTGAGAACTGTACGACTGAGGAGCAACGAAGTACCAGCTTTGACGATCGACTCCGGTAACGAAGTCCACATATTGAACTTCGTCGGTGCCGTAGATGTACCTACATGTTTGCCGTTGGGAGGGAGACCTACAGTATATGTTGTTTGCCGTTGGTAGGGAGATGGATGAATCAATGGTTGGAGATGCCGGAGCGAAAGGAAGGAGGAGGAGGAAAAAGACCTGGAACTCATCAACTCCTCAATGATGAGTTCCAGGTCATCTTTTTCCTCCTCCTCCTATCTACAGGAGGTATTTGAAGTAAGTAATCTAGCCTTATGTTGAGAATGACTAAATATTACCTGTTCAATTTCCCCCATGCATATGGCTGATGGACTGGCGTTGATTGCAACAAGTTGCCCTCAATGGTCCAGCCGTCCGGTCCTGAGACATAGGATGAGCCGACCACTACCCCAGCCGCATTGGCAAGGACGCATCTCCCTGGCTCCGAGAAAGTATTGGTTACTGTATCTTTGACGGTGTAAGAAAACGAAGCCCATCGACCGACAGGGGCGAAGACCTGGAGTTTTTGAGATGTTGATATGGGGCGAAGACCTGGAGGTTTTGGATGCAGCTGCCGCTGCGGAAATGAATTTTGAATAGAAGCAAGTCTTCAGATGAATGTAGTAGAGCCGACAACAGAATAAATGTGATCACACATGTGATGTGTAGTCATACTTTCCTTTCTACTAGGCATGAATTACAACTTCATCAACGTTGGTTTACACAAAATTACGTTCGCGGGTGGAATGTAGGCCACTCGGTAAAGCTGATCCGTCACTAGGAAAGGCAGTTGATGTCCTTGCAAAGGCGTCGGCGCGTTTTTCGGTTCCGAGCCATAAGAACGATAGTTCTGCGATGTTTCGTACCTGGTTGTTGATCAAGGACAGCTACCAAACATCCAAAGCAGAGAAATTTAAACGACGTTAGAGAACTTCTTGTTGTCGGAGATCGAGATTGCAGAAAATTTAATAAACGACGTTCTTATAGATACTTAATATACGCCAAGAGCAGTGAAATTTTTAAACTCATCCAAATTACAGTTTCCCCACTTCCGGCAGTGACGTGATGTAGTACTCCAAAGGATGGTTGCTCTCCTCATAACCCGCTAATTGTGCTATGCCTGGCTTGTTTACTTCCACATTGAAAGCCACGTGCCTAGCGATGGGATTGCTCACGTACGTTGGCGGATAGAGATTGTTCAAATCGCCGGAAACTAGGTTCACGAGAGCCGTCGACGTCGCGAGTAGTCTTTTCATCTTGCTGCCGAGGTGTTGTCTTGGTCTTGTAGTTTTCCTTGTTCTAGCTGTGGCTGTACTAGCTGCTGAGGTCAACATTCTAGTAGTTGTTGGCCCAATTCTTGAGCTTGTTGTGCTGATTGTCTGTTTTCTTGTTTTACTCCCACTCCTCGAGCTGGAAGAAGATGCAGTGGTGTTTTTTATCCTGGAGTTGCACCTAACTGCTCTAGTAGTCGTTCGTCCCTCCGACGAGCTCGACGACGATGACGAGCTCGAACTACTCGCTGGTGACGAGAAACTGTGTGCGAAAGAGTTGACTGCGAGCAAACCACTCTCCGGGACAGTGCAATCATCTGTGTCCGACTCGCAGCTTGCTATGTCAACAGCTTCGTCCACCTCTCGGCTAAAGCGGTATGATGAGCGATGCGCTACTGGCTGCATCTCAGTATCATCGTCATGATCGACCCAGGGGGTCGCGGGTACGGAAGTATCCAGCATTCCCTGTTTTCCCTTCAAGAAGTACGCTTTCGATTTCTGTTTTAGTCACTCAGGTTTGTCAAAAAAAAACTGAAAGTCAAAGTTCTAGTCCAACTGCTCGTGCTACTTCATTTGAATCTACCAATTCAAATTCTTTGAAATGTGAATCCACGGTAGCTAGAGCTAGTGGCTTTAATATTGTTCATCCCGACCACCTTTTTGGTAGCCTACCACAACCTGTGACACATGTTGGCAAGATAGTTCTTCCCATTTATTTTTCGTTTTTTTTTAAAGTCTAAGGAGAATGGTTTCGTGAATTGTAAAAATTACAATTAGAAGGGTGCTCTGTCTCTCAAAAAAGAAACTATAATCCACGTGCTTTTTCAATTTTCATTTTTCAGCTCTTGCTCTTTCACCTCTCACGCTCAGCCACACACAGACTCTCAGATACTTGACTTGGATGAAAGGAAGTCACTCGTCTCACTCCTTAAGCCACTCAACTACTCGTTTTCCATTACTCGCTTTTCTCGTCTTCACAGCTCAGGGTCAAAAAAGCCACTCGAGATAATTCTGGCTTCGATTTCTTCAAAAATTGCAATGGTCTATAGAAGTCGCGGAAGAGATTTCAGATTCTGATACATAAAGACGAGTATCTCTCGTAAGTGTGGCCATAAACAGGGCCATGGGTTGTTTCACGGGCAGGTGACAGCTAACTACAAGCAAGCTTGCACACCAATGCGAAACTAAAAAGGGATCGTCACTCGTCGTCGAAGCCCATGGAGGTGCGGACAGCACGAAGGTCTGAGGATTTTGACATGTTCAGGAAATTTTTCTTTCTACGAAAACAACTTTGAAGTTAAAGCGGTGTCAGAAATCGTGCTTGCTGTTAAGCGCCAGTCAGATGATATAAGTCTTTTTTTCGGGCCAATGGTGTGTAATGCTGTGTTGGGTCAGGGTCAGGGTCGCCATACATGTGAGGACTAAAAAAATTATATCTTCACACAAATTCAAAATGAACTACTACATTGCTATCAAATGGAAATGGCCTACGCCTTGTGATGTAGTCTTTTGTCCGTGGTGTCTACATCTTGTTCAACATCAACACTTTCTCCTCCTTAATTCTTCACATTGATCGAGGCCTTTAGTAGACCAGCTGCCTTCAGAGTAGCGGTCTTGTCTATGATCGGCTTTGGCGGGAAGCCTTCGGTTAGCTTGAATTCAGCTGTGCCCGTGCATTCTTCGACGAATTTGAAGAGCTCCATAACCAATGCATCTTCGTTGAATTGCTGTGTTTTGAGGTGGAGGTTTCCTTTGAGGTGGAGGTTTTTATGCTATTGCTATATATAAGGAATGAGTAAATGACGGTAATGTCAGATACAACATTCGATCCTGTGCGTCTTCTAGTAAGATGATGTTTTGAGACGCGTACCATTCATAATCATAAGTTAATTGGACTCAATTTCAATAGTGGATACTGGGTAAGGACGATAGAACCCAAAGAAACATCAACAAGCTTGAACTTGATCCGATCATAGAACCAAATAAGAGTACTCAGTAGCAGTACCTGAGTCTGCCTCCTCCCATCACCAAATCGGACCATGATGGTTGTGACAGGCTTTCCCTCGTCAACTGATACTGAGGCTGTTCCTGTCGCTGTGGGTCCTGCTGTCGCTCCTTGGCTCAAATCTGGTGAGGAGAATGACGGGTGATTAATGGAGGAAGTCATGAAAAAAAGCTTTTGGGCTCAAACCTTGATGAAGTGCTAAAAAAATTGATCAAAATCAGAATCAAAAACTAACCGATCTCAATGACAATGTAACCAGTTGTACCTGCCTGTCCCGGTTGAATCGGCCTAGTGCTGCTTGATGATTGCGCGCCAGCCGTGGTGCCGATAGGTGGTTCATACTTACGAGGTCTGTTATCTTTAACTGCTATACTTACAGGCTGTCCGTTTGAACCTGTGAAGTTTGAATGTGTGTTCGAATATGAGCCGAGAAGAGCAGCGCGGGGATTCGACAAGTAGATGAACGGAAGAGATGAATTTAAATTGTGAAAAACGTCTAGAAGAATCTGAAAGAGTCCTTGACCTTCATTATTTACAACATTTTCAACAGATGCCAAATATGAAATCAATTACCTTCCCTCAATTCTTCCGGACATTCTCCTTTTTGTATGTCGTCGACGAATTTCTTGTTCTTCGGATCGGCTAAGGGTCGCAGAGGGCCGTCATTTACGGTGAAGCCGTCAGCCCACAACGTTATTGTCGCAGATCCATCCGGCAAGCCGTCGTTTGAGACTGCTCCAGCTGCACGTGCCGCAGACCACACGTCATCACCGTTACCGGAAGAAGGCTCTTGGCCTGGCTGCATTACTGCCATACTGTCGTTGTGGACGTTTTGGGAACGGTCTTTCAACTCTCAAGGTCGATAGGTGGAAGAAATCGATATCAACATGCAGCAAGAACGAAATCTACTTTCGGTTATTTTTCTCATCTGCAATTATCTTTTTCTTACTCGGTATTATCCCAAACCTACACCAGCCACGATAATTCACATTAATCTCTCGAATTGATCTCTCTAGCCGGCGAACACTTCCTCACATTCGTCGCGTTCGCCTAATAGCCAGTTTTTTATTTGTTAACCACCTAAGTTACAGTGGATCTTTAAACTTGACAAACAGTAGGCTAGGTCTTATCTTGATCTAACTTGTTGTTTATTTTTTCTCCAGCCTAAAGTGCTGACCAGCTAGACCTTGAACTTGTTCTTCTTTCTGGCTTGTCAACTACTGGGCCTAACTGATCTGAGCACTTCCTGTTTGGTATTGGGGGGGTGCCCTATGTATCAAGTTCGTATTTTCGGACGGAGCCGGGGAGGTTAACAAAGTTCTTGCGTTTGTATGTTTTTAAACTGTTAGAAACTGATATAAGTGATATGCAAAGGGGGAGAATGAGGCCACCGTGTGGAATCTGGTAGCAGCGGTCAGTTGTTCGAGGCGATAGCTAACTCACGTCCCCAAAGGTGAGTATTATCCTGAATCAACTGAGGGGACAAAAAATCTTCTACAGCGTCAGCGAAGAAGGACTTGAAAACTTCGAACCTCTTTTTTCTGGTGAGAGGATCGCTACAGTTTCGATCGCTGCAAATCCATGTGAAGTAGAAATCTATGGCGTGTTCCTGCGTTTTCTCGTGAATAGACGAGGAGACTTGTTGCGTTCTCGCGCATCGAGTGCTATTAGCTGCTAACGCGAACACGTCCCCCAAGTTATCCACATGGCCGATCATGAAGTAGTTGGCCATTATCTTAGCCCATAAATAGATGGAGACGTTGACAGCTAGCGCCTCTAGCACTCCGATATGGATGTAGGTGCCAGCTAAGTGACGCGGGAGCTTATTAATCTCGATACGGAAGAAGCGCGCGCCCTTCGGAGTTGAAATATATCCACCAGTCGCGATTTGGTGGGCTTCTAAATTTTCAAACTGTCCATTTTTGAGCTTCTCATTGAGTCCCACTACGTCCTCCAACGCCGCGTCGGAATAGGAGTGGGCGACGTCCTTATCCACTCTCAGCTGGCTCATCCAAAAAGGGCGGATCCGAGCGAGTGCCCACAGCATCAGAGAGACGGCGCGCGCAGCTCGATTTCGTTCAACGATGACCTTCTTGGCCGACTCAAATTCTGCTACAAAGTGATCTAGCCCTTTTGCGATGAACAGTTTGCAACGGTCGAGCATGGCGCAATGTCGAAAGAGGCCTCGAAACGACACTAGCAAGTCGAAGTCAATTTTGCCGCCATTGATTTGCTCGAGCAGTTTGAAACCATCTGCGACGCACTTGTGAACCTTGTCCTTGTTGACGACTACTGTCATGCCCAAACATTTATTCTCGGTATCAGTGATCGTGTAGGCAAGACCAAGCACCGTGATGGATTTCTGGAAACGATGATGCCTGTCGTCCTTAAAGGGCGAACGCCACCAACCTGCCAAATGTAAATACAACTTGATGAGCTCGAGCTGTTTTTCAGCGCACGCCGGCCGCATTTGCGGATGTAGGTCGTCAATGTAAATTATGCAAATGACCTCTAATAAGACCACTATGATTAGTTGACGCACTTCGCTAGTGAGCACGCACTCGTGGACGCTTGACAGCGCTCCGAACAAGCAGACCGAGGAAGCTATCAGTTGCCAACGGCGTCGTTTGCCATCCTTGTCAGGTTTGGAAGCGAGGTGGACTGTTTCCGGCTGCAATTCCGAATCTGGGACGCTATGCGGCACCGGGTAAAACATGCAATTTGCAAAGGGGGATCTTGTGCCGTGTTGGAAGTAGTAACCTTCCATATCGATTTTTCCCATTACCGGTGTAAAAGAATAGCGCAGATTGGGCTTGTCCTCGGGCGGCTTAAACTGATGCTTGTTGAATGTCTGAAACTCGTCTTGTAATTGGGCTTGGTCTTTCTCCAAGAGACTCCGCAGCCGCTTTTCAATCTCCACGTCTTCCTTAACGTCATGCTTGGTCTGCAGCATGAGGGGGCGCTTCTTCCAATTCGTAGAAGTAGACACGCAAGCAGATGTGAGCTCAATTGCAGCTCTTGCGCCAAGTAAACGCATTTTTTCTTTCACTACCTGCATGCGGTTCTGGCCTCTTAGGTCTACACAACAGCGCACTTTATTTGGATTTTCTTGTGTAGGCTGATGCACCGGGAAAGGCTTAGCTCCTCCAAGACGTGTGAGGGAGCTGCTAGCCATTGGCAGCCACAAACCCTTTTCCTGCATTTTATTCTTTTGCTTCCATAAAGTGGCGGCGTCTTCTTCTTCGGCCCAATGGTCATCTTCAGGCGGCAGCATCTCACGACGTGCTGCTTCGGCCGCTAGGGCTCTCTGAGCGTCCACTTTATCTTCGGGTAATAGCCTCCAAAAACCCGAAGGCTCAACTTCACCTTCCATCGCTATTCCGGCTACAAGTTTATCTTTCCACTTCAGAACTATTTCGGCGCTGTCGTTGATGATTTTATCGGAAGCGCGAGCAATTTCAACTGCTGACTGCAGTAGTTTGTGAGCAAAAGCGAAACTCTTTCCAGAGTACGCGATTTGGAGATGAGGCTGCATCTTACCGAAAATCTCCTTACTCTCCAACCTGGACTGTGCTTCGGTTGCAATTAACCAGGACGCAAGGCGTGAAGCTTGTTGATTGATTTCGTCTTCTGTGCTTATTTTCGTCTTCGTGACTGTGGCATCGAAATAGCGCGGGATGTTGGGCCCGGACCCGTAGTCACGGGCTGCATCTTGTTGGAGTATCGGATCGAAGAAGTTACTTTCGTCGTTGTTCCCCGAAATATTCGAATAGGCATTAGAGGAATCAGCCCGGCTACCACCTGTCGATAAAAGGGGAATTTTTTGCTTCGTTCTATCTGCAATCCTGTCCGTTTGTACTGATGGCTGGTAGCTGAGGGCTGTTCCTCCGCCTTCAGTCTGGAACACAGGCGGAAGCTCTTCTTGTGATGTAGTTGTTGATACTCCGAACCTGCATTTCTTGAGAGCTCGGGATTCTTCGCCGCAGAAGAGCGAGTAATCTGGCCTCTTACTTTGTGACGCTGATGCCGATATGGTTGAAGAAGATTTCTTTGAGTTGGGGGGGTGGGGAGGATTAGTAGGGACTTCTTGATTGATTTCGGCCTTCTTTTCCGCATCCTCTGCTGCTTTCTGTTCCAGATAATTGCTTCGTTTGATCTGGAGCAGATCAGCAGCATACTTTTGGCGTAACTCTCCATATCGTAGCTGGCGAACCTCTTTCCAAATTCTTTCTTGCTGCCGGACAAAAGCGGGAGTAACGTCTTCGAAGTCGTATTGCCAAGAGCCGTCTTCATTCTGGGGCCGGTAGTATAGAGGTTCCTCATGATCATGTCCTTGGACGATTTTCTTCTCTTCTTCTCGGAAAGCGTCTTCCACCTTCTCCCACTCGGGGAAGGTTAAGAGCGTCATGTTGTATTTCATTTTTCTTATTTCTCCCGGATCTGGATCGTTTTGCCGTCGTTGATAGTTGTATGTCGCCACTCGTGGCCCTCGAACTCTGTGATTTTCACGCTAATCGTGAGCTTTTTCCAACCTCGCCGCAGCTGAAGACTACGAAGAGCGGCGATTGTTCTATTGTTGGCAGTGAATAATTGATCTCCTATGAAGTAACCTGTGATATCTAGTTCTTCATCACGTAGCTCGCGTCTTTTGTTAATATGATTAAACGCACTGGAAATTGACTGGCCAGCACGAGGGCCAGCAATAAAATATTTGGAAATATTATTTTGGGAGAAACGAATTTTAGAAATATCAGTTTCAACCAGCTGCATGTTTTTAAAAACTGAGTGCGCCTTAGCACTTTAAATGAAACTTATTTTATTTTTTTTAAATATTGCTTATAAAAGCCAACTGGCTTCCTGTTCTGCTTTTGGAAAGATACTTTTATTCTGCTTCATGCTTAGGCTTTTATGTCCTGAGACGCTGCGATCTTTTACTTAGACACTTTTGCTTTTTTTTTGAACATTCCCCATGCTTCTCATGATGACGCCATCTCGCAGTTGCGTCATTCCTTTTTTTTTTTTTTTTGGGTTTATGGGGTCAAAAACTTTCAAAAATTGCACTAATTTCGAGTCCAAAGCTCTGGTGGGAAGCAGTTGCGCACCGCCTCAAAGGTTGGGTGAACTTTGTTAACTTGAAAACTTCTAAACTGAGCTTAAGGGATCTGGGACTTGGAACAGGTTAAAGGCTTGCATGATTTTGTTGCAATTGATTTTTCTTTCTATCAAGGGTAGCGGTCTGCATCACATGAAAGGGGGGGGGGGAGGGGGAAGAGATCTATTTGCACTTATTTCTTCTAGTTCGCGGCCCCATCTTTTTTATTTTTTTGATTTTTTCAACAGTTCTGTCACACTCACGATTTGATCTTGTCACTGGCCAGCTAGTTTTTTCACTTCTTCACTTGATAAAGCTCCTTTTAGTGTATCTTTGTTCACGAATTCTAGTCTTTTCAGATCTCCAAAATGCTGTCGTCCTTCTGGGCAGTTTTTTCCCTTGCGCTGTCCCTTCATCCACTTAAGGCAGACTAATTCCCCCGGCTGCTTATAACGTCCCTTGTGTTTCTCATCGCCATCGGCTCTACCTCTAGATCTAGATCTAGATTTTCCTCCTCTGGCCGCTCCTCTGCCTGCTGCTTTGAGATTCCGAGTTTCGGCTTCTAACTGTTTTGTCTTGGCTGCCGCTTGATTCTGCACCATCTGCGCCACTTCATTCTTCATTTTCCTCGCGAGCTCGGCTTCAAGACCGGCTCGTCTCTTCTCAATTGCTACATTTGAGATGAGATCTGGTAGGACGTTGCCAACTATCGTGGCCTGTAGTTGCCTCTGCTGGACGTTCGGTCCTGGTGCGACTGGTGCAGGATGCGCAAGGTTTGCCTTCATTGACGAATTAAGAAGGTCGTAAGCGGCTGCTAGCGAAAGCTTCGTCTCTGTACTTTTTGGGTCGAAGGAGCCTGTTACTGCCTTCATCATGGTTTCTTGCAGCGTGTTAGCATCTACATCATCAATAATTTGCGCGCATCTAAAAGCTGCCACTAGCGCCAAGGGGAACAGATTGAGCGAAGCCGGAGGCTTCAATAACTTATCGTAGTTGTACGCTTGCAGCTGTCGCAATAAGAATAGATATTGCGCTGGGGTACACTTGTGCCGTAGCAGTTGACAACGCTCAGTGACCAACTGCACTTGCCCATCTGTCGGAATACCGAGTCCCTCATTCTCGTGCACTGCTTGTTGCCTAGCAATATTGTCGCTCATCTGGATCATTGCGTTGAGTGCATTCTGAGGAATCGGGTCGGCTGCGAAGATGACCGGCGCGGCTCCATCTTCGGGCACTGGGCCGAAGGCTTGAAGTCCGTCCATTTTTTTGAAAGGAAACAACTATATCAATCCAAGGACTTATTGCTGAAATTATTTAAAAACGAAAAACGGGCTGCTAACAATAAACAAACATCTACTAACACTAAGCATCACCTGCTTATTTGTATGTTAGGGGGAGTGTGTTTAACGTATCTTTCTCTTGATCTAATATGGGGAAGGTCTGCCGGTACTACCAGCTTGGCTGGCCATTGAAGTTGATGAATCAGCACAAACTAAGCTTGTTGATGGAGACACCCCGCTGACTGGGCCAATCGCCCAACTAGTATCCCTTGGTCCGAAGATTAGCGGCTTCTTCAGTGGCCAGCGCAATCCTACCGAGTCTGGGGCTGCTCTTGCGTTCCCCATATACCTATGCAAACTATCCAATGAAGCCCATCTGCCTACAGTCTGGATATCGTGGTCTTCAAGGCCGCCATCAGCGGCCGATCTAGCTCCTCCTATTCTCAAAGCGTGCAGCGTCATCACTTTCTTTTCTTGTTCTCCTCCGTCTGATGGACTAACGACATTGGTTAGGCGCAGAAGATTTTCCATTAGCACTAGAAGCGACCGCGATGGAACGTTTGAGAAATATGCGAATTCTTTCTCAGAGCAGCAGCAAGTAGGACAAATTCTTATAAACCCTGCTCCTATGGCTGGCGCAGTGTCGCAGCAACACTGAAGTTCCGTTGTCTTGATCTTCGTGCCGAACTGGTTGTCTTTCGAAGAGTCTACTATTATTTTGCAGCTAATCCTTGTGAGTTCTCTTGTAGTTGTAGCGGTTTCATCCAGTCGCATCATGTAGAACCAGCAAAAAATAGCAAACCGTAGAAACGGAACGGCTTGTACTTTTTTATCTCCTACCGCAATAGTTGCCAACGGTACGATGGTCAAGTGCAGGACCATACACATAATGTGGCTTAACCTCACCCCTTGCTGCTGAAACTGCATAGGCCGTGACCGAAGAAACATCCTCTGTATATGCGCAACTGCTCTACGTGTAGATGATTCCATAGGTTTAATCAAATCTGCAAAGCATTTGAACTGTTCGATATACTGCGCCTTCGACTTCTGGAAATGTCTACACTTCTGGAACGCCTGCGCGAGCAATTGCACAGATCTGACATTAATATGATTCGGATGAGGGTGGAGGGAAATGATCAACATCATCTCGATGAACTTCTTATATGCGGAACGATATGATCTAAGCGATGACGCAGCCAATCTTGACTGCTTGTCGAACAAACTGATTTCCGCATCCAATTTTTCGATGAAGTTATTGAACTCATCAGCTAGGCCATCTACCGCAGGAATATCACTGGGGCGTCGCTGCGGGAATTGAAGAAGTTCTTCTTTGATCAGTTGAAGTGTAGTTTCCCAATCTACTAAATCACCTGGCCCGACTCTGCGAGCTGCTGGCGCAAAAGGAGCACTTGATGAAGATGCGCTAGCTTTGTCTAATTGTCGATTAAAGCACCTGCTCTTGTTCTTTTCAGAATTCAGGTCCGGAAGCTCGGTCCTCACTACTTCGCCATCTTGAATAGCCGCAAAAGCTTCCTTGCACTTATTTTCGATAAATGCATCATTCACGGGGGGAGGGGGATGTAACTCTGCGAGCTGCTGGTCTTCTGAGTCTAAAGGTAGACCAAATGCTTCTTCTGCAGGTTGCGTTATGCCTTGTTCGATTTTAAGGCCTTTACTAAACTTCTTCAATGCTTCTACTGGTAATCGAAGTGCTTCGCTCTTCTTCACCTCTACGCGGGATGCTGAACGGCTAGCCGCTACTTCTCTTGTTCTAGAATTCGCTTCTTCTACGCTTATACTATGCTTCTTGTGGTTACAAGGCTGCGCTGCTTTTAACTGATCGCTAAAGGCGACAAACTCGCTTGATGGTCTACTTTTTCTGTCTTCTATGAAGGCCAGCAACCTGGCAGACCTTCCTGGCATTATGTAGGGGGGTGGTGGTGGGGCAGAAAATTTTTAGAACTAGTTATCTGAGCAAAACAAATTACTTAGTATTCCTTGCCCTATCGGATCTTTAGTTTGTGATTGTAAGATCTTAAGACGTAGATCAATTGATGAGTTAATTCCGAATTATCCCAAACCTACACCAGCCACGATAATTCACATTAATCTCTCGAGTTGATCTCTCTAGCCGGCGAACACTTCCTCACATTCGTCGCGTTCGCCTAATAGCCAGTTTTTTATTTGTTAACCACCTAAGTTTCAGTGGATCTTTAAACTTGACAAACAGTAGGCTAGGTCTTATCTTGATCTAACTTGTTGTTTATTTTTTCTCCAGCCTAAAGTGCTGACCAGCTAGACCTTGAGCTTGTTCTTCTTTCTGGCTTGTCAACTACTGGGCCTAACTGATCTTCTTTTGTTGGCTCAAATTCTGATCTGATGATCTTCCGTAGCTACGTTGCCAAGATTATATCTCCATGGCAACCACAATCAGAATTGTGAGGCAACGGAGAACTACTTTTCTTATAGTCTACTTTTCTTTCTTCTGGTCTTTTGATTTTTCCTGACTTTTCTACGTACGGGGATGGCGCGGACGTTAGCCCGTTCATACTATTAACCTGCTCTGCTCGTTATCTGAGCAAAACAAATTACTTAGTATTCCTTGCCCTATCGGATCTTTAGTTTGTGATTGTAAGATCTTAAGACGTAGATCAATTGATGAGTTAATTCCGAATAATTACTTAACAACTCGAACTCCGAAAATACCCACTCCTCTCTCCTCCGCTGTAGCTTTCCACACCTTTCTTTCCTTTGCCCTTTCCCGATTTCGCGTCATCCTGTTCGCGTCGCATATCTGCCATCGTCCTCATTTTGTCGGATGCTTGTGGGCAAGGATGTGGGCAAGGAAGATGTAGAAGATGTGCGAAAGGCTAGGATTCAACACCGCACGATGGACGGGAGTGAAGGTATGTTTTTTTCTCTCTGTCTCTCTGCCTACACCTAAAAAACAGTAAGCAAGTGGTTTCAACACAAGCAAAGCCGAACAAATAAGAAACAAATTATTTGAAATTGAATTTTTGAAGTGGATCAATATTAAACTACACTCTGAAAAAGAAAATGTATCGCTGGTGTTTTTGAAAGCTGAAAAGGATGTTCAAGGCGTTTGCAGGGCGCTTTTATTTGTTGTGTCACTGTCTGCTGTGGTTTGATTTCAAGACTGTAGTGGGAGACTTTTCTACAGAGTGGGACTGTAGCGACTCTCTCGGTCTCGCAGCTGTCCGTTAAAGTAGATCTGCTTGCGGGCCATTTCGATTCACCTAGCCCTAAGCACACTTAGAAATTTCAGCAAGGTTCGTTGTTGAAAACATGATGCTGATTAAAATTCATTGTCAAGGCTCGGGCAAAAATACAGGTGATGGAACACGTTCTTCATGCTGCACGTTCGCGAGTATAATTTTTCAGACTAGTCTCGTTTCTATACTGGAGGATGCTGGACCAACCTCATTTTTCGTGCAGTCGCTGGGCGTAAGGATGCGTTTGTTCATCTCTTTTGATGCTAGTGCACTTCGCGGTGTTTCTAGGAATAGTTGTGGAATTATAATGTGAAGATTAAGAGGACTCTGCTGATTATACTGGATGCTTTCATGTGCGAGTTCTAATATGTAAGCGTGTGAAGAATACGGAATGCTCCTGGTTAATGTTACAGTTTGGTAGGTAATGAGCTTGTTTTGTTGAAGAGTCAACTGTGTAATTTATTGAGCTATCTTAGTGACAATAGTCGCGCGATAATCATGAACTCCGCCCTGTGCATATTAGAGTCAGGCATATTATAATTATCCCGTGTGAAAATATGATATCGTTGTGTCTGAGTACAGAGTATAACTTGTGTTTCCCGTTGTATGAGTATGGTCGATTATCTTTTGATGGTCTAAGTAAGCTAGGTTAGTATGTTGTTGAAGTTGAGGTAACTTAAATAATGTGTATGAGAAAAATAAAGAAGCTTCTGATGTAGACAGTAGATGAGGTGTTTCGAACGAAGCTTTGAGAAAAAAGATGACGTCCCCAAGCAAAAACAGCCCCAATCCAAGTCAATACGCCCTCGACGTTCCTCCTCCTGCTTGTCGTGGCGATAGATAGGCAGCTAGTGTGATCCAGCTCATGATGAAGAAGATGATGGCTAGCATAAGGATCCTTTTCAGCGTCACGATGTCGCTTTGCAAATTCAGCACCTCCTGCAGCCGAGATGTGTAACTGCTCATCCGGTCACTAAAACTGCGCATCCCGAGGGAAAGAAAGCATTAGAGTGCGAGGCATCTAACTCTGAAGTGATCCACTCTCATGCAGCTGAAGTGCTGAGGCATCATGATGATGATCCTAGCTTAGATTATTTTTATTATCATTCTAATTTGTCATTGTCTACTTCGCTGTCTACGACATCCTCGAGCGCATGCCAGGTGAAGCAAACAGAGAGAGATCGAGATTCGAGAATGAAATAAATAGCGGTTAATTAAGCGTGAGATAAGAAAGTGCTGGAAGAAGGTTTAGTGCTGGATAAAGCAGAGAGAGAAGAGTAGGAGAAAGAAGAAGAGAAGTCTAGAAGAAGAAAAAAAGAAAGGACGAGAGAAGAAAGAAAGAAATTTTATTTCAAGAAATTTTGATCCAAGAACCTCCATAAGATCCCTCCCCCACTCTCGTTCCATCCCGATCTTCAGCTAAAAACCCGTTGACTCCCGAATGCTCCACTTGTTCTGTCGCATAGCGCAACTCCTCCCGCATCCTCAATGCTTGATTTTCTAGCCTTTCAGTGATGCGGTCTAATTCCTCCAAGTGTGTGTCTTGCTTTTCTAGTGCGATGTTGGCTAGTTCGATCTGCACTGGCGCTGAAGTTGAGGTGGTTCCACGTTTGGGGGTGGTTCGCCGGATGTTCTTGTGCTGGGATTGGAATTTCTTGTCCTCCCCATCTCCTATGAACATCTTCGTAGACAGCAACGACTCTTTTGCGCTTCCTCTTGCTAACTGCATACGATCTTGCTCTTTCAACGCTTGTTGCACTAGTGCAAGAGTTCTGGGATCATCTCTGCTTCTCTGCGAGCTTGTTCTACTAGAGGGGCTACTTCGCCCGGAAGCTGCCGAAGCAACGGAAGAGGACAATTTGGAGGAACCACGACTGCTCATACTCATCGAGGCCGATTCGGATGATCTGCTTCTATTTGAGGAAGCAGGCTGAAGATGCTGCTCTATGTCAAAAGGCTGCACTTGAGATCCTGACTCAGAGGAGGATGCACTTGCAAGAGCAGGAGGTCTCATGTGCCTCTGGTGTACAACCTCGTTCTTGTCCCCCCTGCCCCGTTGTAGTTTTCTCTCAAGCAGAGGCCGCTTCTTTTCACTGACAAGAAAAGCAGACTCCTGCACAAAATTATCCACGTTGTCTAGACCACGTGTAGCCCCCCCTTTACTTTTAGAAGCTGCAGCACCTTTGGCTTCTTCAGGTTCTTCGTTTTCGGCTGCGGAGGAAGAGGAAGAACTACTCGAAGAAAATCCTAGCACATTTCCACCATCTGCTTCTGATGCAGAAGACGGAACTGCAGTTGATAATCCGGAAGATATCCCTACGAAAAAACGAGACAGCATTTCCGTGCCATCCTTCATCTTTTGAATGTCCTGCTCATGTTCGTTTTTCAGCTTCTCCGTGAAAGTGGTAAAGTTGTTCTGCAACCAGTCCTTAGCCGGCGACAACGCTTCAGCAGTTTGCTGCACTAGATGACGCGCTGGGGAAGTCGTACTCGTCACATCCACAAACTGACTCTCAAATTGTTTTTGTTTGTCTATCTGATGTTGCAAGTAAGCAGACTTTCTACGGGCAGCAGCGAGGACGAAGTCGTCTTTCTGAGGAGATTGAGGTGCTGACATCGACATGGAGATTGCTCCAGTTTTTCGTAGAGCGGTATAATAATTTTCAACAACAGGTGGACTGCTCCCAACATCTTCACTTTTTAGAGCTACCGCGGTCGCATCCCTGAGAGCATCCTTGGCTTCCTTTTCAAGTAGAAAGAGAGCCAAGGATAATGTTGAGGATGCTTCAGCGGTAGCCTTAATTCACCGTCATCTTCAGGCGTTGAAGAGATGTCAAAATGTTCGACTAGACTACTTCTAGCAGAACCTTGTTCTTGTTGCCCACCTTCTCTAGTCGTGTTTCGTCGTGTGTTGTTCTTGCTCATGATCTCTGACTCTGACACAGATCGAGGAGATAGAGACTTCGATCCTCGACGCATGATGTGTTTGTGCACGACGACCTGGGGTTGCAGAGGAGCAAATACTTGTCGACTAGTATCCACATCCACTTCTGCTGGAACAACGTGCTGTGAGGAGAGAAACGGATCATCCTCGACACCAGGCTCTCCTCCTTCGAGGAGGACTTCTTGCTCACCACTATTTTTATATTGCGTCTTGATATTTTTATTTGGAAGATGTTCACCTTCACTTGTTTCATCTTCCGAAGTATCCGCCTGCATCTTCTGGACTACATCTGTCAATGCAGCAACACCATTTCTCAACGTGGCTGCTGCCCCAGAGCGATAGAAGTAGTCAGTCGCATGCTCGAGAGGTGCTACTAGAGCAGGTCTTGCCACTACATTTCTTCCTGCTGCTGAAGAAGGTTGTACACCTCTTTGTGCTGGGGAAGGAGACGATTGTTCGTCCTCTGTAATAGAGAAAGGATTCGTCCTCACCTTCTTCGAGTTGTTCACAAGTAAAAGTCTTTGTTCTTGTTCTTGCTGTTGCTCCTCTATCTCTTGCGAAGATTGTTGCTCCTGAACGGAAACTTCCTTCGATGAAGAAGGAGGAGGATAGAGTTCGCCCGCAAAGGATGAGCGTGAGGTTGTCTGACTACCTGCCAAAATAGGAATCTGTTCAGACTCATAATTATTGTTGTTGTTAGTGGTTTGTACAACTAGGTTATCTGCTGGCTCATCGACGCTGACCGGAAGGTGCTCTGAGAGCGAATTATTTGCCGTGCTTTCTTCAACTTCTTCATTGAGACGTTGTGTATGATCTTGGATTTCCCCTACAACAGTGCTGCTGCTCTTATCTTGCTCATTTTCGGATACCTCCACTCCTTCTGCTTCATTATAAAAACCGGAAGAGGAAGTAGAATCTTGTGAAACAGAGGCGGATGACTCTGGTTCGATTCCCCTTTTGTCTGTTCGCCCAGAAGCATCTTGATCAAGTACAATACCTGCCAACAGCAGCTCATCTGCCAGACTTATTCTCTTATTACTCCTTTGTTCTTGACGCCTGGTGCTTTGGGATGGTTGTTCTAGTGGCGCTTCGCCATCTTCACCTTCTACTGAGTAATCCGAGTAAACTTCTATCAAGTCCTCATCAAGTCTGCCTCTTTTCCGAATGTTGCTAACTGCATGTCTGCTCTCCACAGCCACTCTGGGTCCTGCAGTTCTCTTCGGCCTACTTCTTAGAGGTACTTAGGCTTTTGGTGCTCGTTTACCCCATTCGTTATGCCTTTCCTTTTTCAGAAAGGCAAAAGAAACGGTAACAGGAACACCTTTGGCCTGTACCCTTAAACTTCCTTTAACTCGTTGTCTCCCGCGACTGCTAGAGTTGGAGACAACAGATCTGGCATTTGGACTCTGCGGAGCAGACATGGGTGCCATGATGAGCGAGCTTGTTGCTAGTCTTGGCTTCTTGGAGCCGGCAGGTGGAGCGGTGGAGGTGTCCTGATGTTGGCGATGGTGAAGATGGGGAAAGATATTTCGTCTTGAAAAGACACAAGGATAGAAATAAAAAAACGCTGCAATGGATGACGATTTTGATGCACCAGGGGTCAAAGAAGTAGTACCTGCACACCACTCATCTTTTGCGCCTTCTGAAGCCGCCAACGTCAGCTGTCGTGAAAATCTAATTTTACTCCTTATGATCATCTATTTCTTTTTCTATGACTGTGACTACAGCCCTAGCCCTACTACTTGTTTGCATAACTTATAGGAGGTAAAGAAAATGCGTCATGTTGTTGAATTGGAGCAGCACAAAAATTCACTTATATATAATAGTGGTGATGGATCTAGTCGAGCAAAACGTAAACGAATTCTAGATACGTATACGATGACGACAGCACTAGCGAGTGCGAGTCTTTCGCCGACGAAATGAACTCCGACACATTGAACTTTACTACGATATAACTTCACTACGAGGACCACGCCTACTAGACGAAGATGCTTGAGCTTGTTGATGTTGCTGTTTGCTAAAATATTGTTGGGCCCAGGTTACCGTTGCTTTTCTCGTTTTCTTTTCTACGAATTCGTATTGAGTCTTTCATGTCAGGCGGGTTCGTCATTATGAAGCAGATAATGATGACTACGAATAGGACATATGACATAGCTTCACTAGCTTGTAGTTGCATGTCCGTCATGGTAGATTGGTAATATTTGGACTTATATGAAAATACATCATCTTCAAGAGAGATCTTCCACTCACCTTCTCCTCACACGGACATCGACATACTTATATGAACTACTGCCATGATCAAGATCCAGAAAGATCTTCTACTCACCTTCTCCTCCTAGACGGCGACCGCGAACTACCTGTCCTACTATGTTTTCCCCTAGTTGGTGATACTGACCCTGATCTCACTGGTGATTCGACTCGGTTAACGTGCCTCAAAGCTCGTGGCATGGTGCAGATGTAGAGGAAGTAGTCTTTCTCGATATAATCCGACAGTTCGTCATCTCCATGATCCTCTTGGTCGATCTCATCACGTCTTTGTTCGCCATAGAAGCCACCGCCTCCGAGGAGCTCGAGATGTTAGAGACCTCCAAAATGCTTTTTTAAGTGCTACACTGAATGAATGAATGAATGTGCCTAGCGCGAGGTGGTTCACTTAAAATCATAATCTTCCTGTTGATCATCATCAGGAACTTCCTGAAGATTCGGTAGTTATCAGAAGAACTAGTGCATGTTAGTAGTAGTAGTAGTAGTGTACCCAATCGTGGGGTATGTACGACATTTGATTATGTTTGATCATCATGTTAAAGTTGATCATCAGGTTAAGGAAGACCTAGCCTCTGCGTCTGCCATAACCAGTAGTCCCTACTCCATCCTGCGTTCCTGGCAAAAATGGTACATTCGGTTTCCGCATCCTTGACACTTCGATCCTCCATGGCGCGGTGCCGTTCAACGTCAAAATCCTTGGTACTCGTTGCGTCGGTGGCACTGTCGACACCGACAAGAAGAACCCACCAGGCGTTAAGACTCGCAAACCTTAGAGGAAAGGAGGACCTTCTATTGCACTCGCCTCCGGGGCAGCGGCCTCCCTGACAGCATCCTTGGTCTCTTTTTCAAGGTCGGAGAAAAAGAACCAAGGATGTTGACGCTGAGGATGCCTCAGAGTTATAATCTGCCTTAAAAAACCTCAGAAACGCATTTCTTCATGTCATTTTCAACGTCAAGCGCCTGCTGAGCCGCCGTCTTCGTACTGTTGTGCCAGTGAGTTAAAGTTGTCGAGGCCTCTAGGATATCAAGAGTCGCTTTGTCGATGACGGCGCCAAATGACGCGTTCGGAAAGGATTTCATGTTGCGGCAATCCATTTGGATGTACTCCATCTGTTATAATTTTGAGGAAAGAGTTTTCAGTGTCGTAGATGAACTAGAATGCGCATTCTCATCCGTCGTCTAATTGTTGAGGTCGTGGTGGACCATGTAACTCTAACTGACACACATCAAGAACCATGTCTCTCTAGAAGAAGTAGGCTGACACACATCAAGAACCGTTAAGTACTATCAATCGTTCCTTCGCAAAATTAAGAACGTCATCAATTTCAATACGTGAATATCTCATGGACACAACGTTCCTTCGCAAAATTAAGATTATCAACAGTTGATGGCGATGTGATGAAGCAAGGCGAAGGTCTTCATCTACTACCTCGTCAGCATATCCCTTCTTCGCTAGCTTCCGGCTCATGATATCCACAACGATGGCGTTGCGGTCGATGCAGGTGACATTCTTGTACCCATCCTCGTAAAGCCCAAATGGCAAGTCGCTGTTCCCGTTGCCAATGATCAGTGTTTCTGGAGCTATTTCGTCTGGCGCGGTTTCGCGTTTCTTAGAGTGAGGATGTCTTCAGATTCCATGTTGAGCTTCTTCATCCTCACTCTCGACATTACATGTTCTGTGAAGATGATAGACGTTTATTATATGCTATGATTCTGATATGAAATGTATTTACACGACTGAGTACGCTAGAAGAAGAAGCTTCCTCGGTTGTCAACCTTTCGACTGCAATTCTTGCCACTTGAAATCGATGGGAAAAATATATAGACGTTGGTTAATCATCTTTCAAATGTGTAGCATGCATGCACAACCACAAGCATGAAAGCCTCTCCTGCCTTAACATACGTCGCTGCCAGCAATCCTCGCAAGCTCGAATAGTCCATATACCAATCGAATCCGAAAGCTCTTTGGGCCATATACCTTTCTTCCCAGTAGCCGTCGGTGTAAACTGGAGGCACATCGGTAGCTAGTTTCGCCCAGACTTGGTTCTTCATTGCCCTATCCTTTTCTATTTGTTCTTTGGAAATTGCTGTCTTGTATCGAGGTGAGACCGTGATCTCAAGATAGTCCCCGTCGGAGTCTGTTATGGCTGCGCCAGATGCAAAGAGTTGCGTCGAAACAGGGGCTCCTTCGTCTTGTATTGTCGAAACAGGGGACCGAGAAGGACTCGTCAGCATCGGAGGTAGTCCTGGAATACCAGACACAGGACGGTTAAACGTGCTGACTGCTGAAGCTGCTGAAGAAGCTCCTCCTCGAGTTCTCGGACTTCTAGAAGCTGTTGTTCGTTGTTGTTGTACTTGTACTTGTGCTGTTCTTTCGCGCGGCTCGGAAGGGGCATCAGTTGCAGGGGCATCAATTGTACTAGTACTGGACGTCGAACGTGCAGCAACAATACTGATCACTGGTGGGGCAGCTCTTTCTGTTCTTGTGGCACTACCAGGTCGTGTATCCTTGCTTTCAACAGCTCCATCTTGTCCTAGTCCTTCTGCTTCTTGCCCTGTCGTAGTTGCGGCACCTCCACCTCCTGCTCTACTAGAACTAGAAGTAGAGGCTCCCCTAGGACCTGCTGTTGTGAACGCTACTAGAGTTTTTGTCTTAGCAGCGCCGGCAAGAATGTTTTCCTTGGATAGTACTGGAGCTGGGGGAGTTGTGCTCGTGCTTGCAGTAGACGAAAGGGGACTCCGAATCGGATGTTTGAAATTGATCTTGGTCTTGGTTGTGGGACTAGATGAGCCTTCAGCTTTTCTACTCCGAATAGCGTTAGTAATCTTTTTCTTATCTCCGAAATCCATATGGTTCTCATCAGAAGAGGAATCATCTCGTCCTTGTTTGTTCTCGTCCCTCCCATCTAAAAAAACATCGTCCGATGAAAACGTCCGGATAGAGACTTCCTCGCGCATGACCACGTGTTTTTTTTCTCCATCATCATCTTCGTCATCGCCTGCCACCATTGCAACATGAGCGTGTTTTTTCTTGCTGGTTTCGCCTTCAGCGTGGTGACGCAAAATGCCATGAGGTTTGGCTGCTGCCGCCGAAGGGCTTTCTGGCGTATCTGCGGAAGTTCTTATTTCCTGCTCGCTCATTTTGGGAAAGCGATTGTGGTTGTGGTGGTGTATTTGATATAAAGATGAGGAGTTCTTTTCGGCGTTATGCTATGAAGAAGAAGGATGACACCAGCACCAGAGGGCTTAGGGTTCAGCAATTCTACAGCAACACCATGAACTGACTCTCTACAACGATTAGAAGCTTGTTCTAGCAGCGTGGATTTTGATGACAACTTGTTGAATCTAATTTCGCGCAGGAGGAAGTTGGACGAGTTAGCAGTAACGAGAGCGAGGACAAGGATATCAAAACGAGAAAGAAATACCGGTTTAGCACGATCATCAACCTTTTACTCGATGTGATACGATTACGAAGACCAAATAGTAGTAGGTTCAATAAAACGAAGTTAAGTCTTCTAAAGTGGCTTGCTACAACCGCGAGGGAAGAATGCTCGTCACCCTAGTACTGCTGCAGCCAGTATAGAGTTCGAGTTCAAATGTGGCATCATGAACATGAATGTTTGTGTATCAGCAATAAATATTGATTTACGTGCGGTACTAATACCATTCATCTGTGTTGAGAAACTCAAATTGCGTGAAATTCTTGTATGTAAATGTCTAAGCAAACGCGACCACAGGATTCTGCTGCAGCATCAAATGCAGCCCCTACCCTACTTCAAATATCCCATCTGCATCCCTTGGCAAGACTGCTTTGTTCAAGGCTTTCACCCGCTTCCGCCATTGATGCTGGATAAGCAAAGCACTGGCGTTCTGCTGAAGACTCTCCATTCTGGAAAATGCTCTGACACCTTTTCCAACAACTTTGTCAACTATGGCGGTGCCGGACGTGAGATCTACCTTGTATTTGATGCTGCTTTTGCTAATCTTGTGCGGATTGTTGACGTCGACTCCCTCAGAGGATGAAGAAGCATGGGACAGGATCGTTTGCGCAGGATTAGCCCAAGCGGAGGAGGAGTCTGAGGCAGAAGCGGATTCAGAGGCGACGACAGGTCTAGTAGCGTGTCGAGGACTTTTGGAAGCAGCAGCTCTTTGAGTGGTGCTATTCGCTTGTCCTGTACTCCTGCCCTGATGAAAAGCGTTGTACTTCTGGTGTAGTTCCACGTCACTCGCGGAGTCTTCAGTACAGCTGCTATCGTCAAATAGTCTACCATCTCCACCTAGACCCATTCTTTCCTCGATAGCTTGCTGTGTCTTCGCTACTAGAGCAGAAATCTGAGCTGTATTACCCATCTTCGCGTCTTTAAATGCCTCTAGATGTTGGTCACCTCTGCGTTCTTGTTTTCGTGCTGCCGATGTGCCAGGACGAACTGCTGCTGCTGTTCCAGGTCTAGGTGGAGGCGCTGATGTACCCGGACGAGTATTTTTTCCGCTATTGATGGTGGTCTGAGTGCAGCGACCTTGTATCAAATCCTCAGCAGCTTTCAGTTCTTCGAGAAGGATGCGCTCTACCTCTTTGTTCACGAAATCCTTAGCTGCGCGAATGTTAAGGTCGAAGGCGACGCCCTGGAGGATATTGTTGTGCTTGTGACGAGCAAGGAATGATGGGAACGAACAAAGGGAAGGACCACGGGGAGGGCAAAAATGATAATTCAGTTTCTTCAGACCAAAAGCAAAATAAATGTAGAAGTAGTAGTAGAATAGATTGAACTTTAAAATGAACAACATTAGACCTCAAGTTCCCGACTGACGACCAGTCCCTTTGTCTGCGCTTTGATGTGCTCCTGCTGTTCGTATGACAAATAACTAAACCGGCCTACTTCGTCGAAGTGCAATCCATTATACACTGCACTCTCAGGCGGTTCCTGCTTGATGCGTGTAGCCCAAAGGTCTGATTCTTGGTCGGAGGTTTGTCCTTCACCTGGAAAGTCATCTACTCCTTGACCATCACTCCTCGGAGGCACCAAAGTGGCGACATCATGTATGAAGCGAAAAAGTGCACTCACACTCAAGAAATTGGCTAGGATTTAAAAAGCAGGAAAATAGCCACTTTTTCTGAGTTTGAGTGCACTTTTTTCTTTCATATCATGATTGCCCCTTTTGCCAGGACTTGATGTCGACGGCAAAGACAATGGCGACAGTGGGTCTTTCAAACTTTGACGTCTGCGGACTGGAGATGAAGCGATCATCCCTCCAGGACTCGGTGCAGCAACAAGCAAAGAGGTCGAGGAAGGTCCCACAACGCTAGTGGGGCTTCTCGTTGATATCGAGTGTTTGGGACGACCGCGTAGACCACCTGCTTTGACGTGCAAATTGTTCTGAATTGTGTCTAAGATCATGTTGTCTTGACCACGACGAGTCTGTTGAACTTCTCGTGCTGACTGGTGTTCGTCCTTGAATCGTCGCTCTGCCTCTAGTGCTGCTTGGGGATCTCGCAAGTGTAAATGTGCGTTTCCGACGTCCATCACACTGCCTACGCCTTTCATATCCGACACTAGCTGTTCGACTTTGCGGAGAATCGTGTCACTCTGTTGAACAAGATGTGGCGAGTTCGCCTGTGCATGCGGACCCCTGACTTTCATGCCCTTGTTCTGCAAGTGTTTGTTCCTAGTGGGAACGGTAGAAAGACCAGCGTGGGTGGCTGCATCCATAGCCTTCAGAAGTCTAGAGCGAGCTCGTTTATGTTCTTCTTCTAGTTTCTTTTGCTCACGCTTCTTCTCCTTGATCAGTCGCTCGATGTGCTTCTGCTTATCGCTCAACTCGCGATGACGTTGCTCCTCTGCTTCAGTCATGCCTTGTTTTCCTCCACCACTGTTGTAGGAATTATGGGAGTTGTCTTCTAGTAGAGAGTGGGAGTTGTTTCCGCCTGGATGGTTGAAGGAATAAGAGGCATCTCCATGACAATCATGATCATCATCGTCAAGATAAGCCCCATCATCATCACCGGCTCCCATCCCATACCGCATCGCGCATCTTTTTTCAGTTCGCGTTCCACCTCGTTGACCTCGTTTCACTCGCTGTTTTGATCGTGGCGATAGTCTTCCTGGCGACAGACTACGGCGCCTCTCGTCTTTCATATCTGCACGGTCTTGGGTGTGTAGTGGTCGCAGACTTCGCGGTCCTGGAGATGGAGACCTAGTTCCTTTGGGACTTCTTGATCGAGAACTACCCTTCTTCTGCCTATAGTCTCCGGTCAACAAGTTCCCTGCTCCACTGAGAGGACTGCGACCGCGAGTGTGTGAAGCATCAGACTTTTTCACTGCCATTTGATTGTTGTGATGTACTTGCTCGATAGCTGCGTAGGACTTTCGCTGCGATGGAGAAGAGCCTCTCCTTTCTCTTGCAACCGGTGGTGGTGGTGGGCTCTCTAGACGATCCAAGGAGATCATTCCAGCATTTTTAGAGGTAGGTTTTTGGTGCTTGCTTAATACCCCGCTTTTTATGCCTTTCTCCCTTAGGAGAGGCATAAAAAGCGGTAAGAAAAGCACCTTTAACCTACTTACCCTTAATTCTTGGATCACCTTCCATTGCGCCACCCATTTCTCGCAGTAGTTTCTCTTTCAACTTGCGTTGATTCTCCGCCTTCTCATTTTCTCGCATTTTCGCCCTCCGTTCTTCCTCCAACCGTTGGCGTTCTGCTATTTGTTGTTCTAATTTACGTTTTTCGACCAGCAAAGGCTCGTCCCACATCTCCTTGCGGACTTTAGCGGCGTTCTCTTTCGCGCGTTTCTGAATGTCGGCGTCGGATAAGAGGTGGTCTTTCCTAGCTTTCGGAGACGATCCGCGTCGAGATTGCTGTCTATGTTTCAATCGAGCGTTGATTTCAGCCGCTTCTCGCATTTGGCTATTACGCTCCTCCGCTGTAGGATAGTCGATGAAGTCGGTCTGTTGTCTCAGATCTGGAGTCTGCCAGGTAGCTGGACCATGAAGGTGATTGAAAGCACTCACGTCTGCTGCATTAGGGTCGTACTCGTTATAGTCGTAGTTACCTCCTTTTCCGCCCATAGAAGTAGGAGACAGACCAACAGGAACAGGGCCACCACCATGATAACCTCCACCTCCTTTGTTCATTTTGCCTGCTCCACTTCTACCTCTACTAGCATGCTGTTCTGGTGGCGGCATCCGAACTCCAGCTAGGACAGTTTCTAGACTTTCACCAGGATCCCCATTGTCGCGCATTTGCCTTTCCCGTGCTTGCCTTCCTAGCGATTCCACGAGGTCTGAGGGTTCAAACTCTGCTCGTTTTACTGGAGCAGCAGCCGTCGTCGGACGTGCTGCTGCTGCTGCTGAAGACCACGTTTCAATTGGTGGAGGGCCTCTCTCCATTTCCTTGTCTAGTTTCTTCATCGCTTTGCGCTTCTTCTTGTCTGCGGCATTGTCTTTGACAGCCTTGTGGTGGAGTTCATCCTCGCTCAGACGACGGTCTGGGTCTCTAGGAGAAGAAGATATATCCTTGTTCTTGGCGTTCTTGTTCTTGTTGTTTTTCTCAACATGTTCATCTTCATCAGTTCCTGGGTATCCTTCGCCAGTGGAGCCGTTGTCAGCGTTTTCTGTTCCGGTATCTTCGTCACGACCATCTAACAGCAAGTCGCGCTGAAGATTCGTGAAGTCGTATTTGTCGTTGTTAACAGCACCAAGACTTTTTTCGTTCTGTTTCGCAAATAAACGCTGATACAAACGTTCTGCCTTCTTTTTCTCCTCCTCACGCTTGGTTCTGGCTTCTTCCACTTGTTTGAGAACTTCTCCTTCTTGTCCCAGATAGGGCTTCCGAAACTGACTTGGCGGCTTGTCCGGACTGCGCTTGTGCTGCAAAGCATCGAGCTTCTCTGCTTCTCTGGCAGGCAGCTCTCTTGCGGCAGCTTTCGACTTCTCAGCCTCGTATTTGAGTGCCTGAAGATAGCGTCGGCGCATCTCAGGCGAAGGTAATCGTGCACTGAGGAAAACGTTCTTGTCATGTTCTGCTTGCCACGCGGATTGGTTTTTAAGAAGCGGACTCTGAGGTCTGGGAGAGGTCGGTGGAAGCATGTAGTTACTACCTCCATGCATGTTGTTCCCTCCATTGTTGTGCGGACTAGGAGAAAACATCCCCAACCCTGAAGATGGATCGTCATATAATTGCTGATTCATCAGAGGTGGTGAGCGCTGTTGTCCAGGTGCAGCATAAGCATTCTTGATCATCTGCGACGCCGGAGGTGCTGGTGTATTTGCGTAGGGGCTATGGGCTAAGAGAACTGGAGACTTCCCTAGTTTAGCGACTGGACTGAAGGTTGAAGAAGGTACTTTCGTATCGCTGTCCCAATCTCCCGGGTGATGAACTACTGCGGCAGAAGGAGATGCGTTACTACCGAGAACTCCTGGTTGATGAAGATTGGAACTTGGAGACATCGATACCCCAATGTACCGCGAACGTGGTGACATAGCCGCGCGACCGGAAAGGGGACGCAAGTACTGCTTAGGCGATCGGTCGGATAGACTTGGAACAGGGTTGATGCGGTTTAGAAGCTCCGCTTCCCTGAGCCGTTTCTGTTGTAACTGCTGTTCTTGCTCTCTTTGCTGAAGATAGCGCTCGTAGTCCCTTAATTCGCGGCCACGAAGAACACGCTCAGGTCCACTACCTCCAGAGAGAGAAGAATAGAAGTTCTTGGTGGGATGCTGATGTTAGAGCAGGGTGGAAATAAGTGGAAGAACCTAATAAAAATTTGATTTCGGTGGAAAAGACACGACTGAATGGTTGCAAAAGCCGATTGATTCGAGCAAGAGTAAGTAGCTTGTAGTTTTTACATCGATAAGTAGTTTGATCATCACCAAAAGTCTTAATGTTGCCCTTGGACTTGTTCCTTCTGTGACAGGCTTGCAGAGGTCTTGCTATTCCTTCGACCTCCACCTCCACCAGCTTCTTGCAACGACGCTGAATGATCACGGACATGTGAAAAAAGGTCATCCCCATCTCCCTGCTCGCCTGGTGGTGGATACAACGGTGGTGGATCGTTTTCGCCTGCAATGACGAGGCGAAACATTGGAGGCTTGTTTTTCTCACTTCCTGGACCTGGAGGTCCAGCATTGTTGTTCCCACCGGCACCAGCACCAGCTACAGACTGTTTTGACCCAGCAGCACCGCCCACGTTTTGGTTCTTCTTCTTAGATCCACCAGCACCAGCAGCAGCACCCCCACCTCCACGTTTAGGACTTTTGCTTCTTCTAGCAGCAGGACTACAAGGACCCTTTCTAGCACCAGGACTGGGACTTCGAGAGCTAACAGACTTTATTTTCTCAGCTAGTAAAAGGCGTGCATCTTCTGGACTAATGCCCCTTCGTCGTGGACTTGACCTACCCAAAGGTCCGCCTCCCTCAGCGCGTTCAGGATAGTGAAGAAGCCTGATTTCTTCCTGGTCTGGGGAGGCACCTCGACCTCCCAGAGGAGGACCATAATTCACGTTGTCTCCTATTGTGCCGTTCGCATTGCCTCTTGTGCCGTTCGCAAGACCAACAGGAGGTCGTGGAGATGAACCTCGTCCAGCACCTCTAGCTTTTGGACTCCGACTTCGACGTTTTTGTACAGCACTGGAATGCAAGGTGACTGTGGCACTTAGGTCCACTTCAGGTTCCTGGAAACCTCCTCGTCCAGCTTGGTTTGCGAAGCAGGAACTACTAGAAGAACTCATTTTCTTGTGTTCAGTTCTTGAGGATGTGAAATAGCAGAAAAGCATTAATAACAAGTGGAGATGGTTAGTTCAGCTTCAGTTTTGGAACAACGTGAGTATGTCGTAGAAGTTGAGCCTTCTCATTACTTGGCTCATTATTTGGATCTCGATGATCATTGAGGTCAATTTCAATTAAATGTAGTTTATGAAGACTAGAAATACATTATAGAATGAGTTTTAATATCTATCAGAAGTACAGAGCATGAGCAGGCACTTTTCGGTCTGCGCTAACGTGAAGGTCTCCGAATGTCGTCTTGAAAGAGGTGATTGGACTAGACTTTTGGGGCAATCGAAGCTAAGAACGAACCGAGACCGATATCATGGACGAAAACAAGACAGACAGTGACTACATCTTCCGCGTCGAAAATGGAAATTCAGAATCATCTTCCTCGTCGAAAATGGAAATTTCATTAGAACTGTACTAACTTGATCATGATGTACACAACCGAGGGCGATGAACCGACTATGACACGATTATCATGATCTATGTCGCGACTACAGCACTCTTTCGTCTTGAATGAGGGTGGAGCTACCGAGTCGACATCGAAACCGAATAGGTTGACGCCGACACCGAATTTTTGTCAAAAATTCGGTCGAAAGCGGGAACACGCAGTCGAAGGCTCTATTCCTCGGTCTCCTGTGGCGTCAGTCTTTTTTGTTTTTCACAAAAATAACTAGAATGGGGTAAAAAAGTTCGTCTGAAGTCTACTCTTGTAGTGTCTTTAGTGGAGTCAACCACTATATTTTCGCAGCAGTACTATGTTCATCTCTACTTTAGTAGCAAGCAGAAGTAGTAGAAGCCAAGCCTTTTCGTGTTTTGTGATAACGTCAACCTTGATGCATCACAAATACGAGTGCGTAGTTAAGAGGCTTACATCTGCTTTTTTCGATTGTTTCGTCAAACAAGTAAGACCAACCAAAACATCAAAAACCAATCAAATAAATGCTGCCTTCGTTGGTGTTGCTACATCTCTACCAATATGGTTCTCTACTACCCGTTTCCGCGCTCTAGGTGATCTTCCGCACCACCTTCTCCCGCCGACTCCAATGGCAATGCAGTGATCTTCATGATCCACCTCAACAAGCTGCCTTCTTTTATTCCTCTGGGTCGTCTCCCTCTGGCCTAACCAGTTGATGTAGTAGAATGAAGATGGCATGATTATAAAAAGTGATCATCCCGGATCCGGATCATCTTCTTGATGTCCCACGATCGTCGCCTCTTCACCCATACACTATCGTTGTCCCCGGTTGCTCCGCGTAAACAACTTGGGTCGCCGGTTGTTCGTAAACAACTTGCGTGGCAGGCTGTTGGATCACAGTAGTTGTCTGCACAGGCATAGCCGGCCCGCGGTGGTAGTACGGGTCATAACGCCCGTAGCCGTCGTCGTAGACAACATCGTCTACCTCCACGTACTCATCTGAGAAGCAAATACCCATTTTGTTTCAGAAAAACGATGACGTTATATTTTGAGACAAAATAAGTTGTAAAGCTCGCTGAGTAGAAGACGTAGTTTCTGTCCTTCTCCTTGATGTTGGGACGAAACGAAAAAGGATGATGTTAGGACAAAAAGAAAAAGTGGAACAAGGTGGTAAAGGTCTTACTACGGCGTATTTGATGTGGTTTATGTTCTAGTTCTTCTTGTAGAAGAATGTGGTCACTAGGTCTGAAAATCGAAGATGGCAAAAACCCTATTCTTGTAGGTGGCCTAATACTTCTACGACCTGCTTTTGATACTTAGAACAAACTTGACGTGTTGTAAGTACTACTAACTCTTTTTTCAGAATAATTGTGGAATGCGATTTATCCTCCTGGCTGTGGATCGTGTGGTAGCTAGGAAAATAATGAGATGATAGACAATTTTGTTTTCTGGAGATGATCATCGTTTTGTCATATTGATGATATGGATGCGGATCTTCGACGTTCTGAGGTCGTCAGGCTTACTTCTACGACGTCGATGTGGATGTCGATTTTCGTAATTCTATTCTTTTGGAACTCAAAGGATGTCAGATGGGAATCATGGATCATTCTTTACCAACTGGTCTATTCTTTACCCCTATCAGGTATGGTTTTGCGTTGTTGCAGCTGCTTCTCTTACAATATGATCTTCCTTTACATGCTCTACCATTACATCAGTGCGACGTCATATTAATCTCCATGTAGCTTCCCTAAGCGAACACAACAAATTCTGAAAATGTCAGGAAACAAGACTTCTCAATCTCAGGTACACGACTACAATAGGTTTTGTCAATGTTTATCAGGAAAAAAAAAAGTTGATCGAAGTGATCGTTGTGGGTTGTCAAGAAAAGGAATTGTACAACAGGTGGGTGATAGTGATAGAGATGACCTCTTTGATTTTCTTCAGTTTCATCGACATCACGGTTGCAGTCTTTGGTATATCAAGGGCAACGTCAACACATGATGTAGTAGCTGCATTGCCGAATATGGCTGCATGCTATACTATTTTTAGTATGTGCTGTCGCCACCCCTGCTCGCAGTGAGATGCTGTGAGAGATACTTTTTTCGTAAAACGAACTCAAGAGCCGCAACACTAGCACAGCATTTTCTCGCAATCACAAACACAAAGGACGAACGTTAAGGAAATAAACCAACCTTCAACGCCATTTTTTGAACCACATTCAAAGAACAAACCCACCTTCTATCTAAGTACCTTTATACTCGTCATCTTAACCATTCTATTTCTCGCTTGGCGAAATTTGGAAAAAAGAAACAACATTCCATGCGAAACGACCAATGCATGTTTACAGCTAAGGGCATCGACATTATAGTCCTCGAACAGAGTCCTCCTACTTCATTTACTTCATGCATTCTCTTATTTCATAGGACGAGCATCAATTCTTCGAAGAACAAATGTTCGATTAGCATCAAAGAACAGATGTTCTTCCAACAAAAAGAACGATTTACTGTTACTTTCTATATCATTTTGTTGTTGAAATTACCGATAGTGAAACCACTTTCCATCTTCTACATCTAGAAAAGGTCGTGAGCAGCATTGGCAAGAACAGTCCTAACTCTAACTCCGACTTGACTTTTGCATCCTTTTACCTGCTCAACTACGCAAGTGGCCGAAGGATAGTACAGATTCTGTCCTAGTATTGATTCCTCGACAACAAGAACTTGTTACGACCTCAGGTCCCAAGCCCAAGGGCAAGGCTACAGCCCAAGGCTACAGATAATACCTCGTCCGAGTGGGTACCACGGCTATGGTTGGAGCTGGAGCGACCGTCATCACAGGAGCCACAGTAGCGACAGGTGCAACGTATCCGTAGCCGTAGCGACGACGGTAGCCGTTGCGGTTGTAGTGAGTCCCATGCGTAAGCGGGTCTCCGCGGTTGTAATAGCCGCCATGACCACCACTGAAACAGTTGCCCATTTTCTTGTAGTTCTTCGCTTCTTGTACAACTTCTACCGGAGTTCTTGTACAACTAGCGGAACAAGTAAGAAGGGTTTTTGCTTTGCTTTGAGATAATAGAATACTTCAATCAGGTACTCTACTTCAACAACTGCTACTCAACAGAAGCAGATGAACTACAACTTTTACTTTTACTAGAAAGTGAAAACGATGATGCACATGCACGAGCAAGAAAAATCTTGCTACACCTACAGTATAGTATGTATACTGTAGATTGATGAATACCAACACGAATGACAATCCTGCGTTTTGGTAGGTGAGGATGAACGCAGGATCATGTCGTGAAGTGGAATTTCATCTAGTAGGAAGAGGATTTTGTCAAAACTACTAGTAGATCAGTCATCATCATCGACGCATAGATTGTCTATAACAAGATTAGAAATTCCAACATTAGCATCAGAGATTCCAATCGTGATCAGTCTACTCACTTCTGATCAGTCTATAGACAATTCTGCGGTAGTGATTTCTATTGTGAGGAAGAGGATTCCGATTCCAGTTTATAGACAATTTTGTGTAAGTGAGTTTCTACTTCTAGTCGTGAGAACAATCCTAGTAATTAAGGAGGAAGTAGAATTTCTAGCAGGAACATCCAGTGGGCTCCTTTCAAGAAGACCGAGCGATTGATTGATTTTGATCTTGATCGCTGAGTTATATCTGGCTGATAATCTTTTTCTCTGTTCTTTCGAATGAGCCATTTCCATCAGTAGACAATGCCAGGAGATCGCCTTATCTACTCTGATCTCTGTTTCGTATCATCTACATCTACGGCAACGTAGATTCGTCTTATCGATCTTGTCGAGCCGTGTCAAACAAGATCTTGTTTCTTACAAGGCCGGTGGCTCTGCCTCACGGTGAGTCGAAGATGATTTGTAGTGAATAAAGTTGTAAAATCCAATGGGCAGCAAGGTGTAAATTGTGCGTTTTTTCTGGGGAAGGATATTAAGCGAAAATCTTTTCAAGAATTATGAAGATAACGATACAAATACTAATACGATAATCTTTGGCCGCGTCCAGCTCATTTGATTGTAGTCGAAAAACGTGATCTAGCACAAGAGGAACATCGGATTTCATTTGTTTCAAGAAATGCCAAGCGAACAAGGTCTAAACCCTTTCTTGGCGATCTTAAGATTAAGTGTGCCTCAAGGTCAAGCTCAAGCTACATTTACCTAGATCGCAGCAAGAAGCTGGCCCTTTACTGGATTGGAGATGAAGAAGCTTAAGCTTCCACCTATGGTCCTTAACGTTAACTACACCTTCGAAACAAATAAACGTAGGAATAAACGAAAAAAGAAAACAAAATTCAATGAAAAAAATTCTGCACATGATTCAAGTCTAGCGTGAGGTATTCTTAGACCAGATGATCACGATTAATATACGAAAAATTATGCAGTCCCTCTCCCTTCTGGTATAATGATAATGTACTTTGAGTTTGAGTTTAATGAAGTTCAACATATTTTGATGTTACGCTGTTGTTATGAAAGAGGAGCGTGAAGCTGAAGGTCAACGTGACTGCTTTGCGTTCGTTGTACAACTAGTACCTCCTGCACTGAAAAAATAGTCATGCTGTAATGTTATTTCTATTTGTTTATTGCAGTAGTTGTAGTACTTCATTTTGTTCATGACCTTGTAGCGTAGACCTGCTCATAATCTTGTAGTACCTCAGTTATGTTGATTACGTGATGCTTCCCTTCCCTTTTTGATGGCCTTTTTTTTTTTAATATATTAAACTTCATCTTGGAGGTCGTCTTCTGGTTCGCCATGTGCATCTTCTTGGTCGTCCCTACTCCTATCTTCTTCTTCGTTTTCGTCTTCGACTGGACGGTCTAATGGACCAAATGTATTGAACATTTGATCAACTTCATCACGCGATTTTGACTGGATTTCTTTCCGCCAAAAAGAGCCCGCATACAAATTGTTGCCCTTGTCTTCGATGTTGTCTCTTCTTGTTCCATCGGAAGCAGAAGTAGCACCAGAAACTGTTGTTTGTCGACTTGTAATCCAATCCAGTTCAAATAGCTTATCACTTCTAAAAAGAAGCTTATACGTATCATAATCATATTGATATTCTTGCGTTTTATCCTCTGGAAGCTCGTCCGCAACGGCAGGCGGCACAGCAGGCTGCGGACGACTAACAGCAGCACCAGCAAGTCCAGGAGGAGCTTCTATGGTTTTAGAACTTTCAACATCCTGATGAAGTAGTTACTAGTAGAAACGCCTTAAAAGACTCTCAGAACCCTTTTTAAGTAGGAGAACGACCCCCTTTACCTTTTACTTGGTAAGTCCAAGTAAGACCTCTCTACTCCAACTAAGTAAACTCCAAGATCTTATTTCTCAGGATGACATGAATCGGTTGCCTAGGAACAAGGACTCCATCTGTTCACAAGACAATAAGACAAAGACAAAAATTATGTGCTCCTTAACCTTAACTTTTGCTCCTGTGGTTCGTTTTTTTGCACCTCCTACTCTAGGTTTTCCACCCTTTCCGGGCTTACGAACTCCAACAGGAATTATCGTGCCTGATCCTGGTGATGGCGTTCCTTCTGTAAGTGTTGTAACTTCGTTTATCAAGTCCTTTTCTTGAAAGATCCTCCTGTGCGTCACAATCTGCCACCTCTCACCCGCGACTTGGGCGTAGTAAGCTAAAACGCGAACGAAAATCTCACGAACTGCCAAAAACATCCTTCGACGGTGCTTGTCTTCGTTCATCTTGTCTCTATCTTCATCGTTTGCCTCTGGACTTGGTGAAGAAGGAGATGGAGTCCTGCTTGCAGGAGCTACTGTTGTAGCTACCATTCCTACTTCACCTGTAGCAGTAGTTGGAGAAGCTACTCCTAGTGTAGTTGCAGCAGTTTCTACAACTCGTAGTCCGAGCTTCTCCGCCTGTGTCTTGACGAAGCCTGCAGTGGTGTCGTCTTCTAGGAAGTAAAAGTTTTCAAATAAAGATGACCCCGTTAGTGGATCGCCCGCAACAGCTCCTGTTGATTTGAGATGGGCCTCGACTAGGTTTCGTTTCGAAGTCGTTTGAACTAAATCTTCGGGACCCTTGCCTTGCTGCTTCTGTTCTCGTGTTGTGACGACTGAGTTTGCGGACGCGGAAATCACTTGGGCAAGGTAGTCTGGGAAATTTGCGACCAGTCTCTCGAAAGTATCCAATCTTCTATTTTCCTCAAGGCTGTACGCATCGCTGTAATGTTGCATTCCCTTTTCCTCTAGAGTTCGCTGTTGCTTTTCTCGGTCACGCTGTCGCGCCTCTTGTTCCTCTTGCTGTTGTGCCTCCACAGCTTCTTGGCGGAGGCGCTGGTAATCCTCAGGTGAGGACTGTGTGCGCCGCAAGCTTCGTTGTAGTGGCCCCACGTCGGGTGGTACTTCTATTGTTTGTTGCTGTTGTTCTCGACGTTGCGTTTGCGTTTCCTCAGGAGGAGCAGCCACAGCACTAGCGGTCTCCTCGAATTCGAAAAGATTCTCTAATTCTGACAGTGTCTCTCCTGTTGCCGGGGCATAGGCTACAAGGTCCACGCACTCTTCCAGGATGCTTTTCCCTCTGGGTCTTCTAGGTGATCCCGAGCCTACGATTTTTCTCCATACGGGGTGGTCATTAAAAACAGGATGAAGATCTACTTCTTCATCCTGTGGCTGTGCTGGGTTACTGCCTGGATCATCTGTAACAATAGCTGATGATCGTTGTTGTTCGAAGACTTGCTGATCCGGTCGTTGTAAACTAGTGCCTGGATCTACTGAAACGATTCCCGGATTATCTCCACTGCCTGGATGATGATGATGATCTGTAACACTTACACTGCCTGGCTCTCGTCCGAAGAGTTTTGGTTGTGATTTTTGTGCGATCTCCTGTGAGGCCCGAACGCTCGTGTGGTAATTTTCTACCAAAAATTCGAATCCGCGAACGAAGGAGACGATTCTGCTTTCTCGTTCTTAGAACCTATCAAGTATAATATGCCATATACGTTATTTCTACTTGAGACTATGTCATAAATGGAGATTTCATCTACTTATGACTATGACAACATAGTGTCAAGAAGTGTCATCCAAGAAGTACTATCGGAAAAATGGGCAAGAAGCGTATCGTTGGTGCATGTTATTCTTTTTGAAGTCTACGAAATCAAAACAAGATGAAGATCATGATCATGACAAACCAAGGATTATGTTGTGTTGTAAGTGAAAATGAAGAAAAACGTGAAGCAAGCAAAATCTTCATGGATGCGTTCTGCCTCTGGTGCTCTTTCAATAAATAAAGGCCTTAACTTCTACGCCATGCAGCGTCCCATTCGATTGTCGTATCTCCTTGTTGAACAGCACGCAGCCAGTTTTCGTAGCCTCCAAACCAATTTTTATGCGCATCTTGACTCGCGATTGTTTCCTGAATGTGTGCTAGACTCTGCATTTCTATACTGTATTGCAACCAAGGTTCCTCTTCCAACGTTCTCGCCGCGCGCAGCTCTAACTTTGCGTAGTATTCTCCTCGGAGTCTTCTCTGTCTTGCTAGCCACGCATCGAAAGTTCTCTTTAGTCCGTCTAAAATTTTCTCCAATGCTACAAGGAGATGCTCATGCTTTAGGAGTGATTCATGCCTCAGAGGTGGTACTACGCTTGATCTTGTTGAACTTGATGCTTCTTGGCTTTGGCTTGCCCTTGCGCTTGAACTCGATGCTATAGATAGGAATCGTTGTGCCTCTTCTCTTTTACCAATGAAAATCTGGAACCGAGGCCCATACTTGTATTCACCGTTCTTGAAAGTTGCGCGAGCGTATGTTTCGTCAGGGTCAAGGAGTTCTACCGCGACTCGTCTTTTCGGTTTTTTCTTCTCATGCCCACGTCGACCAGCAGACGCACCGCCACCACCACTAGCAGAAGCACCAGCACTAGCAGAAGCGACCACGCCGCCTGCACTTCCAGCAGGAGCTGCATAAGGTGTACCACCACTACCACCAACAAAAGGACCACCACTACCACTAGCAGAAGCGCCGCCACCTGCACTTCCAGCAGGACCAGGAGCTGCATAAGGTGCGCCACCACTACCATCTGCAAAAGGACCACCACTACCACTAGCAGAAGCAGCAGCACTAGCAGAAGCGACGCCGCCTGCACTTCCAGCAGGAGCTGCATAAGGTGTGCCACCACTACCACAAGCAAAGGGACCACCACTACCACTAGCAGAAGCAGCAGCACTAGCAGAAGCGACGCCGCCTGCACTTCCAGCAGGAGCTGCATAAGGTGTGCCACCACTACCACCAGCAAAGGGACCACCACTACCACTAGCAGAAGCGCCGCCGCCTGCACTTCCAGCAGGAGCTGCATAAGGTGCGCCACCACTACCATCAGCAAAAGGACCACCACCAGAAGCACCGCCACCACCACCACTACCACCGTAACCCTGTCCACGGCCAAATACCCTGTCGGTACCTGGTGCAGAGGTAGACCTTCCTTTTCCTGGAGATCGGCGCCTTTTTCCACCGTCGTCGTTAGCGTCGTAGCTGTCATCTTCTCCTGGATCTGTGGGAGGAAGATCGAAGAAATCCTCATTCGGATTATATCGATCGTTCCCGCGTAGTACCAGAGCATGCATTTGATCAAACATTTGCGGTCTAGTAATCCAAGAGGTGACGTGGTCAAAAAGTTTGGGTCTAAGATTATTCGACGATGTCTTGTTGATCTCCATTATTAGAGCTACCGTCGCGGAGTCACATCTACTTCCTTGAGAGGCATGATATCCTTGGGGGGCGCTTCTTTAACTATATTTTCAGGTTCAACTAAGTACTAGAAAAAGATAAACATCATCGATAATCCTCCAAGGATGACCATGAGACAACTAAGGACATTCATCATGCTCAAGATAAACATCCAAGGATGATCAAGATCATGAGACAACTGAGGATATTCATCATGCTCAAGATAAGCCCTCAAGGATGATCATGAGACAACTAAGGACATCGATCATGCTCCAGGAGGGGGAGCCGCGGTAGGGTTACTGTCCTTAAGATTAACATAGCCATCGTCCTCGCGCTGTCTTCTTCTATTATCTCTCTGAGTGCCTTCTTTCTGTCCGCAGAGGTATACTCCTCGCGAAGCCTCTGATAGTCGTACTCTGCCCTTGTGAACAGGGTAGCGTACAGCCCCTCGCTCTTTACTTCTTTTTCTTCTTCTTCGGCAAGTTTCTTCATCTTCGTCTTAAGTGTCATCATGTCGCCGATATCTGGGTCATCAATATCAATATCAATATCCTTAGAGCCACCGTTTTCGCATGATTCCAAAGAGCATAAAAAGCATCCTTGGCTTCTTTTCTATAGCAAGTAGAAAAAGAAGAGCCTAAACCTCCAAAGATGATATCTAATACTACGGAGCAGACATGACATGCGTCAGCGGTAGCCTTAATTCCAGTTCCAGAGTGACCTTCAGAGAAAGTTTTTGCGAAAACTTCCACCATGCGCTGATGATGTCGCTCCAGAAGTAGCTGATCTCCGGCCTTTCTGCGGAGATAGAGGCTTCCTTCTTGACGAACAGAATAGTATTGCTCCAGTTCGCTCCTTGGGACACCAGTTTGTTGAGCTATATTAGACCTTGCCGATATTCATCTTGGAGCGAAATCTTGAAAGCACGTCAAAGATGCCTCTCAAGATGAGTATTTAAGTACTTAAGCCTTAACAATGACGTATAAGGCGACGCGAATGGCCTGTTGCCTCCTGTGGTCGTTGACTTTTAGCTGGTGCTCTAGTGAGCGCCGTGCCCGATGGTACGCGTCAAATGGCTCGAAGTAGACATCTCCGGTACTATCGTTGCTAACCGCTTTTCTCACGCCTTTGAATTAGAAATCGACGTTGACGACGAACTGGATCAATGAATGGAGCTTCAATAAAATATTAAACGACAGACAGTTGCCTTGTTCTTCAAGACAGTATCCGATCAAGCCTGTATCTTCATAAAAATGAAAAAGGATAAGAAGATCTATACCTATAGCTGAAGTAGGTAATTTAGGTCTTAATGAAAAGATCTGGATGCTGCAGTTTCGCAGTCGATTTCGTGGTTGCGAATTGCATGGCCCACTTGATCAATCAAATGATCGATAACCTGCCGATAAAACAGCTTGTAGTGCGATTCAATGGCGTTATATAATGTGGTGCCCGATTTTCGCGCGATCATTTTTGCACCAGACGCAGAGTAGATGGCTTGATATTGTGCAGAAATGTATCTTTCACCTTCGTCCCTGTCTCTGCGGAATTCTGCTCGTCGAGCTTTCTTTTGGAGGTCCTCCTCTTCGGAGCTGCTAGTACCAGCAGTAGCAGTACTACTAGTAGTAGTACGTTCTAAATGTAGGACATCTGAGTCAACGCGTAGTCCCAAGAGGTTTATTTTTCCGTTGTTCCACAAACAATTTTCGCCCCACTTTTTTGAAAAAAAAAACCGCGAGCTTCGACCCCATATAGTAGCTGGCGGACCTAGAGGTGTTGACGGAACTGCTCCACTCAGCGGAACCGCTCCAGCCGACGACGAACCTCCAATAGTAGTTCTTGTACCTCCTCCTAGTGAAGAGACACCACGTTCAGATGGATACAAAATCAGATTCAAAAGGCGATCGAGTAAAACACTAAGGTCTATGCGTTCGTCGTGACGTAGGAAAGACCACTGTACGTTTTTCCAAAACTGTCTAATCGATCCTTTCAGTTCTTCTTCCACCTGTTCTTCTCGATATTGTTCTTGATGATGTGCATGTGCATGTTGTACTTCTTCGGAACGAACTTCTACCTTTTCTTTTAGCTCGTCCATTGCCTCACCAGATGTGTCCTCCTTGTTAAGAAGTAATTCCCTAGCTCGTGACTGGGGACGACCTTTGGGGTCTTCAGAAATGAGGCTTTTCTGCACAAATCGTGAATACGGATCCATGAAATAGAAGGCGAATTGAGGACCTACCTTCGGTATCTTGTTGTCCATCGAACCGGAGGTGCTCACTTTACCAATCGTCCGCTTACGAATTTCGTTCCACCTTGAAGATGGCAAGCTATCATGTCTATTAGCTACAACACCAACATCCTGGTGCTCCTGCTTACGAGGTGGAGAAGGTGGCCCAACTCCTGGACGTCGAGGAGACCGACTTAAAGAGGAGTCTCGAGGACCTCGACTTCTGCTCGCAGGTTCTCCTTCTCCACGATCATGATGTTCACCAAGGTCGTCCCGAGAGGGTCCTGTGCGTG